AGAATAGGAATTTCTTCCAAATGATTGACTACTTGTAGCGTTTTGCAGAGAAGAAGCTTCCAGCAACACCCTCGAGTTTCGTCGTATCTAGTGAGTGGATTCCAGTTCCAAAAGTCTGGCTTTTGGTGAGGCCTTCGGTGAGGACTTCGTGGTGAACAATTGGGTCCACAGTGCACCAGAGAGTACACGGCGTGAATTTATCTTTCTGCCATGAGGATGGGGATGAAGGTGGAGTGATGTGTGGCTCAGAAGTGTTGGGGTGAGGAATGGATGAATAGTTTGGGGGATACCCCTACTTTGTCGATTCACTTGACATTGAAATAGAAGGTCATTTCTCATCGCAAGTCAGTTAGGCATTCGGCACACAATCCAAATAGTAGCGGCGCATTTTATAGAGTAAAGTGGGGGAGGTGGGAGGACAATCATTGTCTTTTAAGCCTCTTGACCTCTGCCAATGCATGTGGATGGGATTCAATTGTTAACCTTCACAGCCTTGGTGGCATATTTCCTCACGATCGAGAATAGAAGGTCTTTTTCTGAGCATGATACACCTAGTGTTAGTTGTTTAGCTACCAGAATTAAACGACAAACTATTTCAACGCTGATTCTACAGCTTTCGAATTGAGCCGAACTCATTTTGTGAAGCGAACAACCTCGAATCACATTATCGTCAACCGACACTTTGTGCGTCGACTGTTCGGAAGAGCAGGAAATTGGTGCAGTGCATAGTAAAGGGCACCGTGCCATACTGTTCTCAACTGATAGAGGACGCACATTTGTGCTGTGCAATGTATCCAAACAATCGCATGTATTTGATTTGGCATGTGCCTACCAGCTGCAACTGGGCGTTGCAGCCAGCTGTACCGAAACTTGCGGGAATTGCTAGTCATGTGGTGCCTGTTTGGGATATCGGGCATCAAGCACAACGGACTTCCAGGGTGGTTGCCATGCTTTAATGGTGAAGTGGGAAAGCTTAAGATGGGTGGAGTGGAAGTCTACCATCAACCTCTGCTTCTAAGAACAACTACAGCAACAGCTTCATCAAAATGCCTGCTTGTGCAGTGCTAAGAATCCCACCTCACCATCCCATTTATATCGGATGTGGTGGTTTGATTTCACACGAAAGGTGCTCAAAGCAGCAAAAGGACGTGTGGATGTCCAGATGACTGCAACAAGTTGCCCATAAAGAAGGCAAGAATGTGCCACTCTTTCATCTTTCGCCAAACAAACAGGCATGATTATTAATTGCGTTGTTTCATCATCATCAGCAGAAGCAGCAGTAAACAATGGCGAGGCGTGAGGTAGGAGAACAAGAGCACGCATCCTCTCCCTCTAATCTAGACAAGTCCCACGTTCAGCCCCACCCTCCTCATTGTTTCCTGTCTGCAATTATAACAATAGCATCGTCGCTCGTAGCCCCTGCCTTTATTCTGTGTGAAGGCTGTTTCATGGGAGTGTGCGTGTGGGAGATCTGTGAAACTCAAAAGTGTTCAGAGTAAACCACTTTTTGTGTGAAGATCCGCTTTGGCTACGACAACAATTGTGTAGTCAAAGTTTCCCACCTGTCTCAAAACACCCTTCGACATTCACACGAACACCAGCCTCTCAATTCGCTTATTTAACCTCTGAAATTACTTCTATATACTCATCCCTACATTTATCAATTCACCTACCTACGTGTCTATGGCTTGAACTGCGTGGTCAAGGTCTCCGAATTAGGAGTAGAGCCACAAGTGGGTGTGCAGATGAATGACCAATTAGGAGAATGAGCAGGTTGCAGTAATAATCTGCGATTACCAGGACCACAAGCATAGCTAGTCACAGGCACGAGAGTGGAGCCCTAGAACAACCAACCCACTTGGCGTTAATGGTAGCTCTTGGAGAGGTGCAAATTATAGCCTGTTGGTGAGCGTATGGGGGCAGCCTCAAAGGTGATGGAAATGGACACCACAGAGACGCTCGCACCTGAGCTACTTACAACAGCTACCCACCACCGTATAATTATCGCGTTCCAATGGCTTTTGTGGATGCCCGTAACTACTCATTACTCTGAGCATTCCGGTCACTGGCAAAATACCCCAGCCTACTCAACCTACCCCACCCCACCTTACCTCACCTTATCCCACCACGCAGCTCTTTTGGCTCGAATGCTTTGACTAAGTGCAGGTGTAAAGTAGGTCACAGTGACGTGTGGAAGTGTACATCAAGCGTGCAAACGCAGTCGCAGCAGAGCCAACTGTGGACCTACGTAGTAAATCGGCAGGACTTTGTGCTCTCTTGATGCGGGCACCACACTTGCAGAGTAGTCGGGCTGAATGCTTCTGCGGATTTGGTCACGCCTTGTTCGCCTGTGGCAGCTGAGTGGCAGAAGTGTTGCAACTTGTGTTTTTGGCATAACTTGGCCCTGCGAGGCAAGTGGATGTGCAATGCCTATTTTGGTGGACGAATACGCCAGCATTTGTGGCAATTTGACTTCGTGGATGGGCCTGCACCTGCTTGTTCGGCTCATATGGTGGATCGCTGGATGCCACACAAATGAAGCATTTTGGATAATCCCTTGATGTAGAAACTGCAAAGGGTGGTTATGGAGTGGTGGGTGGTACTCGGGGTTGTTCTCTGGTAGAATAGGTTCCAGACCAAGCTGAGATTATCTTATCACTGCCTGCATTATGGTTGTTGAAGCATACCCCCACCTAAACTTGGATGAAGATTTTGAGGCCGAGGAAGAGCAATTGGAGCTAGAGTCGAGGCGGAGGGTGACGGTTAACTAACGCTTCGCTGGTCTTGTCTGTGACCGTAGCAGCAAAGTGGTGTGACCGGAATTGTGATGGGGTAGAGAGCGAGTAGAAATGCACACTGCCTAGCATAATCTACTTTAAAAAAGGCAATTGTAAGTATAGGTTTTTTTTTCTACCATACGATCCAACTAATCTGACTTTGAATAGGCGTAAGATGAAAGACACTGAATGAATTATACATCTGGCTGTCTAATGTTGAGCTACTTCGTTTAAACTCACAACTTTTCCGGAAGTGGTGGCAGCTTTGGAACTAGTGTTTTCTTTCCACACCCTCGTTATGAAACACATATCCCTTAACAGGAAGTGCGCATCTGACAAATTTAGTATTATTCCTAGCCAAGATCATTTACACTATTCAATTCGCACCGATTCGGAACGGGGTGTAAATTCAGTCGGTTACTGAAGATAATAATAAGCATTTCATGAGCCGTAATTCAAGATTGCTAAAGCAAGGATATTTTGAAGGCGACGGAAACAATGTGATTTTTTAACAGGGCGCAAGAAAGAGATAAATGGACCAAAAGACGTTTGGACAGTTGAACCTTCAAGATCAATTAATGAAAACACTCTCCTCATCAGTCAGAACATTCTGCAGGTTTAACGTTCTAATTTATCGTTTGTATTAAAAAAGAATGAAAAGTTCCTTTTATGCTCCGTGAAATTCCATACTCAAAACCCACAATAGAATGAATGCACTGAGATACCACTACATCCGTGCTGATATGCAATAGTTTCTACTTCTGACAACTTATCATAATGTGATTAAGTGTTTGGAATAAACATTAGTGGCTGAAGACTGAGGTTGCTACTAACTTCTGCCACTGCTGAGATGATGATAAGAGGTTCCTACTTAGGCACAAACTGGATTTTCCCATTGATATGGGGCAAAATCATCTATCAGCCAAACTTCCGATATCAAATGCCACCGTTCAAAGCCACTAAATTATTAATTGCGTTTGGCAGATGTTTCATTGTGCAGTTTCCTCGATGATACACAACTAAGGCGGGGCAGCAAACCTTAGGGAGAAAGTGATCATGCGTCTGACCCAACAGGCTTGATAAAACAGTAGTGTATAGTTAAGAAGCACCTAGCCGTTTGTCAGTCATGGCCAATCTTCATGTACTCACTCTTTGATCAGACAACCAGTCTGACCCTACCGAGTTTTCAGCGTGGTCACACGTTTCCATTAAGCGGTATCTCGTCCCTCGCCGGCCTCGGGCTTTCCGATTGGCGGCTATTTTGAGTGGAGCCACCGCCATCACCCATGTGTGTGACGGTGCTACACCTATCGGCACAACGGAGTCGTGAGCATGCGCTCCAATGCAGTCTCGGAATCGATATTGTTCCATTGTTCGTGATATCACATCACATAAACGAGTGTCTGGTTTTAAGCTTAACGCATACGCGCTCCTGGCTCATGATCTTCTCGGGCATATCAACAAGCACAATCGCAACCTCGTGAATGTCAATGACCTCTCACATGCGTGCGTGCATTCTCACACACGGTGCAGAGACGCGTAAAGTATAAAACACGATCACAACCGCCATTGAACGCATTAACAGTTTTGTGGCATGGAGAACATTTTCGGGAGTCGCGTCTCCTCTCTAGGTATCGTGGCAGCGGCTGTCGATAAGGGTCAACCAAAGGATGGAGTCCAGAATGCACCGAAGCAAATTCGAGAAGGTGGTCTTCAAGACCTCTTGGAGAAACTGGGTGAGTTGTCTGCTAGGCTGGTTTAACCTTCCTCTTCATTTTTTTGCTGCATCCTTGTACCATCTATGATTTATCTAAATTCTCGATGATTACCTGCTGCTAAGTTGTTTTCTGAATGCTAGGAGCAAAGGTGAATGATTACGGAGAAATTACTCAACCAAAGGATCAGGAATCGGATGTGATTTTGAACTGCGAGAACCAGCAAGCACTGGTGAAAACTACTTTAGAGTTAAAAGAGTTAGTGGAGAAAAGCGTGAGTGAGAATGACATGACGCTTATATTGGGTGGAGACCACAGTATCGGAAGCGGGTCGATTGTTGGTCACTTCACTACCTTCCCCAATTCCTTTGTTGTCTGGGTTGATGCCCACGCTGATATCAACACACCCCAGAGCTCTGCTTCACGGCACACTCACGGCATGCCCGTCTCCTTTGTCCTCACCGAAACAAACAAACTTATTCCACAAACACACGGCTTTGAAAATATCAAATCAGTGTATGTTTGAGGTCTGTGTTTAAATTTGCATTACTGGCCTGATTGGCGCTAATTGATTCCATTTATATTTTCAGTCTTAGTCCAAATCAACTGCTCTACATCGGGCTTCGAGACGTTGATTCACCAGAACTGTAAGTTAAACCTTTTAAATCCACCCATATAATTGACCACTCCTTATTTTAGAGGTTTCCTAAAGGAATTCAATGTTCCATATTTCGATATGCAAGACGTGAGGAAACTGGGCATCAAAAAAGTCATGGAAATCACGCTGAAAACCATATTCCGATATAGGTGAGTGATCATTGAAAGCCATGCACCTACTTGAAGGCTGCAGAATATAAAATTGCCCTTCTAAAACAGTTCCTTTTTTCTGCAGTCCCAATTCTCAAGTCCATCTGAGCTTCGATATTGACTCATTGGATCCCAAATACGCTTCTTGCACAGGAACCCCCGTTCCCGGCGGTCTCTCATTGGAGGAGGGCAAGTATATTTGCAAGGTACTTGCTCAGACGGGTAAGTTGATATTTTAGGCAACCAATACCTTAAATTCGTTGACTGTAATAACCTCCACATGGCCGAAACAAAAGAATTTGAGTACATTTATGTGATACTAGTACAGAATAAACTCCTACATCCTGGGACGGAAAGCAATATTTAATGTTTCCGACTCCTTTTTGCCATTAGCAAATACCAGGTCGATATCGTTAGCTAAAAACTTTCTTCAGAGGCTGCACTAGGAGTGTTTCAATAATGTGTTTAGTAAAGAGCTGTGGTTTCCCGTTAGTGACGTAAATGAGTGACATAAACAGCTCGAAGCAGCATAAAGCGAGCTAGGCTTCTAACGCATTGTGGGGCTGAGAGCGCCATTGGAGTCCGCTGTGACAAAAAACAAATCATGTACAAAAAGTGGAGGTTCACAGAGTAGTTGTGGGTTTCTTGCACATGTTCTTCCATTTAGGTGAGTAAATAATCCTTCTTCTTCGTGGTTTAGGTCATTTGAGATCTATGGTTCTGGCCGAGGTCAACACGTCGCTCGGATCCCCTAAAGAGGCAAAAACGACGGTGAATTCAGCTGTTGAGCTCATCAAAAGTGCTCTGCTTTTGGACTAGACGAGTATACGATGCCGGTTAATTGTAGCATAACAGCAACGACTGTTTACCTTTAAGTTGATTGCGTGCTCTTTAAAAATATTTTGAATTCTGAAATTTGGCATATTGAAATAAGAAAGGCATGGAAATTAAACATTGTGAAATTTAGCACGTGCATGAGAAGGCAGGTCACATGCACAGGTAGGCAGATCAAATGCCTTTTTAAAGTTCAAGTCTGCCCCAACAGCTAATATACATACAGAATCCGCGGATCGTAATTAGGATAATATATCAGTTATATGACTTGGCTTCATCTACAGCCCTTGAGACAAGAAAACTAATGACGAAATTCGAAGCAAAATTTATCGAAAACTACCAAGCTCCACCCAAATTCCATACTATGAAGTCGTTGAGCATCTGAAAGTACATCGCCGCAATTCAACACCATTGCTCAGAGGAGAGCACTCGACTCGCGTAGAGGGATCTGGCTCGACAAAGCAAAAAAAGTCATAATCAGACTACTTAACACCGTAGTAGTAATAAAATTACGACAAGATGGTTGTGAGATTTATTAAATCCCGTTTCAATAACCTTGCAAAACTACTATTTTAAGTATTGGCGGTAGGGCAGGTTGGTCGGGAAATGCACCCAGACCAATTCTGTCACTTCCTGGTTGCAAGTGTAGAAGGCGGCACTGCGTGATCAATGACAGAAGAACATGCAGGATGGTTTAGTGGTACATTATTTGCAGCCACCATATTTTCCATTTATATGCTTTGGTAATGCTCTCTGTACCCATTGCAAGCAGCAGAATCAAAGCGCCCATCGATGGGTTTCGACCATTCCCTGAAAAGTTACGTCGGTATCACCATGGTTTAAAAATATGTAAAAAGCAGAAAATCAACGCGTTCAAATTCTCAGCAGACATATTAAACTTTCAATAGTGTCGAAAAATCAGGAGTTACAAAACTATAACCTGGTAAATTTACACAATCTCCTACAATTTCGAAGAGTCATGAGGAGCTCCTCCCACCACAGAAAGGATGTTATACAAGTTGTAGCCATTTAGTTAAATACTAGATGTTCACAAATGTGAAGTTGACAGCCCGAACCTTAGGCTAGCATATTTACCGCCGTGCGACTAATGGCAGTTGTGTGTACATCTCAAAACATTGTGCTTGGAACTGGGAAGTAATTAATCCGAACAAAGGCCCAACAATATACGCTTCTACTATGAATCTAGCATCTTACCAAAACATTCCAGAAAATTCTTTCCATTCTGGATGAACGGAGCATTTCCTACAAGTATCTTCGAGGGGCGCTTAGAACGGAAAGAGGTTCGAGGAAACTGTTTGCCCAATGATTCAATCCAAATTGTGAGGCCAATTTCTTCACAGGCTACAGCCTGTGACCTGAATTATAACCGAATGAAGCACATTTAGGTTGCATACTTAATTTATGGGCCCCTCGGTCTCAACGCTTTCGACAATCACATCGTTTTCGTGAAATCCTGTTCATTTCGCTTTTGTTAAAAGCCCACGATCCCTCCCATACATTTATAGCAAAGTTTTATTTGTGGTAAAACTCCCAATAAAGTCCTCAAGAAATCCTAACAGCGCCTCAAAAATGGAGACCCCAGATTCTCGAAAATTACAGTTGAAATACCTAGAGTTGATGGGTTTACTAAAATTCCACCCTGTACTTTTTCTTACAAGTTGCTACCACAAAATTTTCAGTAAATATGCCCCATAATTACACATATCACACCTTGTAAAATTAAGAGATTTGCATTCTTCGAAAAGCACTAAAATACTTTGTAAGTTAGACAGCTAAATGATGCTACTGTTGGTAGTCAGTAACACTTGTTTCATAACCATGACAACATTTCAAGTTTGTTTACTTGCGCATTTGCATAATGCACCACAGGTAGTTTAAGAGCACGTGCTCGTGCAAAATTAAGTGATAGTGGAATTTAGTAACTCACACGCGTGGTATTAAATGCTTGCCTTAAGCTTGTATAATTTGGCTTTGGTCAAGATTAAAGAGAAGGAAGTGAAAGTACTTACTGCGGTCGATATCTGTAAATCCAGCGAACACTCCTGTTTCGATTTCTTAGAAGGTTTCACCTTTGTGGCTAACTCTGGGATATTTTTAAACACCGCACTTTCGCTCATTCCCTCCTGATTGGCTGCTTTTATGCTCTGACGCACCTTAAGTGCCCCAATACTCACTGCATGACCAAGGTCGATCAAACACTACGAATACGTGAGGCTGGAAGCCATCATATTTTCCGCATTCTCTGTTATCGATTTCGCTATCAAGTCCGCGCACGCCGTACATCCCAACTTGTTCATACACGTCAACGGGTGAGAACGTCAGTATTGCAATCTCTGCCTGCAATTATCCTGGTAAGGAATCCGATAGGATCTAAGCTTACACTCGTAAACACCTGGCCATGACACCCATATTTAGGTAGTTGAACGAACCCACATAAAATTAGTACCATATACCCTTCACTACTTCAAACATTAGACCGCTCCAGCTTATTTAAACGAGGGCAATTCTTTTAACTGACTCTTATCCAATTCAAGAACATTAAGCAACAACCGACAAGGAAGTTACTGACTGTCAGTACAACGACGATTTTACCACCTATACACAGCCTTAGATGGGATCGAACCTAGGTTGAAGTAGCCGCCACTACAGTCCAAAATTTGCCAAGCCCCTAATCAGCCCTTGAACTTACGCTCAAACCCGCGATTTATATGATGGAGCGGTCGTTCTAATTGTGCGTGCGGTTATACAGATTCCCCAGTCTCCGCAGTTCCCCGATTCATATTACCATCATATTGTTCTGTCCGTGGCTATGGCCTCCCGTCCCTCCTGTGCGCTAACAATAAGTACTTTCCTATTCTAGTACGACTTAGTGCACCTTCAAGAATGGCTGAGAGGGCTGTGGCTCTGCTGCCCATTTCAATAAGTGAGCTTGCTGAGCGACAAAAATAATGGCATGTGTACAAGAAACAATAATCGAATACCATAATCGAAACAATCTAGAACGCAGAACCGGATGGTGTCAGGTTTTTACAAGGCAAACATTGGATTATGGAAGAAAATCACTCGAGGCAATCCATACGTTAGGTCCTTTGTTGTCTTGAACTATTTTGTGGATCCTTTCCGTGATCTTGTCGTAGTCATCGTCAATTAAAATGGCTACAAGACAAGCCAATTTGTGTCAAACAAAATACCAGCTAAGTATCACATCGGGAAAAAACGATGCGCTCGCATAGTATACCCACAGAGGCAAAATAAATTCACGTTTTGAATTTCACTAAGATTGCGTTCCTTCATAATTGGTTGCGGATAAGCTTTGGTTTAGCGAGTGTTTCTCAAGAGCTCAATTTTCTAAGTCTTCAAAGTTTTATTAAGACAGGAAACTTAGCATGGTTAATTAATAATATTAACTAAAGAGAAGTTTTTAAAAATAACGCTAAATTTTATAACCCAATATGTCTACTTATGCCACTTTTATAAGTGTAATTGGAGTAATAACAGACCCGTCAGAAGGGGAGAATATTCCCTTAGGAAAGTAAAGTTCTTTTCGCGTCGCTTCGTGAGTCGATTGTGGACGGTCTTCTCCTGCTTGGGGATGGCGCCAGTCCGATTTACGGCGCCCAAAGATTGACCCGGCGAATTGGAGAGAACGAAAATCGCAATTGGCGGGAGACCAGCAGCCGTCAATCGTTGCAAAGCCATTGTGCTGACGTCAAGGAGGCAGTGAAAGCCCGCGGAGGCCACCTTGAAGACAGAGTGTAGATGGGTGCCGTAGAGATTGCCATTGTACTCTCCCGCCTCAATGTAGCGATTCAGCTGGATCTCTGATTCCATTCTAGACCGCGATTTGATGAAGTGATAGTCCCGACCGTCCACTTCACCACGACGACGATGACGAGTCGTGTCTGAAGGAATGGAAACGTACTACAATACTCACAGTTGGCCTCTACTAAGAATCAAAGTGTACGCAATGAGACTCACGTGGAACGCAAGTGCTGAAATCGTCAGGAAACTCCGAGAGCAGATCCTCGGATATGTTGTGCTTCAGATCACCAAGGATAACGACCGGTCTGGTGTTAACAGTCTGCATGGATGTGACGGGAATGTAGGTTGGAGGTAGAATTTCACGTGTGAATTCTGAATCTTGGAAGAAAATACGAGAAATATGTGCATATATTTATCAAAATAAGCAAAACACTTGGAAGAAGAACCCTCAAGTTTACTCAAAATTTTAAACACTTCGAAAAATGGCCATTTTTAGTTAGTGCGAATGAGGCTGCGATAAACCTCGGGCGGGAATATGGTTGTGTCGGAATACTTTAAGCCATGCAATAACCCTTGAATTTAAACGGTAAAAGCGGTCGTAAATCTGGGTAAATAGCAGTGCTAGAGACTTGCGCGAGGTTGCGTCCCAGCCTACAAGCAGGACGCCTTGTATTCACGCATCTCTGCCTCAAGAGCAAAGAGAATTTGACATCCGAAAGGTCAAAAATATGTGTGTAGACGAACCTAACACCTAAGCTGCCTCACCTGCCAAGATTCAGTTTTAGCCTTGAGAGCCTTTCAAAGTAGGCTTAGTGACTCTACAGAACAGTAGAGGAATATTGCTTTTTTAAAATCCAATTTGATAACCATTTGCACTGATGCATGATGTGACTGCCAATAATAGATGAGAACTAAAGATAAAAATAGGTTTAAATAAGCTACGAAATTAGCATACGTGCTCGCCTAGGAGCACTCTTTTTTGATACTCGTGAGGAGTCGGTGGAACGCCGCTGGCTGCGTGTCTCAGCTGCAGAGGCCTCGGGAAAGGAGGACTGTTTAGAGGAGATGATGGGCCCATCTGACTGTGAGAGAGGAATCGACTCAATAGCCTTGTCAGTCGACTGTGGATCGCTGACAAGGGGGGAGCTGGTTTCGCTGCTCGAGGCACGAAGTAGACAGGATCTGCGGCCAAAGAGGACGCGCCACTTGACGCGCTCCTGGTGCTCCAGTCGACATCGACTCGGAACCAGACCTGCTGGACCGAGAGGCTTGCAAGTAGATGGATGAATGATTCTTGCCTTAAGAAAGAAACTACTAGTCTAATTTTGTCCTGTGGAGTGATGTTCTTCAAGGGTAAACTTAAAAGGTTGCAAGACGTATAACAGGACGAATTTAAATCTAAATAATACTATCTATTCCAAAAAGCCTAAAAGAGTCACGATCAATCCACAGAAGAGTGTGCACGTGACGGACGCCTAATCATGACCCTATCCACACGACTAACATTCACCAACCAACCAGTTTAGCCAAGAGGCTACTTACACACGCAGGATTTCACGCCCGGCTGTATAAGAGCATGGTAGCTCGAAAATCCCAGCACTTGACTTCTGCAATAATGTTCCTCTTTTATTGTGACACTCGCTTATTTAACACAGCAGACCGAGTAATAACAGAGCAGTTGTTAACTTGAATCTCATTTACATGTTCATTATGAATTCATTTACAGTCTTGAGAGGGATTGGCAAACAGCAATTAATAAAAGCGTTATGAAAGAGCTAGATTAACCCCAGTATTGTGTAACATGAGGATCGAGTTAACCTTCTCATCTCCATGACACCAAAGCCAATGGACTTTTTAAACAAAAGTTGTGGCTTTCTATTATACCACTAAACAGCCAACAATTCCAGTACTTCCATTGCAAATTGTTCCTTTTTTGCAACTATACTAATATTTGCTGATTCAGTGAAACTACATACATGGAAAATTACAAGCAAAGATATTCCCATTTTAGCAGATAGCGGAACTGATGAAGCAGTTAAGACAACAAGACGCTATTCAAGTCAGAGTATTATTATAACTTTTTCTATCTCAATACGTCGATAGAATAACCCTGCCCCAACCAAAAGCACAGAGAAGACAGTTATGTTCTCTGATACAAGAACTTATTTTCGTATGTTTTACGACTGTGTCCCAGCTATGAGGTTCAGCTAATAAAGAGCAGTGATTAAATAGTCTTTAGCACCCTTTATTAGCAACAGTGAGAATTTGTGATTTTGTTAGAAAGCATTTTTAAGAAAATCAAGTGTAGGACAAGCGAAAAACAATGCATGAATGGGAAGGAGAGAATGAAGTGACGTACCTGCCACCACTCCCGATCGGTTATATTTATAAGTTGGAGGATATCACCAGAGCGCACCGAGATAGCGGAGCATGGAATGACCTGGTCCAGCTCCGTTACCTCGTGAGGATCGAAGTTGACGAGGACTCGCACAAAGAGTCCGTCGGCCTCAATGGAACGGCATAGTCTTGACGGCGCACCCTCGTTATCATACTCGTCCCCTTCTCCCTCAGTGTCGTCTGATCGTACCTCCGTCTGGGTGCGAATCTGATCCTCTAGCTTCTTATACTCTTCATAAAAAAGAGCACCGTGATAGCCGTACGGGTATGTAAGGTAACACTGACGGGCTAGGATGTAGGAAGAAAACGTACCTGTGGGGGCATACGAGAGTACCAGGTCTACTCGGGAAGGAGCCGTTTTTAGAAGAATTGCAGCTTCTTCGTAGGTTGAACCGACGACCTCGGTACTATTAACCTAACGTAAAGACGCATTATGTTCAGCAAATTCCTCAAAAATTCCTGATATCACTTTGTGATTATGAGAGAGATGACCTGGTATCACTTATAGAAACGCATTAACATTTGTCAAGAAGAGCGCACCCCTCTGTGAAGGGGCCTCTATCAACTTTACCTCCAAAAAGTGCATGCAAAGCAAAGTGTTGTGTTCACAGTGGAAATTCAATTAAAATATTAACAAATGTAAATAGCTAGCCAGAGAAGCACGTCACCATCCCTAAAGCATCTCACGAAAACGAAACCAGATTATTCTATTCGTTTGTTTTTTTGGACAAAAGACGATAAATACAAGTATTCATATGTACTCAAAGTAAAACTAAAGACTGATATTGTCGTGAGCAGCAAAATATGTGGCTCTATTTCTTGACTATTTAAACGACCACAGATATGGTGCTTGTACGGCGTGGGAGATCTGAGTACCGAATTGGCGCTAACACACCCGCAATACAGAGGGCCCTCCATTTACTACGGAGGCTAGTTCATCCACACCCCAAAGCCACCTAACAGATGATGCAGTGACGAGGAGGAAAGACAAGCAAACACGGGCAACAATGGAGTGCACGCAAAACACCCATCAACCCCAAGCCACGCGCTTAATCATGTGTTGCATTTGGGTACAGAAAAAAGAGGCGGAGGTTGTAGTAACTAACTACACGCAAGATCGCCTTGCAATGCCTGGCGGGTGAGAACCTCCTCTAAGGTGTATGGTAGAAAAGTTCCTGACAAATTTACAAATCGTCAGTCTATTACACAGATGCTGTCCCCTAAAATCACCAAGAATTAAAGTGCCATGTTTTGAATGATCAAATCAAATCATGTTGTTAGATTACAATGCTGAAAAATGTAAATGTAAGAAGCTTGTGATTCCACCTAATTTATAGTCGATTTAGATTACAAAAAACATGCATGCACACTTACGTACATACCCACGCAAACATTGAACATTGGTGTAATATGAGAAGAAATGCAAGAGTATTAGAACTTTGAAGTAAAGTGGACAGGGAAAAATACAGAATGCATACTGAGCATGATTTTAAAACAAAGCTCGAATTTCGTCTTGCCTCAGCGGAAGCAAGTGCCATTACAACTACTTGGCATCGTTTCGATAGTAAAATGTTTATAATCAGTGTAAGTGTACAAAGGTCCAAATGCGTAAGCTCCTATTAAAACCTGTTCCTGCCATTCACAAATCATTATTTGATTTTGATTACCAACCACTGACTGCAGTTCCAAGCTAACAACAAATCAGGATGGGCAGAAGGTAGCTTTGAAATCTAAATAGATAAAGAAGAAACACTTTTTTGTGAGTAAAAAGGAAACACTCACCATGAGCAGACGGTCGCCGACGGAGATGGCTGTAGAGGAAGCGGCTGGACCCTTAGGGTGGATGTGAGAGACAAAGATGCCATCGGTGGCGTCGCCGCTGACGATGCTGAAGCCGAGACTGCCACCTGACCTCCCCCCAACGCCATTGCTTGCCATTGGGACCTCCTCTTTGTACAGGGTGACCAGCCGAGCTCTCGGCCACCGCTGTAAAATGGACTCAGGCACCGCGTGGGCGGCCGCGTAGTCCTCTGCACGTCCACATGAAATGCACGAAACAGCATTTCCATGTGATTTGACTATAACTACCCACCACCAAGTGAGGCATTAACACAGACGAGAAGTCCTCAACTGGATTGTGATGGTTACACACGTCCATATTATTGTCAATCCATACGGACTTCAAACGTCCTCTGAGGCTTTATTGTCTTCTGCTTGTTGACGTAGAGTAAGCATAAAAAATTATTCACTAACCATCCAGTTGAAGAAACAGCGCTATTAAATCCTGAAACTGTTTAGTTGGTGAGTAAAATCGCGCCACTCAAGCACGCATTTCTTTGATGAAATAACGAAAAACTGCGGAAGTTCTGAGACAGACACTGGATGTCAGATAAGCGTAAGGCGTAGCGTAAAAGAACTGAAGATCAAAAACGCCTTTTTATTTTATTTTTGTAAATCTTTTGATTTTTAATTCAACTATTGGGTAGTTTCGGATTTAAGGGAAGTAAAGTAGAGATATAATTGACTGCGAGGTTTGCTTGGCAATAAGAGTGATGCAGATTCAAACCACTAATGCATGCCAATGTATTCAGCCAAAAAAGAATAATACCAATAAACTGAGTTTTCTAAGACAATAATGGGTGCCGAGCTCGTATGGCGAATGCTCATCTCGAAATGTGACATTAGTGTGTCTCCTTTGGAGTAAGTGAAAGAAAGAAAGGACCTGATCCATGAGAACTGCTTGAGAGAGGAAGGGCTTCTACTGTCCGATTGAAGGGTCCTAAGACAGTGGACTGTAACTGCTGGGGCATTAACCGTCGCCTTTCGGGTCTGCGTCGATGCGACTGGCCCCTCTCAGCTAATCCCTCAGCTGCTGCTATGGGTGGATGTCGATCAGTAATTTGCCCCTCCTTGTTTGTTGACGGATTGGGCGAAATGCGGAGATTTCGGACAGTTTCTGTAAAAAAAGTTGGACTCGTCGCCCAAATCCGCAAGCATTTATCATATGTTAAAATGGTGAAAGGTATTATAAATTAACACAAGTTATTTTACTAAATTAGAAAACGGACAGCCAAAAAAGGTACGCATCCACATAGTGTGGTAGAGGTTTATCCCAAATATAGTCAGTAGCAGCGTTGCATTTACTCCAGATCCGTCAAACCACGAACCCATGCTTTGATAGGCTTCTAAAAATTCTCATAAAGATAACAATTCTAGGGGGAAAAAACAAATTAAGGTTTCTTACCTACCAGTCACAAATCTGGCTAAAAAAAAACAGAGGGATCTGTAGCCAGTCTTAGAGTACTTTTAAACATGTCCAAAATCATTCATCATATTGTCATTAAGCCTAACCCCATACTGTTGGAACAAATTTGTACTTGCCGTTGGCAGGATTTGCATGCAACATTTCACAGGAGTTTGGTTTATATTATCAGTAAGTAATAAAATTAAACAGTGACATGGTGCTTTTCTCAGCAAAAATTAAATGAAATTCAAAGGATGCCAAAATTGTGCAATAATTGGAGGAACTGTTCAGTTCTGAATTAGCGAAAGGAGAAAAAGGAGAAATAGACCCAGGAACGCCTTTCGATGATTGTAATTAAAGTAGGCAGCCGACACATTCTTCTTCAAAGACAGGGGATATCTCTGGACATAATTACAACTACCTTGGACGTTAATTTGATTGCTTCAATGTAAATAAAGGTCTTTCGAATTCCATCATCACATCAAAGATAGATTGCATGGGTAGAAGCTGACTTAAGTCCACATTCGAACACAAACTGAAAGATGGTTTACTACGCCTTTTTCGAGGCATATTTTGCTTAAAATTTTAAAAATTTTAAAAATACAAATTTCATGGCTTTTGAATATGGGATACTTTTTCGGTTCCAAGATTAATTACATGTCGACGTAGACGGTATGGATAGTTAAGGGATAAATGCAAGTGGAAGCTCAAACGAAAAAAAAGTGAATTGTTAGATTGCATGGTATGTTTTCTATTAATTTACCAGCGGAGTGAAAATAAATCAACGGGCTGTCATTGTGGTCCTACGTGCCGACAACTAAAGCACGCGCTGGTACCAACAACGAAGCCTAATGTCAGAACAAAGTGACCTTGACATCGCACGTATGCCAACGGTTCGACGAGAAAAAGTAAATTCTAAGCCTCAAACGAATGTACTCAGTTTTTGCCAAAAATTACAGACTTTCGAAAATGCGAGTCAAAAGCTAATAAAGAGGAAGGGACGAATCAACGAAACCAAATCCGGTTGTGTAACATTTGAGTGGACGAATAGCTTGCTCAAAAAGCCAAGCCAGGTGAGGACTCACTCCTGAAAACTAAAATGAATCTACCGAAATAAATGTTGGCTACACAGATCGAGCATAATTTACGAAAGACAAACAAAAAACCGATGGGAGATAAAATCTGCTGAAATTCGTGATGGTTCCTACCACCCGCTCATTACTCACTTAACCACTGCATGAAAGTGTACTGCACGTGTAGTCCAATCATCCTGACATCCAGTAATTTTTTACAAATAATTTACTAGCGAGAAATGGCGAGTGTACCTTGGCACTGCCGACGATTGATCCATTGGGGTGAGGACTGGAGAGGTACCTTGACGAGAAGGAGAAACACAAAGTCGCCTGCAGTGTTGAGGGCCTCCACAGCTTCCGCGTGTGTCACGTCCACAAGGGAGACACTGTTTACCCTGATCAACCGGTCACCGACAGCTATGCGGCCACTGGTGTCTGCAACACCGCCTGAGGTGATCTGTCACGATGGGCAAACTTTTATTCAACGTAATTTACCAACTGAAAGCTTGACTCAACCGCCTAGCTTTGCGATGGTGTTAACAAATCGGTTGCCTCAATTATTTATGCAGTGGCAGTGGTTAGTGCTGATGTGATGCTAACCTCATTTCGAAACTACAGTCGGCTTCCAACTGCAGCATATCCCCAACGGTATCGCTCAACGAAAGATTTTATTCTTTTTGAATACGTAAAGATACTTTTAAGATTTCCTCAGTCAATAAAAGCGTAGGTGACACATTAATCTCTGATTTATAGAACGGCAAAAAATTTCGTCAGGACCTTAAGAAAATAATCTCATATCCATGAATGTGGCAAGTAGGTAGTAAACTCTGCTCCTCCATAATGATAACTGAGTATTAATACATAATGAAATCATATCGTATGAGATCCCTACTACCTACTCCACACAAAATGATTGAACAGCAACAGGGACATAAGAAAGTAAAAAGATGGATTTCCAGAAGTTGTGCCATTGCCTTTTTCAACATTCTAAGTGATTACCTAGATACCCAGAAAACAATAATTAACAAATTAAAGCAGGCTGGTGTTTGAAAAATATTATGCACAGCACCGACCCATTGGAAGGTAGTGCATGAAGAACACGAGTTGTTCCTTAGAAAACGAAAAGTAAAATGAAGACTATTTTATTCAAAGAGACCTTCACCTCATTTGTTTGAATAAAACAAATAAGTGATTTTGAAAAAAGACGTGATCTTCTATTTTACGACTCCCAAGCCATTAGCGCACCTCCGTGCATTTGCAATTCATCGCCCGACTTTCACTCGAATCTGTCCTTTCTCTATATTCTCTGGAATAATACTGCCGGAAGTTGAGGCTAATCTACAATGCCCTAGTGAACCGTCTAGATTCAAGGAGCACCATTGCCCACTCTCCAGGAGATTAGCTACCATGCATGTATTTTGAGGTATCAATCTCAAAAATACTACTTTTGAAGAGAATTCCTTATAGTTGGAATTTTGGGGTGAAATAGAAGTTAAACTTTTCTAAGCTGAAAGAAGAAGAGGTCAGGCTGCGCGACAGTAGACAGGAGAGAGGAGAGTGGTGCTGAAAGTCTAAACACAAAAGCGTTTCGTTGGGGTGGGTTAATTGAAATCACCAAACGATTAGAGTGCAATAAGTTAAGAGGTCTGGAATTTGCGTATGCGACATCACCGAATTCGCACCTCCTGAGCCACCAGGAGATCTGTGGTCAAAAGTTCCAATTTAACAAGTCACTTCTTTCTGCTTTCTACTACTCTTTATGCAATCCCGATCTAATAAAACAGCAATTTTTGAAACGGAAAAAGTTTCTCAGGATAGTTATACGATCAAGTACAGATTTACTAAAGAGAACTGTTAAATACTAACCACTAAAAAAAACCTAAAAGGACCAATTACTAGGAAATATTTAATGTGATTATACCTTTAAGTAAATATTTTTACTCTACTCGACCTCTTAAAAATAAGGGCAAAATCAACTGGCCGTTGCGAGCTCCTTGATAAATTCCAAAAAGACACTTCTGTGAAGCTGCGGAAAAAAGCGCCTATCTCGTTTGCATAGAATTAATTTGAATGACTGAATTACTTATTAAAAACAGGGCAACAATGAATGTCACATTAGTTTTGTTCAAAAGTAGTTTAGGTAAAACTTTTGTTTTGGAACTCCAGACGTCAAAATTGCGGACGTTCAATCATTTACGAACAACGAACATGAAAGAAATTGAAATGCCCGATGAGAATACCTTAGTGATGAAGATGCCCGAATCACCCTCGAGAAACTCCGTTCCTATGCCACCAGCGATGCTGAATCCGAAGCCGTTACTTGTACCCCTGACCAGCGGCACTTCAACGATGATTGGGCCTGGGGAGGGATCAGGCTGTGGACGGGTGGACAGCTCCCACTGGTCTATCGGGATGGGCGATGATGGCTTCTTCATCTGATAAATTCTTTTTCTCTCGCTTTCCACAGCTGGCTTTGAAAGCGCATTGTCTTCCACAGCTACCTTGATGTTGCTGGATCTGTCCAAATTATGTACACAATGCTATTGCAAAGTCAGGTACTAAGTGAGCTAGGAATCAGACAGGTAAGTGAAAAGGAGGCAAATTTCGGACACGAAGTATGTGAAATTCCTTTCGATTCACAAACCAAAATAACAGCTAGGTCGTCAAGTTGAATGCTACTTTTGAGTGGAAGATTAGCGGAATTATTACATCGCTTAACGCAAAGCCTTCCGTTCGCGTTCAAAAAGGCACGGTACTGCAAATGGTGAGAACATAACTTCCAAAATAAAATTTGGAATTTCGTGATTGTTGCAGAAACACCAAGGATGCATACTTGAAATGGGCTCTTTTTATAGTCTTAAGCATTAAGATTTGAGTTTTAAGTTTATCCGCGCTAAGGCTTGAAAGCAGGTACTGCTAGTGAGCAAATTTTATGTTAGCGACTGAAATAATTACAAATTTGTTAATCTTCCGACGATTTCTGTAGAAGCCGATAGATCCTCCAAATACCCTATCGCAAAATAAAGCTAAATTAACCCACTAATGCAGCATTACATGAGGCAAATGATTTTAGGCTTCACAGACTGCGCGTTGAAGCTACAAAATTGCTGCGATGGACCAAATTTTGGGGTCTGCGTAGGCAAACAGTAGGCAAGTATTTCATTCAACGGTTGGGTGAATAGGAGAATAAAATCATTTCAAAAAGCATCCACCTAAAAGTAAATCAGATTAAAAGCCAGAGAATCTGATTTTCCTAATTTTTCCAAACATTGCCACGGCCGATTTAATAAAACTATTGTGGCCCAACGAATGCAGAGGCAACTCGCAGCCTAAAATTGGCTAACCGCCACAGTACCGCAATTTTGCTTCTAAACTGGTGATGTACGGATATCTTATTTTAACTTGCGCCTTAAAACCCTTGCATCTCTTTTGTAGAAGCAACGGAATAAATGTTTGATAACCCTCAATTTTATGGTTTTGGAATAATTATTTCAATAAGATCATCCGAATAAGACAAATTTAACATTAACTTTAAGAATGAAGATCTATTTTTACTTTAATGTGGGATGAAAGTAAGTTAGATTACGTGAAAACACACCACCTATGGCTTGGAATTTGCGATATGTGGGCATGTGAAAGAGGTATGTGATTTATAGCTTCAAATTGTACAATTAACCACACGCGAAACAATTGTCAGGCAAAGCAGTGTAACGGTCTAGTGACAAGTGATTCATGCACTGAATTTACAACTTTTTTGAACCATTCAACTGTTGATTCACCTGCTAGTTTCTAAATGGACACTATTTTAAGCGTGGAACTGCATGAGGAGTATCTACTAACGATAGACCCACATAACAATAGAGGGACATCAATACACTTGGAAATCCTCATGAGAGGCAAAATTTACAGAGGTAAATTCACTTACGCAGCGTCAGCATCCAAATCACGACTGTTAGTGTTACTGGTAGTTTGGAGCACCGATCTTCCACTTCCAGTTTGCTCTGGATCGAAAAACCAAACGGTGTCATCCTCGTCTTCGTTTTCCACATCTCCTTCGTTATGTTGACGTTCTTCCTCTACCACCTTCACCGCCGTCGTCACTGCTGTACCCATCCCTGCACCCATAACCTTCTTCCTGGGGATCTCAGCATTGGAGGAGGCAGAGAGAGGGGGATGTTGACAGGAGGTGATGAGAGAAGATAGAGGTGAGACTGTGGTGGGCGGGGGACCGCTCGACTCGGTGGGAGAGGGCGAGTTGGAAGCAGCGGGCAGGATGATACAGTGGGAGCGCGAGAGCGCCGTGACTCGTGACCGCACTGACGCGGCGTGTGTCTCTCCGCCACTGCCTCGGTCAGCGTGGACGCGTTTGCTCACAGTAGAAGAGATTTTCGGCGAAGTAGGCAAGTGTACGGGCCGACTGATCTCCTGGGCGAAGGCCGATTGTGGTCGTTGAACTTTCTATTTCAGAAGTGTCATAAATAAGAGAAATCGGGTTTCTGTGCGTCTTCTAAGGTCACCGACACTTTGTATTGAGGGATAGATTTCTGGCACGAATGTAGCCCAGAATAATAAAACCACAAAATCTCGCAGATGATTGTCGTTAGATTGCTTATTTTGATTGTTAAGTTATCTGATCACCGAATTTTCTGCTTCTCCTCGATTTTTCAGAAGTTGCCTATTGATGGCCAATCACGAACCTTCTAAAGTCGCCTTTTCTCTCAGTCCCACCTGATTGGTTCATATCACGCAAAGGTGTACTTTAAGTGTGCTGATAATCGCTCTAGGGTCGTGGTCAATCAGTAACTATAAGTACGCATGACTTAAATCACCGTGTGACGCTGAGGCAGGTTAAACTGGCTGGCCGTTGAGCGTGCATGAACTCCCCGTGCGCCCTTCGCTCACTCACATACGGTCGGTAGGTGGAGACGTCTGCTCCGAAGTCAACCCACTGACTAGCTGGGTGGAAGCTCGCACACACAAACCCCAATTTATTGCAAAAGGGTCGTCAACGGACTGCCGGTTCCGGTTAATAAATTACATAAATAACCGCCAAATTTACTACTTAATGCCTCGAAGATGGAGTTGCAGGAAGGATCAACATTAAATTAATGCGGTAGAACTGCGTGAGTTGGAACGGGCAAACAGTTGACCTTTGCGCAAACGATACAATTAGTTTTACTAAAAGAATACACTTGAGCGGTGAAAATTCGCAAACAAACTAACATTATGTTACGACCCCTAAGTAGTATCAGATAATGAATCAGAGCCATGCAATCACCAGAAGCACTTTATTTTGTGTAAATATGAAATCAGTTGGTCTTTAATCACTTTAAATCCCTAGACGGGGAATATATGGTGAAGCAATGCCTTTCAGACAAACTGTGGAGACACTATTGGTTTGCAAAACCTTTAAGTAATGTAAAAAAGAGAATCGCTTCCCAGAGGTATACAATGAAGAACCTAACAGAATAAATGGAATGCGCCAATGTTGTGACATCCTTCAATTGTCTGTTTGAATCCCGATTTTGGTAACGGATCACTTAGGGCTCTGCCAATGTACGGCAGCTGGGCGGCCTGGTCCTCGGGCCATGGCAGTAGCTCTCAAACCCTCCTGTACGTCGACAATACATATTCTGTCTGGATACTATGACTTCTATCGACTTCAGAAAAGACTCGAGGCACTAAAATTATTTTCTATTGATGCCTTTTTAAAAAATGAGGAGTGTGAATGAAACACGTTTGAATGCTCCCCCTTAAAGCATTAAGCACGTTTATTTGAGAGCAGCAGAGCAGCTGGCTTGGCAAAGCATCGGCCACCACAAGCCTAAAAGTCATTAAAGAATTTTAAATTTACATTTAATCAAAGACATGGACCACTTCAATGCTAACTGATGGCATCTCCCAAGTGCGAAGCATGGTGCGCATAAGTAGCTGAGCCTTCATAGGACTGCCTCAACGCACGGGAAACAACGTTCAAAAACACCACTTCAACTATGAAAAATAGAAAAAACCCACAAATTGACCAAAAAGCGCTTACTGTTACATCGCCTGAGCAAATGGAATCCTTCACAGATGTTACAAAAACAGTCCCATTTTAAATGTTGGGCTGAGTTTTATCAAGTGAGACATAATCCAACAAAATGGCTTGACGTTCAAGCCAGAAGTCTCAGCTACTATTGTGTGCATAAAATGGGGCATGCCATATTAGCCGCTTATGACTAGAGTAGTTAGAATACACACGCATTGCTCCGTTCCTTCCCGTAGATTATAAAACGGAAATAAACTGGAACTTTGTGAACACTGAAATCGGCATAATAAAGCTAAGTGGAAGGTTAACATTCAACCTCTGCCCAAAACTCAGTAAAAAAATAATTGCTATTTCATTGACAAGGACAATTTGGTCCGGGAATGTGAATTTGAACTGCATCAGCAGCATTCAGCGAGGGAAGTCTAAAGCCGATCGCTCCCAAATCCCAGCACTCACTGGGACCTTAAACTCACTCAAGCAAGTTCACGCTCTTATTTAGGAGAAGATACACCAGTCTTTGGTTTCTAGCACCATTTCAAAATGCGACTTGAGGTCGGATTGTTCTGTTTCCGAATTGCAAAGTCTTTTCGTGGCCACAGGCATTTGAGCACACCTAAACCACATGGATTGCGAGTTGATGCAACCCCAACTGTGTTTGCTGCACAAGACCCAGCCACTTCTACCTTTTCTGTTTCATTGCAGAAGGTTTACCGCAAGTTCGCTTAGCCTTTCAAAATGAAAAAGGAAACAGTTGTCCTGCCAAGTGGCCATTTCGGGTAGATAGGTGGACGCCCTGAAAATATAACGAATAAATAACTTCATTTCATTTTTTTAAAATAAAATACAACTGCGTAAAACTGAAACAGTAGTTTAACACTCCATTTCCTACAATTTTATTTCCCGGATGTCATATAATAAGGTGTGGAAATGTTGAAACTGTAAAAAATTCTACGCAATTAATTTCTAAAAGTATTTACCAAGTCCAGATGTGCGCCAGATTTCTCGAAGATTGTAACTGCCTTAAGGTGAGGAAGACCAACCAGTCCGAATCCATTTACAGAAAGAATGACATCATTGACCCTGATGGAAAGGTCAGAAAAATAAGCATGAAACTTCGATACTACTTTTTTAATTTACTGACCTCTTCAAGGCAAAAAAAAAGTCTGGGACACAAAGCTCTACTTTTAGAAGTCAATTCAGACTGTTTTAACAGAATCATGAATAAGTAGAATTTAGGAACGATGAAATTTTATATCACATTTGTTCGCTATGTCCATCTGACTTCCCAACTTTCCGGTCCGAGCTCGGTGGCACAAATGGGCGACAGATCTACTTTACCAGCCTATGATAAATAGCTGCATCAGATCCTGTCGCAAACGGTTTGGCTGAACAAATAAACAGGTGCAGAATGATGATAGCTTTGGAATGACTATATTTATTAGCTTTTTAATTATTCAGAGTGGAGGATAACTATTGCCATAGGAGAATCAGGGAAAAATTGCGTTGTTGCAAGACTTTGGTAACGAACGTATCATTCGGAACTAATGCATGGTGATACCAGCACTTCGATGTTATTGTAGATAAAAATGGCTACAATGTATCAAAGCACTGAAACAATTTACCTATTCAAAGTACTATGGAACTACTTCTATAAAGTAATGGGCTTAAAATTTCTTTTTTTAGCTATCTAATTTTGTACTAGACAGGCATGATAACCCATATACGCGCATCCAAAGACTAGGGGAGTAAAAAATTCACTTTATAAGTGAGAAATTACCCCACTTGAGTGGGGAGAATTACGTGCCATTCAATTGTGTAAAGGTAACAGAACGTTTCGCTACACCCTGCAATACGGAAGTATTTGAATGAAAATAAATTAAACCTAATCTCAGTGATTGTCGTAGATGAGTAGTGATAAAGGAGTTTAGACTACCTGAGACGGCCATCCAAGTCGGCCACGCCGCCGGGCGTGATGCGGGCAACGTAGACGAAGCGAGCATCGATTGTGGGTAGAGGAGGCTCTTGATCAGTGCCTCCGGCGATAGAGAAGCCGAAGCCCTGGGGTCCCCGCGTTAGTTGGACTCGGAAGATTGACGAGAAGCCGCGTCGTCGCTCCGAGGAGGAGTTGGATACCGAGACGGAGCCGAAACTCGGTGACTGCGAACTCGCCTCGGTGTTGTCGTCGAACAGCGGCTCACCGTTATCTCTCACACGACGCGAATGATGCTGCTCTTGGTTGTTATTGTGCTGGTGCAGACGGTGTTCGTAGCGATGGTGGTGTCGTCTCAAATCAAGACGACCGAATGAGCTGGTCATGACTGATGTGCGATCCCTTGCGCTGCTCCTCTTACATGCACCAGGCTCCAACGTCACCGGTCTTGTTAAATGGGATAAGGAACGCTAAAACAAATCGCACAACAATGCCACTGTATTGTCCAACTCATTATGTGGATAGGTAAAATAAATTATTTACGCAGCAAGGCAGGCACTCAGTATTTTTTAACCACAGATTGCATGCTAGCCCTTCTCGTACGAAATTATATCACTACGATTTGTTCTTATTATTATCATTAGTAAATAATAAAGTGGTAAATTGTGACGTACTCCTAAAAGTCTATTAGATATTTTTATGCTATCTTACAGCAGGTATCATAGGCTACTTATAACCTACAACATTTAAATCGCTTTATTTTTTCACGTGTTTGAATACTTTCCACACCTTCTGATGCCATAAAATTTAGAATTCATCCATTCTTTTTTCAAATGAAACCTAACCCTATGTCCAAATGGTTTTGTGCACATATAATACACTGCTTTTTGTGACATGAAAAAATCACAAATCCACTGATTTATGCAATTGCGCGTTCAGAAGCTGGTGAAAATCGTGGGCAAAGCCATAAATAGTCCACTTTCTTTACATTAAATAATAGAAGCCAATGAAAGATACTACTAGACATTTTATTATTACGCAAAAAACGTTTTAATTTCACATATGATTCACCACGAAAACATTTCATGCCCAGAAAGATGGCACAACGAACTTTTTCAGATGTTCAGCATGCAAAAGAATCCAGTGCCAGCCCAATGTCTGACTTCATAAAAGCAAATGAAGTAGTGGCGGTTAACTAAAAGGCGTTGTTCGCAATATGCAGTCTCGTTCGAACAATTAAGCCAAATGAAAAGTGATGCTGTCTGTAATTCAACAGCAAACACATTCGGAAATGTACGAGCGTTTATGCGCACATTAAAGTTTGTCTTCAATACAACACTTGAAAGGACTGCATCCCTTTTCTCCCCAGTACTCAGCATCAATAAAGGGAAAACAGGCGTTGCGTGAGTATAAGAGCAGTCGTTCAGATGTTTCCAGTCTCAAGCAATCGCTTTCCAAATTCAGTTACGCTGTACCACCCTCTTGAGAAAATTTGATGCACTTGGTTGACTTTGCCTAATTCGAAACAACGGTAGGAGGAAAGAAAGGAGGCAAAGTCGGGCACGAGAAGACATTCTTCTCCAGCAACACTCCAAATAACTTAAGCTAGGGGCTGATGGGCATAAAATACCAACTTCAGAATTGGCAACATTTAAAATAACTAACACTAGATTGTAAACTGTCCAATTTTTAGCCACCGGCAAACACAAATGCTCGAAAAACGGCATCCTTATCGTTAATATTGCTTTTTACCGTTCATATTTTAAGATGAGACCACCCATTTGTTGAGGCAATCAACATTTCTTTAGACTCCAAAATCAGTGGAACATCTTTGTGTTTGAGAGCAAAATAATAAGCCATGAAAACCGAGAGATTTTTGTACACTGACGTCCCCTGGGTTTTTCTCTAATGTCAAGTGGATTTTTTATTCACGAGGACGAAATTACGCCAGAATGTGGAAATATAATGCGAGAGGTATTCCTTCTGCAGTGTGCTATTTTGACCACTTATTAAGCATAAAAGCTCAGTTTATTTATTACAGAAACTCATAACGTAGTGTTATTTACGAAATGGCGGTTATGAGGCAACAGACATTAGAAACTCATAACTCCCAAAGTAGAACAGCAAAATTTAATGATGAAAGGGCAATAGGAGTCTAACACATAAGTACAAACGTTCCAAGTGGAAACTCAAGAGTGAACGTCTATGGGGAGAGGAGGATATCGCTTTAACACAGCAGACTATTTAATCCATGTGCGTACAAAAATCATCCGCTTATTCCAATCTATTTATGACAAATCTTAGAGGAACCAAATATCCCAGAAATTAGCGAAGGTCATAACAATAGAAGACGGAAGAGTTGAATCATGGTACACGGATGACTGTCTGACCAATTTCCAAGTGTACTAATGGGCAAACAAGAGAGGAAGAGATTAGTCGGACGGGAAGGAATGAGGGAGCACCACTTACGGATCTTACGCCGCTAGCGAGCTCGTTGCTGCTGCGATCTGAGTGGGTATAGAAAGTAGAGAGAGCCGAGGAGGATTTATCAATCTGCTCCCACCGACCCGCAATGTCAAGAGCCATGTCAGCCTTCACTTTCATCGGAATGGCCATCGAAAGCAGGGTCGTCTCGTAGAAATCACGCACTTCTACAGTAAAGCCAATTGCTTAATTTGCCTTCTTTGTCTGATGCGAAAAAGAGCCTTAGGGATTATGATTAATGCGATGAGGAGTAACTTTTTCTGAGAAATTGCTACAGCCAATGAAAAAACAATTTTTAAAGTACAGTTTTTTCATGTGCCATTGAGGTCGTATTTTATCGCAACGAAACACATTTTTGAGAAGGGAATTTAGACTACTTGCTCAAACTGCAGTAAACTCGAGCAAGCGATTTGTTACAACTTCATAAGCTGACATCACTTTATAACAGTAATATAGTGCAACTGAAAACCCTGACCTCCTTTAAAAAGGAATCGGGCATTGCCGAGAAAAAAAATATATATAAGGGTTGAGGTCCAAAAGGAGCGAAGATCCTACTAGAATGACTAGTAAACGGTTGAATGAATAGCTAGTTTAATACAAAAGACCGACTCCATTGACAAGTTAGTAAATCTACAAATTCTCGTAGCAACGCCCTTATTTAGTGAGTTTCCGGTTCTAACGTTTCATCAGAGTCCAAATACAATGTCGCCCGAATGTACATCGTTCTGGGTGGCAGTGCATGAACTCTTAACTAACAATTCGGTTGGTGAAAGTAAAAATAGACACCGAATTTCCTTTGTACCAAGTAAATATGTTTTGTGTAAACAACGATAGGTCAGTTTCTTGTGAAACGACGAACAATTGAATTTTTGCATGAAAAGGCCTTAGGATGCAATCCAAAAGGAGCATATGAATATGGGATTACTTAATTGTAATGCAACGTAATTGGTGGGCCTGAGAGGCGGACTTTTTAGTGGGTAACTAAGGCGTCACTGGTGAGTTCACACGCGCAAATACGGTTTTCTTCTCGGCTAACAAAGTCGCCCGCTTTGGTGCAGTGCAGACGTGCCTATTTGGATTGACAGGGTGGATGAAGGAATTAGGGCTGAATGAAAATAATATATTCCGCGTATTCTATTGCTGTCGAAACATTAATTTTTGTAATCCATGAAAGGAAAATGCGTACACTACTGTACGTTAATCAAGCCGGATTTATTCAAATGGTGTAAAGTGAAGTGAAACAATGATAACACGAAACATCAGCATAATGTTGTCATAGTCATTGAAGAAAAGCCATACGACGGATTCATATAAAAGTAATGCAAATGATTACAAGCTAGCAAACTAAAAAGACCTCATATTACTAAAAAAGTAAGATGACAAGAAAACTGACGATGATGTCAACAAAAATAGCATCAACACTGCCGTAACCCAACCATTTACCATATAATTGCAATAAGTTGGTTGTTTAACCCTCGGTTTTGGTCAAGGGCCACTTTCGACTTGACCATTGCACCTCGCCGGAAGGACTGACCTCCAGGCTATACTAGTAGCCCAAATACCTTCTCTATGTCGAATGTGTCTATTCTGCCTGAGTATTATGTCTTCCTTCGTCTTCAGGGAAGTGTTGGGGCACTACAGTGGTGGCGGCGAAAAGCGAACCCTATTTTAAAGGACATCTATCCTGATTTCTACTGCCGGATGATAAACCTTAGTGGAGCAAAAGAAGTATATATGCGACGGATGGAAGAAGGGCTGAAATCGGCGTCTATCTTTGGCAACACCCCAGTTCCGTGTTCTACAAGAAAGCAATTAACAAACAAAGCGACACTATCCGTTACCGAGTTTCCCTACCGTACCTGCATAAAGCCGTCAATAAAGTGAACTTACAACACCTCCTTCATTTCCCTACTAGCTGCATAGAGCCCGGATAGATATAGCTGGCCAGCTTCGAAGTGAAGACAACGTGCCAAGGAGGAACAGACGCTAGGCCCTTCTCCCACGGGCGTATGTTAAATCCCATCCTTCCTTACATAAATATGCTTTTAGGCCGGTGGCCAGCACAATTCCCCGTTTCTGAATCCAGTTCCCAAATTGGGCGAAACTCCAGATCAATTTGACTTGCCAAGAGGATCGGTTGTGTAGAAATTTGATGACCGCCACGGCCAGTTCGTGGATATTCGCTTATAACACCATGTTGTGGTGGCTGACGCGGACGGTTGACCAAGGGGAGCGCCGTGGACGACGCTCAAAAGAGGAGAGGGACTACTTAATACTTTGGTTGTTTGCTTAATTGTCGGTTTTCGTAAAGGGTCACTTTGCCTTGGGCATTGTACCTCGATGGGTGGACTGGCCTCCGGGTGATGTCAATAGCCCCAATACCTTCTATATGTTGAATGTATATTATGTATTATGTCTTCTTTCGTCTTCAGAGAAGTCTCGGGGCTCTACATAGTCTTTTATTCCGCGTTTTCGCATCAAAAAGCTAACAGACTTGCACCGAGGCTCCTAGAAAGACCGTTCTGGTAAATTTAGACATAATCCGCGCAACTATTTTATGGTGTTACAGCGAAAATTCTACAAACATTTGATTAGCTAACTAAAAATGGGGTAAACAATGGGGTGTGCATGAGCAAGTGTCGCTTACAACATGTTGAAATTGTTGCAAAATTACTAAATTTACTGAAAGATTCTTATTCGCAAAATAATTTAAAAGGAACATAAATATGATCCACTCATAGTTAGATATTAAACGGAGGATGATGAGTACAGACACGTTGCGTTGAAGTAGCAACCCGAAAAACTCTCACAACGAAGGGACTACTTTTGGTCGACCTGAAAAAGGTCTGCTGCGCTGTGCGATAGCGGACCGTTCGAAAGGCTCCTAAGGCCAGCAGTTCGTATTCTGTAATGCGGTGTCCAGAGAAGAAGCGGTTGTCGCCACCACACCCGACCCACCTCGGCTGATCATGCTGGCTGATGACTGGAATGAGGCAGGAGCCACCAAGTGCCGCACACTGCCACCCCAATGCACATCCACATATGGGCATACATCCACTAATTCCTTTCACGAATATCGTTTGTGGCTCACTTTTTTATCTGTTACTCGAATTACAATGCACACCAAGGGACTGATTTTTAGAGTTTTGGTGCTGACATTGAACCAAATCTTCCCACTGCACACACCTTCAACATTTGCACGATAACGACACTGTTAAATAAATCCGTTACCATCACTTTATGAAGACGAGTTGTATAAACTCTAGATTAAATCTCTGCAAGCATTTGAACTAAGTAGATCTAAGAAGTCGTAAAAAAGAGAGCATACGCACCTAGGTAGGCGTGGTAGAGGTGATTTTGCATGACCTCAACCACGCAATCAAGAGCAGCTATCAGTTCTTTGTCAGTTCGCTTGTCCAGGCCATCTCGGAAATCGATGATTTCTCTCAAAGCTCGTTCTGCACCTGAAAACAAAATAGTTGAGAACGCATTCGGAGTCATTGAGCTTTCATCGCAACAGAAGATGAAGTCATGGAAGAGTCTAATACACATCCGAAAGTCATAGATAAGGCACAAACTCGCGTATGTACATCTTGAAGCCTTGTGCTTACATAATTAGGCATAACAAAGTGGCTAAGCCGAGTCAATCTTTTCAGCTTAAGGATCAAACTAAAGTATTCCCTTGTTAAAAGGAACAAATTTCAATTTTTTTTTCACATAATAAGATCCATTTATGCCTACCACCTTTGTTTTTGGCTAAAATGCGATTTCAATCAGTGATGCAAGACAACGACTTCCTTACGGAACCGATCATCAAATGGTTTGGATCAAGTCATAGATGCCTTTCCTTTATTTATAAATAACTTTTTGGGGCTCCTTTTGAATGTTTTGAAAGTGCTGAGATTCCCTAAATAGCATTTGAGGCGTGGCAAATCCCACTGAATTTGTGCGCAAGCGGGAAGGGCAAGCAACTCTACCGGAAGACACTCATTCCATCACAATGGGTACACTTTAAACTGTGGCTGCATAACCAAAGTTACCAGGTCACTAAAAACAATCAACCTGCAGCCACTGGAGACCTCACATCAACGAATGCAACACCTATCTGTAATGCTTAACCCTGACGCGTCGATGACTCCTGAAGAATGTGCAATCTAGACTATTTAAACGGACAAAGAGGTTCATTTTGAGATAAATCCGTAAAGAACACAAATTTGAAGCTATGTTTGATATTTTGTTGTAACAAATCAGCATAACAAGTCTATTACTCGGCAAAACCCCACCTATAAAATCACGCCTTGAGGACTGGTAACCCCACGATAAAGAAGGACATTTAACCCTGGTAGTCAAAATAAAAAAGTTGATAAATGGGATTTTGCTGTTTCGATATCAAATTTTAGTAAAATGAAGGCCAAAAGTTCACATTGGTGAGTGATTCCACTAATGTGTCTCAGAAGATATTAGTAAAAAAGAGTGTAAGAAGAGGTGATTCGAGAGAGAACTCAAAAGCGATACTGAAAGTTAACAAACTAGGGTGCACTATTTTTTTAAGAAAAACAGACCTTATTATGCCAGCATCTATTCATTTAAATTCCACTACATTAAATAGGATCGACTTTAAGGCAGAAAATATCATGAAGCAGGTCCAGCGTCGTCCATCGTACGTGCGTCCCATTTCGTCATTTTGTCACGTTTGCAAAAGACGAGGGTTATTTTATGTTCCAGATTTTAAAATTTTGCTGCGCTTTCAAAGTAACGAAAATCAAAGAAGAATCTTGTCATTAGTTTTAAAAGTTAAGGCATCACTTTCTGTTGGACTTGAGTCTAACAAGATGCTGGATGAGATTAACATTCTAAATGAATATGAAATTAAGCTGCATAATATCCGAATACCTGAAGATAATCTAAACCTTCAGTTGCACACCTTTAAGATAACTAGCTCAAGGAAAATTATAACTTTATGAGCAAATGCTGAGTACTAAATCACAATTCCGTTGATATTATAGTTATAAGCGTTTCTATGATTTTGTGCATAATACGTTAGTTTAAAATACGGGGGGAAGTAATATGCTTCATCACAATCCATACATGGAGGAGTGAAGATAGCGCGGTGTAATATTGATACATACAATAAGTCTAAACAAACTGAATCATAATTTAGGATTTGTAGCAAAGGGGTGGAAGAAATTATAGAAGTCAAAGGCAACGGCAGACATCTTTCAGAGATGAAGTAACACTATTACACAAGTGATCAGATGTCTTTAGTGTAACACAGAGAGTGAGTACACAAAGCACCGCTTTAATATTAAACATAAAAAGTAGCTTACTCCTTTTCGAATGCATAGTGAGGTTTCAAATCACATTCGAAGATATAACTAAAATTATGCAATAAAATTCACCATTAGGGCTAGATTTAAACATCAGGCACAGCATAAAATCAGACTTCGTTTTATTTAAAACCAAGGTTTACAAATATCATTCAAAGACTAGTTCAATAATAATTAATAGCTTATGAGTATCCGATAAATACTGGAAAGTGAGGAAAACAAAAAAGTTAGGAAGTTCGTCAGTAATCCAGAAAAGTGGTAAAAAACTTAGAACGTTTATTTCACAAGCGTGAAAAGAAAATGTAGGATTGCAATTTTTTGTGCAGATACCATAATTAGGTCTGTTTCCCAGCAGGCCCATTACTAACAAACCAAATTAGTGAGAAGACAAAACATCCGATGCCAAAGTAAGTGCAAAAAGTAGTAAAAAGCGAATTAACATGTGGAAAAGTTTGACATCCAGTACTAATTATTGCTATTAAGAGATCTAACTGGATTTGCTGTGAAATGCGTAAGTGCGGGAAAATGCCAGACAGTAGATTACTGAAGATTAAGGGCACGTAATCTAAAAATAAAATGAACCCACGACCTTAAACATAAGTGCTAATTTAGTAAAAACCCCTTAGTTTTGTAATGATATTAATGTATACACACAACATGTACCAATTCACCAAACACAGCGCAAATTCGAAACACTTCAAAGTGATAACGTAAAAGACCTAAAGGTCACAGGTACGGCTTTTGCAAAATAAGTATTATGGTGGCAATGGCAACAACTTTGCCAGCTGTAAAATTATCTAATAAATTATCAAAAGAGGTATCAAATTTATTAGTGCCAAGAAGAATCTTGGTTGTGTGTATCCCTCAAATTGGGTGTATTTTTGCCTGATAAAAGTCTAGTTTTTTAGAAAATTGAATATTGTAGCACTTGCGCTGTTTAAATGTACCCTTTGGGTGAGGAGCGTTTTGAAAAGACAAATCTGGCGGAAGAGTTCAAAACTGAAACTCCCCCACACCTGTGCTCGGACCTGTTAACGTTGGTAAATAAGCATGCGCCTATCAAATCAATCTGTTTCTTCGGGGGTTTAAAATGCCAAATAAAAAGAGTTGGATCTGGACGCACTACGAGTGTTATGTATAGGCGAAGGATTATTGCTGCTTCTTAGTCTAGTTAATAAAATGCAGGATTATCTTGCTGCTCACAAAAAATATTGCAAAGGTATCTCCTGTGCAAGTGATGTGCTAAGGAAAATTCAACTCATTAAATGCGCCAAACTTTGGTGCCTTAATGCACCTTTCCAACAACGGCAGGAAGCATATCTTAGTGTGTAAAATGCAGTTTGTGAGATCTATTCAAAAAATTACCCCATTTTGGCGCTACACCCTCTCGTGATTTTATTTTAACTTGATTTTGCGTATTATTTAGTACATGATTCTATGATACGATAGTGGTTTATCTCTCGGCATTGGTGAGGGGCCACTTATGTACTTTGAATTAGCGTCCCTGTACCTCGCTGGGTGGGCTGGCCTTTTGGGCCATGCCAATAGCCCAGACACCTTCTCTGCGCTAAATATATATTTTGCCTGAGCATTTTCCTTTTTTTCGTTTTTAGAGTGTCTTGGGACGCTACGATTCACTGGCACTCCAAGTCTTCAGTGAAGTCGCAGGCAGACGAGTTGTTATGGGAAAAAGCATGCACTGGTTAGCTGCAGAATGCCTGAGGATCTAATGCTAGAAGCCACATAGTGTATCGCAGGAAAGAAGTACAATCTGCGGGGATTAAATACTTGCCTGGCTAAACACAATTAAAAAAACCAAAAATCTGCGGAATAGTAAGCTATAGTGCCGAAGAAGCATTGGTTAAAACACAGTCTTGCATAACAGATCCGCATAAAATAAATAAATGCACACAATTGATGGTTATAATTTAATAAATTATTCCAATTTTTACTAGAATTAGTTATTTACATTGGTTGTCCAAAAATTGCAAAGACTTTGAACAGTAATTATTTTGTAAATCATTCTGCATAAAAGAACTGGTAACTGCCTTAGTAAATGTTGGCAAATTTTTCTTTTTGTGATAAACTTTCTTTATTCTTTTCAAAAATTTTGTTGTACTATCACATTTGACCTTGAGTCCTCGTTTTTATTGGTTTAAATTTCCACTTACAGTGTTTTGGAGATACCAGTCGCATGCATGTGCGGAGGTTAGCTTGTGTTTGCTCCTCTTATTCCTTTAATAAAGTGACACTGTTACATACACTTTGAGGTTGAGGCTTTATACACTGGACTAAATTACTGGCAATAGAATATGAAGTTTGCGGAGCATTTGTCTGCACATCTTACGCCTGAGTGGCGAAAGCAATATATCGAATATGAAGTGAGGCTTTATCATACATATCTTATGAATTCTAGGCTCTTAAGGCAATTCTTTATAAGGCACTGGATGATTTTGAAGAATTACCAGGTATTTTCTATTCCACTTGATTTTTTTGTGCAGTCGTTGATGCTGTTACCGTCGGCGAGCATTTCGATGAGTGCGACACTGTGTTTTTTGCTATGTGTCAAGCTGAGTTGGATAAGATAAATAATTTCTTTGCAGGTTTGTAAGATTTTTCACCTTTAATACTGTGTTTTAAGAAAAATTGGCTGAATCTAAGAGAAAATTTGCAGCAATAAAAGACGAATGCGACCGACATTTTCCTACAAGACGTCGAGCTCCGATTGCATCGCTCTATCTAAATAGTCCCGCGGCAGTCATCGAGAACGAACCCGCACGGGATGCTAGTGTATATCGTAATGCTGAGCGACCACTGGAATACACGCACAGTTCAGTACATCGTATTAATGATATGGACATGCTGCGCCGACGTAGGAATACCTTTCGACTTAAAAAGGACGAAAAACGTTTTGTTCATGCGTCTCGACAAGTTGGACAGAATGAAGAGACACCTCGTTTGAAAATTTATGATCTTAAACTCGCATTGAGTGAATTCTATCTAAGTCTAGTGTTGCTGCAGAATTACCAAAGCCTCAACTTTACGGGTTTTAGAAAAATTCTTAAGAAGCATGACAAGGTGAGTAGTCTCTGTGGGTGTTGCTTCTGCAATTTCTTCATGAAAAATTGCTCGTTTTTCTTTTTTCAGTTATTTCAACGTTCAAATGGTCTGGAATGGTATAGAAATACTGTATCAGCAGAACCATTCCATATAGATGATTCAGTTGATGCAATGATAGCTGAAGTCGAGGTAATTATGAAGGGATTGTTTCAGTTTGAATGTTAGCTGTCATATTTTAACTACAAGTCCTAACTATAAACAACATGTCAGATTTTCATAATTTGCACTGATTATATCATTTTTCTGAGTTATCTATTTGAATGCACATTTCAATGTAGAATGACTTTTTTCTGTATATGTTCTCACTGTTTGCGTTGCCTGGATTTCAGCAGCTTTAAAACGTAAAGATTAAGCTAAACTCACAAGTCAGTTCATGAAAGATGTAATTATTTCACTCATTCCTGGTCTAATGTTTTCTTTCTATCTGTGAAAAGTATAGTTTGCTTTCTCAATGATACAGTGTTGATCATGTCTATTGATTCTGCGCGTACATTACTTGGCAATTCCTTTACGGTTTGGGGTCCTTTTTTATTGCTATTTTGCCTATATCAAATAAACATGTAATTTAAAAAGGCAATGACGCTCTCTACATTACTTTTTTGACTTAGTACAGAACACCTTTGCCAGGGATTTGTTGCAAGATTTTATGATCTGTAAAATCCTATGACATGACCCCAACTTTTCGCTACACTGCACTTAGATGCCCTACATTATTTTTCTGTCAGGATAAACCACCAATATCATTCCACTAATTTTGCAACAAATTCAATGTGTGTGATTTTATAGATACATCTTGATATGTAGTGCATTAATTTGACGAAAAATATATGGTTATCACTTAAGCTAAAAGCATTAAGATGTATGAGTGCCGGTGTCCGTGACATTCTGTTTTACTTCCGGGTTAAGGTCAAAAATCTTATCTAGTTGCTAAAGGTGTCGTAATGCAGAACCCCTCAATCTTTCGAAACCCATCCTTTATTAATTTCAATTGTGCTATTGGACTGTACTTGCATCGGTACATTAATTTTTATCTCGATGAAGTTGAGTGTTCCACAGTCAGAGAGATGGCGTGTATCCTACACAGACCGTCTTCAAAGTGTAAATGCAATCGTCTTTAATCAAGCGGACCGATTTGTTGTCCGCCAAACCTATTTTTACATGGAATATTTATTTGAACTTCGGATATGTGTTTAAACAAATATGTATGTCCTATGGTTGGAGCACTATGAACATTTCAATGGATCCTAATTTAAGTCTAACAACTTAAATGATACTGATTATCCCATACGCAGACTCAACTTTTTACACTGTCTTGGTAAGGGTGTCTAAATGTTCTCTTAGACTCGTACTTATTGTTTTGGAATGATTTAGGAAACATTTACGAAACTCGAAGGTGGGAACCGCCAGAAAGCGATGAAACGGCTTCGAGTGCCTCCGCTTGCCGCTCAGGTATGTTGCCGACCTGTTTTCGGCCTTTAAAGTGACTCGAAGATGCTAAGAACGCAATTCACAGTTGATTACTGAAACACACTTGCTTTGTCGCATGGGGAGAGGATAAATTCAACGAGTTTTGGGTAATTGATTGCGAGTTACCTCCATCCAACTCATCATATCTCCATCTTAATGGGTGGCAGTAACATGTTTTTAGTTATTTCCAGTTTAAATGCGTGTATAGCATGGCAGGTGCCCCAATTTTTCCTCGACTAGTAAATGGTACACATGGCGTTCCGACACTTAAAAGCACTCAAAATGTCATCCTGGCATGCCATTACATTTGCGTACTTTTTTCACGGAATTTCCTTAAACCTCTGGATTTTATGAGCTCATACATAGAATTGAAAATTTCTATCCTTCCTCAGCAGACAAACCGGCTTGTGCCTTCTAGCGCTGCAGCATAACATGAAGCTATTCCTGATGTCACTACTTTTGCGTTCTCGTTCTCTGCTTTTTTTTCCCGTGATTGTTTGACATCGGGTGACGTGTGAATGTTGAGATCTGCTCCTCTATATCGTCTTGCAGATTGTCATATGGTTTAGAGGAAAATTCCACAATATAGCCTCTCTCCCACGGCACACAGACTTTCAAGTCTCTACGCTTGAGTGCTTGCATCTGCTTTCTGCACACTTCTTTTTAGGTTTTGATAAACACATCCTCGGGAAATGTTGGTCAAAATAAGTGATAGTTCGCCATCCTTACATATGAATTTTTTGGCCGTTTAACGACAAAATGCTGTTAATTGGTTTAAACAGTGCCCTAAACCGTAATATCCGTAGAATTTTCAAATAATTACGATTCAAAAATCCTTGGAACTGGATGCGTTGGTACCTTTAACGCGATGGATTTTTTCGTATTTTTTGGTCTCCCTGTGGTATGGTCAACTTCAAGACAGTTGTGTCATTGCCACCTGTACGGGCAGGTGTATGCCCCAACTGCATGAATACGCAGTCGTGCCTGGAGGCTGGTGGTGAGAACCATATTCCTAAAAACATTAATAATATTATTAAGATGCGTGACAGTTAGGACAGTGACGCGGGAGGCGGCTTCGTTTCGTCGTATTTATTTTCCTTGAAATGAAATTTTGAGTCGAGTAATTGCAATTTCATTGGGCGATTAGGTTATCATTCTTGTTTTTAAATTCTAACAGGTCTGTGGCTAACTGATCGTTTAACCACATCTTTCAATTGAACATCCGTGATAGGCAAAACGCCCTTTCATTCTCCTTTCTATTAAAATTGACTGGTGGATATAATAGCCATTTGAGTTTGTTCCAAAAGGAGTGAGGAGTATTCAGATTCTACTAATCGCAGACTTGAAGTATCAAGACTTTTACATGCTTGAGGCAATTCTGCCATCGTCCTACTTTAGTTGTCTTTGCGTATCATAAAAAATATTCCAACTTACTGTAATGTTATGGCTGAGTAGATGAGATTCTGTGCGATAAACTGGTGCCAAGGTCAGGCGTTGCACTTCTTTTTCTCAGTTTGGCCTAAATGCATGGCGAAAACCACAATAAGCCTATCTTTTCTTTCCCGCCGTGCAAAATTTCGGTCGCGTTGCAGGTGTCAGGTAGAGCTGCATGTTCTGACCATTTTTACATTGTTTTGACACATTTCGTATGGGTGTGACTAATTCTGTCTTTCAAGAATTGCTGGAGTTTATATCCTACCCAAAGAACCACAAAATGCATTTACTAGCCAAATCACAGAATAGTGCCATATGCACAAGAGGTGTTGCTAAATTGGTCTAAAGTGCATACACTTGGCTTAGATTGTATGAAACGCCCTTCATTTTAATAACCTTTGAACCAATTGCATAGTCGGGTTCATCCAAAAAAGTGATTCTCGATCCTTCACGCAGACGGTTATGATGCAGAGGATCCGGTAGAGTCGTTTGCTACGATTGTGGAAGCGAATGCTCAAACGCATTTAAATTTGCTGCAGTCGAAAACGGGTTATTCCATTTACAATTCTCGTCTAAAGAGTGCGGGGTCCACATCAGTGAACCCCCGTGTGCGTCTCTTGGCGCAATACGACTTTCTTAGGCCTTCATTATTTTGCGAAGTAATTATGAGTCATTTTCTTTAGACATACTACCTGAAACGCTCTTTATCTGGGGACCAGTGAAATGCTTTTTGGGTGCTCTCAGTGCATTGGAACTCCGGTGTCGTTAAAATACCTTAATCTCTCCTTCACATTGTTCTCCTAAGTGCATTACACAAGCCCGTTCACATATCGAAGGCCCCCTCACACCTCTTCAATACAACCACAGACAAATTTTTTCTTACACGCGGAGATGAAAACTTGGTTAATCATTCATTTTTTCCTTTCACTGGAACCTTTAAAATCTGACTATCGTATAGTTTTATCTAACTTACCACTTCCTAATGCCTCTCAATTCTCCAGATCTCACCAACAATCAAAGATGTGGAGCGTTAGGAGGATCAGTGTTGGGAAAACAATAGAAAGTGGTTTCAATCCACTATGTTTAATGCTTTTTCTATCAGTTTTTTTAATACGTGATCCTTATCCAAACAATTTGAATAATAATTTTAACAGGCTCACTGTTCAGTGCCTAAAACTTCTCTTGCCCTATTGTCTTGTTGCGTTTAGAAACGCTTGATGTTTCCAATTGAGTCAATTTGGGAAATTAACTTGCAGCTTAATTTAGTGGAATTCATGCGAAATCAAATCATTTTTCCCAAGGCTACTATTTTTGGTCTCGTTTGTTTAGGAGTAACACTTCCATGACTACTTTTGTGTAAAACTTTTGCCCTCATATCACCAATGCATGGATTGAATGGCACACCAATTTAAGTGACCGGTTTACGAATCCGTTTACAAGTCCCTTGGAATGTTGGAATTTCTGGCTTTTTTAAATATATTATACATTCTCATTATTTATCAGTGACCGCTTTTGTTGCACAAGTGTTCGTGACTTTTTACTCATGTGATTACAATGATCGTGTCCCGCTTGGCTTTGGTCTTTGGATTTTTGATAAAAATGAAGCAGCTATACGAGAAACCCTCTTTTGTGGTTTAAGCAACTAATTTCCAAGTCCTTTGAAAATATCTATCCGTAAACGCTACCTAAAGTCAGCTGGAGAATAATGTACCATTTTATCGTTCATGAAACTCGCTTAGTGAGCTTAATTGATTTGTAAAAGTGTCATTAACTGGTATCAGTCCTATTTCTAAACGGGTAAAAATGTGCTTTAGCCATGCACTCGTGCCTAAACAGTTCCCTTAGACGTATATTATATGTTATTTGCCAAAATGAAGCCCTCGGTAGGATCTCAATTAGTGGTTACCCAATTTACGGGCTTACACATGTTTTTTATTATCTCTTAAGATTAATTAAACAGATGAAATATGGGATTTGTTCTGCGTCTTTGCATACCCATGATATTAGATCTCGTGAAGACACCTCGCCGTACCCTTTTCCGGCCCAAGTGCTCATCAACCTCGCACTTTGGGGAATTCGTCAAGACTTTGAGACTTTGCTATAAAGTATAGTATCTGTCGCTGGTGGGGAATCGTTTATTCCTAACTCAGATTCATTGGCTTGTCCCAAGAGTCGTAAATACATGGCTGTGACACTCATCCACGGCCGTCATGTCATTCTACTTAAAAGTATCAGAGTCGGTGTCCCAAGCTTCCAAAGGGCCGGCAAATTTGATGTTAAACCATAACTCAGGTGGAACTACATGCATTAACCTAACTGTTTCCATTGAACCAAAAATTTGCTTCAATTGGCACATTTAGGACAAAGCTGGACAAATTCTACTTTTTTCAAACTACTCACGATTTACACACACATTTACATTTGCAGCCACTTCATCTTATGGTAATGTTTGGTGCATATTTTCGGTGCTTTTGGATATCCATGGTCCAGTGCGTGTCCACCAAGCACTTTATTCTGTAAATTAATGTCACGTATCGCTATCAACTTGATGTCTGATGATTCCTGTCACAGGACACATTATTTTTTTTCCAGCCAACTAACGGACGATGTTTGTGGTTGACACCCTACTCGTCACTAATCTTTGTTTGTCGACTTGAATAAAAACTCTATGGCAAAAATTTCATCAGTGTTGCAAAGACTGGGTTAAAAATTTAGTCGGTTGGACTGCACTTGATCTCTTGTAATGACTACCTCATTTCCTCCGCTCATGATTTTAACACTCTCACGAGATCTCCTTCCTCTGAGTAAGCAATTTCGTATTTTTTTGTTTTAGGCCAGTGGAAAGTCAATTTTTCGGTTCGGGCTTTTTTTTGGTATTTTCCTCTCCGAAATATTGTGCATAATTCTAGTCGGTGAGTTCCTCGCCCCATTTTTGTACATAACTCGCTTAATTACTTGCTTGGGAGATTGGGATATGTCACTTGACAAGTAGCATTTCCCCCGGTGCATATTGTCAGTTTAATCTGCATTTCGTTAAGAAAGTGTGTCCTACCTCATGCATTATTCGTTTACCCCACTTTATGTCAAGCCGATTCTTGTTTTTAATTGTCCCTTTATTGCTGCTGCGAATTTCATTCGAGACTTCTCAATCAAGGTCATTTTATGGTCAACAAATGTTTACGTCTCTATAATGTGAATGAGCAAATCCTGTCAATGTTTGAGCGGACCCAACGCTTCAATACAGTTTGCATGCAAAAAAACTTTACACACATTTTTCAGTAAACCCTGGCTAGACAGATGGTGAAACTTTTATAACTCCCATGTAGGTGATCGGTCATAATCTTTCTCCACTCTCTCTCTCTCTCCACATGAATGAATGCTGGAGTCACTGTATCCAAACGGAACCTTTCAGTGAGACCCTCAGTTTTAAGGTGTTAAATCAACTTTGTTTTAGAGAATGTGAAATGTCCTAGTTTCCTTCCTACCCGCCTTGCGAGGATTTGTGTCCAACTGTCGTTCACGCCTATAATCAAAGCTTCGAAGATAGTCACACGTGGAAGCTTTGGCCTAGGTACAACTTTCGGCATCTTATTGGCGAAAGCACTGCAGTCTCATTTCATTTCGTGAAATAGCGTCCCCTTTGTTTTATTTTCACCAATTTCGTTTCCTTCAATCGTGTGCAGATGTCGAGCGTCGATATTTTTCCCTTACCAGTCTTGACGAACAGTTTTTGTCCACTTTTCTCCATTATTTGGGAAAAGATGCGACAAGCATTTCATCCTACTTAAGTGCACCTCAAATGATCCTTTTTCATCAAGACCTCCTACCCACGTAAAATTTAAGAGGCCTTGTGGAAAAGTCCCAATGAAACAATTTTGTGACTTTTCTTGTTTATAAGTAAAATTTGTGTTAACGACCGCTTCCTAAATCAGTTAACACCCTGAAATCTGGTTCACTGTGAATCCTGGGAGGAGTCTACGAGAACAGCTTCTAAGTATGTTTAAAAGGTAGTCAAAAGATATGAAGAGAATGGAATAGAATATAAAAATGGAAAATAGGGGGAAATTTCACTGGACGAATTCAAATTTTTAATTTTCTAGAAGCAAGCTTGCCAAGTTAGCATACATTTTTGCTCAATTGGTGAATGATTTCACTGAATCGCTACGGAGCGCCTCTTATGACTGTTTTCTCCATTCAGCTGTATTTGCAAAATTGCCACAGTTTTCGTATCCTGCATTTCGCCTCTTCCGAGGAAGCTTTTTGGTCATTTACTACGTCTGCATGGTCGGAGTCAACGTCTACGGCTGGCGAAGCTCTGGCGTCAACCACGTGCTCATTTTTGAGATCGACCCCCGTTCCCATCTGAATCAATTTCAACTCATGGAGGTAGGAGACTTTTTGACCAGGTCGCTACATCGGACCTTGGAGGACGCTAACCATCCTCACCTAGGTTCAGTATGACTGCATTGTGTTCTAGCCTTTTCAGAATTTGAGTAGCCCCTACTGTAATGAATTTCCTGTAGCATTGTTGTCTCAATGTTATGCTGATCACCTGATTTTGCTTGTAGCAAAGTCCTACAAGCAACTCTTCCCTCACTCTCAACTCGTGTGTCCCTTTGCACTTATGTCAAGTCTACTCGTTGGTGATTTAGTGCAAGGTCCCAAATAGTCCACCCTTCCAATAGTAAAATTACTTGCAAAATTGGTGTTCATAAAAGGTCTATTAGACGAGGTCTACCGTTGCATGCTAATGTGAAATCTGATGTTATCAACTCGGCTATGCATGCTGTAGGCGCATGGATGCAACCGATGTACGTGTACTCCCATCAGGATGATATGATAATTGACACAAACTGGTTTCAGCTGTTCTTAATAGCTGGTGATTTAACTCACGAAAGCCCATTATTTATAAGATGTTACTGCTAATAAGTATCTCTTCAAACCCATTCCCTTCGATGCAAACTAAATGAGCATTCAGGAAACTTATCGAATCGTTCAACTTACTGCAAACGCGTTCCGACTTTTTATAATTAAAAAGATGCATAGTAAAAAATAGTCAATTACAGTCGAGGGGATCAAGCGAGAACCACGATTTTGCTATCCAATCTGTTAACCTCCAAACACCGCAATCGGGCATCCGACTCCGTATAAGCGGTGGACGGCAGGTTCAGACTGCGGCGTCGTGTTTGTGCCTTTAAGCCTCAGTGATTAAGCGATAGTGGGCAGTCATTATGTCAACGTGTTTTGACCGACTTTTTCGCTCATAAATTAGAACCCGACATTCATTAATTTCAGTCTGCTTCAACCATTCAGTCGTTCAAGGACAAAACAGTTGGAAGAGATAAATTTTGTAACTGCGTATTCTTGGTTTATCACCCATTTTTAACAAAATATCGCGTTTGAGTGAGTATTATGATTTCAATTCGGTAAATTGTAATTCCTCGGTAAAAGTTTATTTAAGCATGCATTCCCTTTTACCATCATTCTAACTGTGTGTCCCAGCAAATTTCCCGTCCCTGTAGCAAGCATCCACCGACACGACTCCATTGCCACACATTTCTTACACTTCTGATTAAATGTGCTGTATTTTTAAACTTATTAAATAATTAGTAGTGGCGATTTAATTTCAGCTGAATAAGGCGCGCGCACGTGCCGGTGTTGTTTTTTTGTCCTTATTTCTAGATGGGCATGTTTTTGGCAGACTTTTGGGGTGCCGCGGTGTTACTCTACCAATTTTCCGATTTAATCCACTTTCCTGGCTACGTGACCCCACTTGTCCTCTTCACCACCATGCTGGTCTTCCTCCTCTTGCCCTTTCACATCTTCTACTTCAAATCTCGTCTCTGGCTTCTCAAGATCTTGGTGAGTTGGCTCTTATTTTCGTCTCATTCCATCTAGAAGTGATCAAAACGTATGCAATTCTGTCTTGATTTGCTACTTTTAGTCATTGGTATTATTTAATAGTCGTCTTTTTCAAAGGGAGTTCATCTCTGTTCACATTGTTGCTCGTCCACCAAAATTAATCAGTAGATGCTGGGTCTTTAACTATTTTGTATCTAAATACTTCTATTAAGCAAGAGTACTCTCGTCAGGTCGTACGGACTTTATCATTTGGCTTTGAGAACATGGAATATCTCCACGTTGCCAAGCCTACATTCTCGATTATCTCTTCCACTTACTTAGGAGCTGATGAATCTTGATTGTAAGTTATTGTAAGGAATGCCACAATGACTTCCACGCATTTAGAATGTTTGGATATTAGTGAGTTCAGTCACCCCGCCTGTCTGGGTGTGTGCTGTTTCAATTGTCCACTTGGTTGGCAGCCTTTCTCCGGCCGAGGCACCGCTAGTCGTAATGACACAGTTCTACCTTAAATGTGTCGCTTTGGAGAATGAGTAGGTGAAGCTCTCACCGTCACACACCACTGTTTGTTTCATAACCTGATGTCATATGAGTAGGTGTCGCTTTTTAAGACGGCGTCACCATAAACTGTTTCACAAGTTTCGGTAAGAAATGCACCACGTTGGATTGGCGCTGAAATTCTTTTATTACATAAAGGTGGGAAATCTGCCCTTCCAAGCACGTACACATCAGAATGTGTCTCGTTCAATTATTACCAATCACTTTTCAGATCACATTTGCACTATTGCAGCCACTAACAATTGGGTCTTCGGGAGGTCTGTATGAATTCTTTGCCGTGCACAAGTCGATTTATCTACATCTGAAAACATTGGGGGTAACCGTAGTAGCTGGCTGAGTTTCCCATTGGCAATCGACTAGCAAACAGACTTCGGTTGATCATGGCAGAGCTTTAACAGTTGTGTGTTTCATAGTGTCTTACACAAAAGGCTTACATTTAATCCTCTTAGAATCAGTTATACTAAGTTATACGCACTGACGAACGCCTCTCCAGCTTTTTAACTTGGTATACTTTAATACCTTCCGCAGAACTCTCTTTATTCCTTTCCACAGATCCTGCTTATAAATTCAGTTTATTCATGTCTCTCTTAATGTAAAATTAGTAGTAGGCTTGGTTATAGATTATTATTAAGACAAATCTGACTCTAATCACCCATGCGTGCCCACTGTGGATGACTTTGTGTTCCCAAGATTTGCCTTAATATGGCGACATTATGCATTACCGCCTACTCAGAAATAGTCTTTGGCTCATATTATCGGTTCATGGTGTCATTTATCCTTTTCTGTCATTTTTATGCATTGTTATCCATGAAGTTCTTGTCTCAGATCCATTGATAGTGTTTTTGAAACTATCAAGCAAGACTCATTGATCCTGCTTTAAAACCATACAAATCGCAAATACAAATTCTGCCTGCCAACAATGTCTGAAGCTTTTTTAGCAACACAGAGTAATAAATACTGAACTATTCTTTTCTCTAAAATAATGAAACCCTTATACAGTAGAAGTGGTTTTTTACTTATTTTTTCCCAGTTTCGGATCATCCGCGCGCCACTGGCTAGAGTCCGCTTCCCCGACTTCTTTCTCGCCGACCAATTGAACAGTCTTTCATTTATCCTGCCAGATTTTGCCTATTTCCTTTGCTTTTTCATCAACTTCATTGATGATCATATGATGATCAAAAGCAGTCTTCGAAATTCTACGATCCCACCTCCCGGTGCCAGTCGGCTATTTGGTAAGCCCGTCTTTCCCCATACTACCTTCATTTTCAAAGCGTCAGTTCTTTTTAAATTTATTTACTTGATTTACTTCGGAACCCAGGCTGAGTTTTGTTGTTTAACTGCTTATAAATAGGCTTTCAATATAAATCGTGTGGATTGCCATATCCCCTGATTTACTTTTTACACTTTAAGATCCCTAAACAATTGAGTGAGGTAAGCAACAGGTTCATTATTCACGGGACCCCTATTGAGCAAATATGGACGGATTTTGATTGCTTTCAGTCAAGCAATTTTGGAGTTTAACGAGCCTTTTAGTGCTGCTAACAAATCTCTTCCATCCATTATCTATTCTTCCACCCATCCGTCGCACTATTCGCGACTTACAAAAAATTCCCCTCGGCAGAATGCAGTGTTAGTGCAAGTATTCATGTCTTTGTGCATCCACTTGAGCTCGTGTTTCATAGTTCAACTTGAAAATCACAACTTAATCGCTCTTTTTAATCCCATTTCGCAATGACCAAAGGTCGTCCAACACCACTACTACTAGCTTTCTTCTGATTCCTTTTCAAGAGTACAACAAAGTCTGGTCAATAGTGGACGCAGTCTAGAGTTTTAAATCGTAAAATCCAGCTTCATCAATTTGTTGCGAATGGCACAACTGTAATTTTACTTGTGTCATATTGTTAACTTCAAGTCGTGAAATTGTTTCTATGATTCACTGGTCATTTAGTATTTTGAGAGTAAACTGATTTTACATTGGTAATGTGCTCATTACCTGTTGCCACTTTCATTGCTTAAAATTGTTTAAAACTTGCTTTTAAAAGTTCATCTGAAAGTTGTCTGCGTGAATTTTTACCTAGTAGTTCCAGTTGGTATTTTTATAAATGGCTTTTAGAATTGTTCTAGTGGACTAGTGTTATTTTATCTTGCTTACGTGATGTTCTCGATCATTTTAGCTTAGTTTCATATCCACACTCATTTAATTCGATAAATCGTGGTTAAAGAGGCTTTAGGAGGAAGAATTTCGGCTGTTTAAAGGACGTTTTGTTTTGAATGATGTTTTTTGGCAACTGATTGACCTAATATAAGCTTTGATCTGACTAGGCTATTTATGCACGGTGTTCAGCTCTGATTACGCCCTGTCTTGTTACGATTTTATACGGTCTAGAAGAGGCCCATCATTCGCAACTGTTGGCTCCTCGTGTCCTCTGTAAATAAAATACCGTTTATAGCGCCATGAAGTTATGTATTTTTATCTTTGACTGTGAGTGAACTTCCACTTTATCAAGGGAGCATTGTACCTAAGGGAAGAGGCTTTAAAAGTGGCAGATGTGGCACTTATAAATTTGATGTAATTTTATCAACTTAATCAGATCTGAATGAATTCAAAGGTATGTGTAGGAGTCATCATCTGTCCACCACAGATTGGTGCGTTTTGCGGATCTATGGCACAACCTCCAAAATAGGTGTCGTGTACTCCACACTGATGTCATTTCCAATCTACAATTAAAAGGCATTCCTGATATTTCCAAAGTAATGCACTTAAAGTATGAGATATTTTGTGTTTTTACAAAGAGCTTCTTGATTTAGGGAGGAAAATAGGATTTCAGGGTTAAAAAATTTCATTTTTAGTACATTAATCTTTATCACAACAGTTGCTCTAAAGGCGAATGATATCACAGACGAATCATTGCGTAATTTTAAGTGACGTAATGAGAGGGAACTATGATGTTTGGTGAATGGATTGGAATGTAAGAAGAATCTCGCTTAGAATCACCCTCGAGGCAGGTGATCGCACTCGTCAGGAATTTTTACCTCACATTCCTAATAATCAAGGCATGGCAGTAGCTGTGACAAATGTAATTCACTATGCTCGGGTGCTTGACGTATTTGAGAGGAGTGAAGTATTTTGTGGGTGAAATCTACTTCAAACGAATTGATGGAAGAGAGGCCGTTAACTAGTTGTCACACTAACTTATTAGCTTCATAGAATGACAACGCGATTAATGATCATGATGGGTGCCCTTATGGAGCTGCGCCGAAAACCAACAAAGCATTTATAAGATTGTGCTTGTAAGAACTCATAATAAAAGCAATGATTGGGACGGGTTTGCGCTTCCTGTGAATTGCCGTGAAATATTATTTGTATCTATGTCCAAAACCAAACCTAATGACTGTGCTATGCTTCTCTGTAGTGCCAAAGGCGGGCTTCTGTGACGGCATGATGTGGGGTCTGCAGCCCATACTGAAGGCGCTTCCAGCGTGGTGGCGTTTTCTCCAGTGCCTTCGACGATACCGCGATCTGACCATTAAGTCGCCAGTTCCGCATCTGATGAACGCTGGCAAGTACTCTACCACGCTCATCGCTATCGTCTGCTCCGTCATATCCTCTATCAATCATCGTAAGCATTCGATCCCCCTCCCCACCCCTTCTGTTTCAGTCATCATCTTTTTCCTCTCATTGCGCTTCAAGCGGTCTCACCATGAATCATACTACCCAAAGCTTCTCTCCACACGACTGCCAGTACGCTTTAGTTGGAGTGGAGAATTGAACTTTAGTTTAGGCAATATTACGAGTATTCCATAGCCTCATGCGGAAGTTTTCTGATAATTATAAACATTTGAGTTTTTTCAATAAGGTTTTCCACCTATATAGCGACCTAGTATTTCGTGCATAGGCATTCCTTGTTTTCATTTGCAACAGTAAGGACAGGATCGACATTACCTTCTTTCGTTCACATAGATACAGCGTTTTTCGTACTGATGATTCTTTCAAAGCTGTGCAGTTCAATATGTACAACGACATGGGACCTGGTGATGGACTGGGGCCTGATGGACTGCAGTTCAAAGGAGAATGTGTTGTTGCGAGATGAATTGGTCTACCGCTTCCGAGCCTATTACTATGGGGCCATTTTAGAAGACGTCATCATCCGTTTCGCATGGATCTTGCCTCTCGTCTTCTCGCACTTCCGAATCGTTGATGTCGAAATCATTACCACTATTGTCATGTTTGCCGAGGTCACCAGGTCAGTTGTTCACTCTATTACTGTGATAAAATCAATTTCGGGGTTGCAGTTGCTCTTGTTGAATGTGGATGTTTGTCTAAAATTCTGCGTCTTTCATCAGATTCCATTGATAAATTCTTTGTGTCTAAGACCCAATATCCAATATTCCAAAGGTTAATTTTGTGTAGTTCTCTTTTGTGTTCATACCTTCTGACTAACAGGTCCACCATTGTTAATATTTAATTCGAAGGATATGGAAAATAACCAAGTAGTGGTTTCTAATTTGATGCTGTTGAGGAGGCAAAGTACTTCTACCATGCATTTGATGTAATATTTTTTTTAAAGATTCAATATTACCGACTTCATTGTGCTGAAAGGAAATAATGCTTTCTATTGATTAGCTTTACCTATCCCCATTCCATTACAGCCTATTTGCAAAACAGGACACATAACCTATTTTTAACCTTTTTTTAGCTATTTACGTTTTACATACTATATTTTACAAAAAGGTAAATTAGTAGCCTTGATGACGTTGAAATTTTTGTCGCCAGGTGGGAGAAAAGTGGGTTCTCCCCTCTCTTCGAAGCACATAATATTCATTCAGCGCTTAAGAGCTTTGTGAAATCTCTCGTTTTGTAATGAGTGAAGTTTCTTTCGCTGTTTCAGTGGCTTAGATCATATTTGAAGAAATATCTTTCCCTATTTCACTTTTTTTAACCCTATAACCACTTATTTAAAGTGGTTATAGGGGTGATTTTTGTTTACAGAAAGGATGTTAATAATGCCTATTTTTCCCACATTCTTGCGTTGTAGGCGGATAATTTGGAATTTTTTCCGTCTTGAGAACGAGCATCTAAACAACTGCGGCAATTTCCGTGCAGTGCGTGATATCGGTATTGCCCCAATACGCAAGGAGACGTCGCCGCATCCTATCACACAGGAGGGCGATAAAGCCTTCGGAATGTTTAACCAACTCTACACACTCAATCAGAACGACAACAGTAGCAGAGGGAGCAACAATAACCGAAGTATCGAAGAGAATAATCAGGGCTTTGATGAGGGCGGTAGCAATGGCACTGTTGGTGGTATTGCTATGGAAAACGCGCCACTGCCAACTACTCTGGCGGATTACGCCATGTTTCTACAACAAAACAACCGCAAGAGTCTTTGGAATCACCTCCGCAACGCCTACTTGCAGACGAAAAAGGAGAAGCGACGGAGACTGGACTTTGATCGTATCGTCAGTATGGAGGAAGCCCTAAGAGCGGCTCAAATGAATGTCCAGGTAGCCCTCTTTCCGACGCATGGATTTTACTTTTTTTCCCATTTTTTGGTTGTAACACTTTACAGATGAAGGCGTGCGATTAAATAATCGTCTTATGCTTCTTAAGCTGTCGTTTTCAAAAAGGTTAATTTTCACAATTCTATAGTTGTTAAGGCCGAGATTTTGTCTGCGTCTTTATTTGATAATCTGGCAGTACCTTCAATTCGGAAAAGGGTGGTATCTGGATCGCTTTAACCTCTAAATTCTCTGTCCGTATATTCCTTTATTGCATGATTCAGTTCGATTGATTGTACTCGATTTGCTAACGCTAAATCAAATAACTGTGAAAGCACATTCACCAAAACACTCCTAGTTCTTTGCACTCCTTCTCTGTTTTTTATTCATCGAAAATGAGCTAAGAAATATTTTATTTGATCCACTTAAAATGCCTAATTGTCTAATGGTTCAAATATTAAGTCGAAGTCGGGGTCAGCCACCCTGACACCGCGTGGGGCAACACCGACAAGGGACCCGGGAAAGGTTCATGCACAACTCTGTGAAAAGGTGCAGCAGCCCTCTTCCACCACCACTGCCCAATCCGCCCCCACTATAACCCAACAGCCCGAAAATATCCTGTCATTGCAGCCACCTCCACTGTCACAATCGCTGCCGAAGACAGCCCCGCGCCCGAGCAAGAGCGCACGCAGTCGGAGCATCGCAGTAGACGGCAGGCAGCGTAGGGCTTTTGCCAAGCCCCAGCAGTCGGCGTTGGTAAAGAACCGTGCCTCCGCGCGCCTCACACCAGCTTACTCCGTCGGTGACCTCTGCGGCTTCCATGCCAATGCTCCGGGCATCTCCCCGCCCCACTCCGAGGAGGCCAACATTAATTGCGGCCCCGATCCCGCCATCACGCCCGAGATGCTAGTATGGTGTTACTCGTCTCTCTTAACCTATCTGTCAAGAACTCCTTGAAGTGTGTTTTGCACCTTTTTCTCCATTATTGGAATACTCAGCGTTAGAAAATGCTTTTTTACCGGATGAATTTTTTCGCCATTAACCATGCTAGAGTGCTTGTGTTGTTTTTTTCTTCACTTTTTTCATACAGTGGAGATGTTAAAATGTTTACAAAAATACTTAGGTACCATGAGAAGCGGACGAAACCAAAGCCTTAGGAGTGTGGCATGGAGGCTAGATCTTGACAGAATAACTTAAATCCTCAATTTTAATTAGGTATACGAAAATTATGTGGATTTCTCTTGCTAGATGCTACGTAATCATTTTTACTATTGCCCTTTTTGCAGAAGCCTTGTGTGGGAAGTAGTATTAATAAATGGCTGCACGTATTTTGTATTTCCATTAGTCTCAAACGCACAGCGATGATTCCCCCGGCGACACTGTTCTGCCCATTCGAACAAGCCTCTTGGCCAATCGACTGCGTGAGCTCCTCAACACATTTAGCAGTGGCCATTTCACCGCCACTCCCTCATCTTCAGTGCCGATGGTGGCAAGTGGAGGAGCCAGTCGGCCGAAACGATGGCAATACGACGCCGCCAGGGGGCACCGGACAGTAAATGCCCAAACAACTCAGCATGGGCGATTCAGTAAGGAGGAAGAGGATGAGGTGAAGGGCAGAGGCGGTCTGGTTAGTGGGCGGAGTGGCCATTCCAGAGACGCAGTCCGGCGGAGAAGTATTAGTGCCCTGAAACCTTCTGTACTGGACTCTAGTGAAGGGACGCGGAACGCCCCGATGGACCTCAACTCGAGTCCTCTAGTTGAGGACACCGAGGATGTGGGACAGGCTCAATTGTATGTGACTCTGAAGTTCATTTATGCTTGTCCACTTTGAGATTTGATTCCAATTATAACTTATGACGTTTGCAATCTGTATTCATCAAACTTGAAGGCTCTTCAAATTCGATCTTGAACGACACATTGTGTAAGAGGCTGATATTTATTTCCCAACGACCTCAACAATTTTCTCATCCCGAAACTATTTTAAAATTGATAAGTGCATGAGCCGCCTACTTTTCAATGTAATGTTATTAATAAGCATGTTACTGTCCCTTGCTTCATGGTGACAGCTCCTCTTCTGGTGTAAAAGAAGCTTGATCCGAAATTATTTAGCTTGGGATTTTTAAGAAGATTTATTATCACCATGCTTTGAAAACTTTGGGATATTTTACTGTACTGTTTAGCTTGGGTCTTTTCAAAAGCCTTTTTGTCAAAAGCATTGAATGGAGTTTTCACACTATCCAATAACAGCGAGCCCGCTAATTACACCCTCTTCAAACTTGACTCGCTACTGGATGCTTTTGATGATTTTTTTTAAAAGGAAGCTGACAGGACAATATTTTCCTTCATTGCACATCAGTGATATCCCTCTCGGGTCTTGGTTGTTCTCAAGGCAGTGGTAGTCATGTCCATGGTTGTCTTTTGAAAAGCTCAAAAGAGCGACCCCTTTGGTAGGAATGTCGACTATGAACGGCTCTATTATTTTCACTGTTTTTTTAAGACGAGGCAACCAGAATCCTCAAACGTCTTCTCGAAATCCTTCATCAATATACCCGACAAAGTTTACCGTTGAACCTACCGAACATCTGGACGAAGTGGCTCGATTCTAAAAACTTTTTAAGGTACTGATTGGCGTTTAAATTACATTACTTATGAATCTACAGAAAACGTTTTAGGCCCTCAATTATTTTTAATCCCAAGTAGTTTGTTAATGTTTTATAAAAACTGCGTATTTTTTTATCCTGCGTAGTCAGCTTTGGCACTGCTAAAAAACACGATCTATGCCTTTATGTAAGCAAATCAAATATTTCTTCATTCATAGAAGTTAATACCTCTTTTAATCGCCTCTGAGCTCAAGGAAGCTACCACGCAAAGGTTGTGGAACCAAGGAAACATCTCAGGTGTCGAGCAGAGAGAGGCAATTTGTGCATGGAAAGCCTTGATGAGATATCCAAACTGCTCAATATTTTGTTTTATTCTACCTAAGTTGTTTATTTCCCCAACTTTATTTTATAAACTCCCTGGGTAATGTAATACCCCAGTACACGCATATCAATGGCCTTGTGCGAAAGCACCGATAATTCCTGCCCACGTCCTTCCCCTGTTCCCCCTACCTTTCCTTTATTTTGACCGCTTTTATTGCTCCTGTTAGGTTTGTATAATCCTTTTTTTTACATAAATTATTATGGAATCATTCTCATTGAACTATTTGACGACTGCGATCGGCGGTGTGGATAACGGAAAAGGATGCTCATTATCAGCAGTCAAGAAAGGTGGCCTTTATGCCGTAAAAACCCATTTGCCCTTCGCAGGCTAGTTCAGCTTTATATTATCGTATACACTGCAATTAACTGTGGATTACAATGAAATGTCACCGAACTGTTGAAGCATCCTAGCAATATTCTATCTTAATCCTAACTAACGTTTTTATTCAAGAACACGTTTTGTTCTCCTTTGTTATGTACAAACTGCACTTTTGGAACGCTTTGAATGGCTTGTTCCTACAGCACTTGAGTTTCTTTCAGAGGCGCGCTACAAGAGTGTCGACATGGCGAACACTTCCAGTTACTCGCCCGTTCTTACCCCCTTCGAGTTTTTTTACTGTAACATTAATAAGTAGTACTTTTTTGAGGCTCGATGCCGCTCAGCCCCAGTGCAGGATTTACAAACTGGTTTCCAACGTATCGAGTCGCTTTATACGTGAAATTACTTCTTTTCTTGCATAAAATACTTTTGGTTGTTCTTGTGGCACCATGCATGCCTACTAGAACTATTTATTTCTCCTCTGCCGCGTAAACTACAACCGAAAACCAAAGGTAGGCACATTTTGGTTGGAGTATGAGTGACAGTAAGTCTCAATTTCTGAGCCACAATTCATTGACACCATAATACTTCGTAAGCACGTATTTTTTTGGAACTTACTGTGGTTTCCTTGCTCAATCCTCAATCTCTATCTCAACGTTATTAATATTGCTTTTGGTATTTTTATTTAACATTGCCAGATACAAATTTTTCATATGAATTATAAAATGTTTTCCCTAAAATTTTCAGTTAGCTTAGAAATGTTAATTGATTAAACGTGAAGTAATCAACTATTGCGTATCCACTCAACTGCACACAGAACCACCTCCCGCCGACGATGTTCGTTAGGTCAATTTTTTGTCCTTCTCACTTTCTTATTTACGCTTTCGCTGGCGATGAGTTCCTTTTTTATGCCCTCAACAATCGTGTAGAGAAACTACTTGGAAAGAGGGAAAAATATCATTATTTTAAAATGGGGTTTGCGGGCGAAGGAAGTAGTTATGACTAAGTTAGTGCAGGTTTTTGCTGATTGATTTTTACTGTGGTTTAAAAGTCAAAAGGAAATATCCGATAACCGACTTAACAGAATGAATTAGGAAAGGCTATTTGATGTGGAATGCGTAGTGGCACAGAAAGCATGAACTATGTAACCCGTTTTCGTAGTGAACACCATGTTTTGTTTGGGCATTAACTACCAACCTTTGCACGAACAATAACAGAGAACTGCTACATGAACCGTTCTTCACAAAATGCAACTTTTAGGAAGATTGTGGACCATAATCGGGTTGAACGGTCAGAATGCGAACCCAGGAATAGCGGAAAGGACTTTGCTACTGTTCACATACTAGCAAATAAGCGCAAGTGATAAGCAATGCGTTTTGTTATTACTGAAAATGTTTGGTATTTTCAAAAGCTAAATGTTGATATGACATAAATCTTTCCCGAGTATTTTCTGAAATCCTAACAAGCTATTTTACTTGCAACATGTATGATGAGAAGAAATTATTTTGAATTATCATGGTGGACCTTATGGGCCTGCATAGTACATTAAAGGAGGACTTCAAGTATAAACATAGTTTTGTTACAACTAAAGGGAGTATTTTTACTCTTTACGCTATACTGCTGCTTGTTGATGGATCATTGATCATGTTTTAGCCAGCGGCTCGTAAGTACAGGTAATCCCAACTTACCTCGATGAGTTGTAGACAATCACAAAGACGGGTTTTCTAAAACCGCGCAAAACGTTTGAGTAAGCGGTAAGGCATGCAAGGAAAACGATATAATATTTTGATGAAGTCAGCAGGATGCGGGACATACCTCAGGAGGAGCAGGCAAGGGTTGGTGGTACTCTAGGTCTTTCAGCATGTTCACACACTTTGCGGTGATATTACGAATGCTTCGGCTCATCAGGTTGAATTCATTGAGCTTAATCAAGTTCAGAAACATAATGTGGCCGCATTCCTTCCCATCCCTAACGTCATGACTATCAGTGTCAAGTAATATAAGTCCTAAATCATCTCAATTCACAACTGCAAGGAGATGCATGCTTTACCTTGAGTAAGACGTCTTCTAACTAGCATCCATCTGCTGGTGACTTCTAACGCATCATGGAGACATAATGCGTGATACAAACCTTTCAAGATTATTTATCGTCGGTATGGAAAGGGCCATCATAGTACCTCAAGCTCTTACTTCGGAACAGTTTATAAGGCTAGAGTTTCTTGCTGATGCACTTCAATGATCACGCAAAATTACGACCTAGAATGGGTCATTATTGCTGTGTTGATTTGGAATGACGATGGCTGTTGGATTGGTTATTAGGCAGCGATGATTCCTATCTTCGAATAAGAAGAATCTGGAATCGAGAGCCTTTCAGCACGGTGGAATCCAACCTACCTGAAGAGTAATACACGTCTTCTCTCGGTCAATGGTCTTGTCGAAATGATGAATCCGGTCACGCAGTCCATCGGCCTCGTCCAACACATCATGAACGTTGGCCACCTTTTCTATCACCACTTGCTTTTGATTCCTTGATGCCGTAGTCGATTGTAAAAGCTCCTCTTCAAGCTGGAAAAACAACGACTGTTTTCAAACCTACCATGTTCACAGTTATGGCCATGTAGATCATGGTAAAGTCTAAGCACTGTTTTTGTGGCTTCTAGTAGATCGTCCATCCTCAGCTCCACTGCGAAATGCACTCGTTTATTCTGTGATAGGCCAAACTCCACAAGTTAAGCCGGAATTATTTCAAATTCCTAATTGATATTAATACAAATTACGATGTTTGTATTCATCTGTTCTACTTTTGGCATTTGTTATCATGCCATTGTTACCAAGGCACATAATACAGAAGGTAAGTATATGGATGTACTTTTAAGGCACATATATTTTCTCCTACTTTTCATCGTAGAACTAATGATTCCTAGTTATCTTTTCATTCAGGCCTTGAGGTTTCAGCGAAAAATAGAACTATATGCTGCAAAAAGGCTGCCTAAGATATGCACGAACCCGTTGCCCGTTACCTAACTCACCGCTAGCGCTAAGGGAGAAGAAAAACAGTTCGAGCTTCACCGACATCTCAGTACTACATCAATGCCATTTTAATGCTGAAATTCCTTTTAAACACGAGCTCGCATAACAATATCAGATAAGAAACTTTAAGATGCATAGGTGGTTATTTGAAATGCAAAAGCTGCTGGCGTCGCTTCTGTCGTCTTTACTGAACAAACATTTTAAAATTACGAATCAGGCCACAAACCCGGATTTGTTTCTCCTCCCATTCCTTCAATAAATGCTTGCGTGCATCTATTAGTGATTGATATCGCAGCATCAGCGAGCGCAACGGATCGTGAGACTTGGAGATGTAGTCTGGAAAATGGCACATTAGGGGCACCAATTTGATAATGAGGCAACGGCATTTGATTCACTTTAGAGTGCAAACTACAAGCACCTGCATTCTCCACTCTTCTACGCTTGACGTTACCATGCCTCACAAGTGTTCGAAACGCGGCGTCTGCGTTCAATGTTTCCAACACTTCGGTGAAACACGTATTGCATTCAGAGTTTGTTAAAGGTTTATTTTTACAAATAGTGCTCACTCACCCAAATTTGAGTTTTGTATGAGTATATGATTGCAATTTAAAATACACACATGTTTCTATTATGAAAGCATCACTAAACTATTGCAAAGCATTTCCTCTCATTAGAAACAAAGAGCAGTAAATATTTGTTTAGCTTCTGCGTGGTAGTAATTTTCCGTGAAATTATTTGATTTTCGGATTTTATACCTTATAGTTGTGCAGACACCCGCATGCAAATGGATTAATAGGCTTACTAGGACCTTTTAAAGTGTAAACTTCTACCCACCTTCAGGCAAGCATTCAACAGCATCCATGAGGAATTTTTCGACTGGTTGCAAGGCTTCAATCTTTTGTTTGAGGCTTGCACATCTAAAAGGTAACAAAAATTTTGATTCCCGAGCATTCGATCTGAAGTTATTTGAGTGATTGGGATGCGATCATTACCAGATCGAGGAAGGGCATTGTTTTATTTGGAAGTAATTAATGCTTGTCGCAGATGTTAACACGCGAACAATTTAATTTAACTGACATCCTTAATTTTCAGCACAGATAATTCATTTGTAGGAATATAGCTTCTGGTATTTAAAAGTTGCATGACAAAACGACCAGCAAACTGATCTGTGGTGTCTTCTCCACACATGCAAGCATATGACCGCATAAACCTTCACATTCCTAGGCTATTATTAGATCCCAAAATGTGACTCTCTGACCTCATCATGGCCCTCTCATGAACACCAGCCTACGGTATTGTGGTCTGCTAACGTGGCAGCGCTTATAATATTGTAACACTTGTTAAAATTGGCTGAAAAGATGTTTTAGTTGATGTAGGCCAGCACTGTGTGGTGAAATAACTGCGCCTCTCACTAGCCTGTTTCGCATGCTCCGAGTGGTGATGACGAGTTCACGCAGCGTCTCCCGACATTGTGCGTATTTGGATCGCATTGCCTTAAAAATCTCGTACTGCCTGTTTATTTTGTTCATATTCTCAATGATGATTTGGCGAAAGGTGCTACGCCTTGCCTCAAACTCCTGCGTCTGCTGATCCAGATGTTTTCTGCGCTCTTGTTGAGACTTCATGGTGGTCTTTGGTAGCGATTTAAAAAACTAGCTGTTAATGGCAGCTCGGTCACCCGTAATAGAGAATATCAAAGTGTATAAGATAAGCAGGCGCTTACAACAAATGATTTCATTGCCTCTGCTTGGAGTTCGTTCATAAGTTTATGGGTAAGCATTGCACTTCTCATCGACGTGTTACATTTATTTACTTTCACCCTGAAAACAGGTTAGTGGAAAGTGAATTATCTGGTTACAAATATCAACTTGACACTTGCTACATAACACAGTAACCATTAAATAATCGAAGACTTCAAAATCTAACCTTCGTATTTACCTACCAAGTTTTGGATCATGAAGATGAAATTGGTGATCTTTATTTGACACATTTCGGTAGCAGATTTAGCTCATTTAAAGATGAATACTTACATATCTGAGAGACTTGTAAGACCAGCTGTGCCTTTCTCACAAATCGAGGCTGTTGCACCTTTTTGATGCACAATTAAGTCGACTAAACTATCCGAGTGGCTCCCTTCGGGGCTGTTGTAAAACATGATACTCCCTTCAGTGGTGTGCTTTTTCATATCAGTAATTGTTTTAACTGTTTTCGCCATGCCTCTTATAAATACTGGCCGAGATGACTGGCCTGGAGACGCCTCATAAATGGGCAATTTCACCCTGTAAGAAGGCAGTCGGATTGTTGTCAGGGTTTGCTTTCGATATGCGCTCATTTTGGCAGGCACTTTTTGCCTTCAGCTTGGACAGAATAATAGTTATGCGAATTGAAGAGGTCGATAGTAAAGTCAGCTTTAAATAGTCAGTGTCAAGGATGTTTTGACGTCTGACGGCTATCGATTTGTCGCTACACTTTTGCCCTTGATGCAATGAATTCCTAGAAATTAAAATTGCAGCACTCATTTCTTGTTGAATTCATTTGTGTTTCTGCGAAGAGCATCAGGCATTAAAACTGATCTATTGGAGGACTCATAAGCATTGGCTGTTGCTTTGCAAAGTGAATTAATTCAACGCCTTAAATTCTAAGTAATTTATATGTATGTCAGAAAATGAGTTAAGGCTTGGATAACAGCAATGAAATCCGCGACAACTCGCGAAACACTGCGTAATGCCCCGAGACTGCCCTGACAACGAGAGAAGTCATTATACTCCGGCAAAATATGTATGTATTCGACTTACAGGAGGTACTGGGGCTACTGGCATGGCTAAACAGCACTATGCCTCTATGTGAAAACATCAGAAGTTCCTGTGAGCCAACCACCACACTACTTTCTCACCTGTTTTGGGTAATTGATCCCGGTCTTCATTCTTGCACATTAGAATAAAAAATGTTGCACGTGGACCACACTGTTGGCAAAATATGCTACAAATGAGAAATGAATAAAACTGAATGCCAAAGGAACACTTAATGTATATCAACTAAGACATTTTAGTTGGGTTGCTGCGATATAGCACATGGTATCAAATAAGGCATCATTTTGCTGCCCTAAAGTTTATAAATACAGCATATTGAATATGATCTTCAACCGACTGGTTTAGCATCGCTACGAACTTACCAGCTTAAAAACAAAGGAATTGACAATTATTGAAGCAAACAAATGTTGACATTGAATTTGACAACACTAGTTCATTTCACTTTCCCGTTATTTTTCTTTCCAAGCTGGATCAGTAGACCTGCAGATACTTGAAAGTGGTAAAAAGGAAAGTGATGGTGACAATAATAAATGCAATGCAGTGGTTGGTGTTCATTGCTCTCCTCCACTGCATCGTCCAACCTTTTCGAAAAGCACCAATCGATTTGCGCGTCGGACGGGCACGATGAGGGCGTGGTGTGCGAGTCTGAGGAAAATTGAACTGCCCGATTCTCAGAGATATGACAAATTGTATGATCCCAGTGGATGGCGTGTTCAGAGCGGACAGATGCCGTGTGTAAACACGGCACCTCCACCCCGCCCCCACAAATGCGGTTCCTCTTCTCACAGACCCCAATCAAAAAAGCCTCGGGATGGAGAGGGGAGCATTCAGGATCCGTGCTACCCGCAATACCCGCGCTTTAGACTGCCTCCGATTCCGCCTGAAAACTGTTTCGATAAGCACTCGTCCTTCAATGAGACCCTACTGGGTTCCCTCGACTATCATGACTACAGCGCCAGAAAGTACTACAGAATCTTTCAGAACAGATTTGATTTGGACATTATAAGGCGTTTCGTGCCTTATAATTTATGCAAAACCTATCCTACTGCAACAACAAGATACTTTGCTTTTAACTGGCCAGAATGCTGCATCATAGTAAGAATTTTCGAGGGATTTTAATTTGTTTTAAACTCAACGTATTTTTGAAAATTATGCCAGACAATACACCGTGAATTATTGCAATAGAACGGCAGACTTTGCTAGCCTGCCTGTAAGTAGGTGATAGTTTACTTGTGGATTAGCCTTACCTTTGGCAGCTTTACACGAGCTTTAAATATTTAGGAAGCTCTGAGGCGGCTGCTTTACTGAGTTTGCTTCTATAGATGGCGATCAACCTGAGGAAGAATAAAACCCATGCACATTTAACCATTAAAGTTATTAATAATGCATCTCCTTGAAACGCTCATACTGTACTACTTGGAAAAGAACCTCCATTTTTGTAAATTATGGCACGATTTTAACTGGAGCATTAATAACTACGTGCTTTTCACTATGTTCACTCCATCATTTGTTAGTTTCACTGTGGAAATGGTGATCTCCGGTGACTCTACATCAACGGATTAAAAGTGAATGCGCGCTTGAGATTACACAACTTTACTATTGCCTTAAAATTTGCTGTATACCTGCCCCGATTTCATGTGTAAACTGTTTAGATGGCTAGTGTGACCGAAAACCACAAAAAGCGGGTGAGAGTTTGGGAACCACGCCCTCAAAAAGTGCTGAAATTGGATAGGGTTATCGGAGTCGGATAAAAGACATGCATATATATTCAGAGCTCGCGTATTCTCGTGCATATGATTAGGATCTGCCCTATTTTTCCGTTCCATCGTTTCAAGTTTGTTGGGAACGTATTAAAAGATACTTATTGCGAACACATTCTTGCATTGAAATGGAAAGAGCATAACAGTATAATCTTGCTACTCCTTTTACTCAGTCATACCTCGTTTTGATTAAGGCTTTCACTGATACCCATATCCCAATTGGAATAATTATGGCGCATCAAATGGAACCGAGACGGGCGAGAATAACTATGCTTGCTGTGGAACAAAGGATCGACGAAAATGATGTCTGTAAGTGAAGGTCCCCCCAGTCATTCCTTTGCGCTCGTGTTAGAGAGCGGTCAGCGTGATGGGGCCATAATCTTCTCAAAGAAATACCGTACAATGCTCGTTTATAGTGTGGAATTGAGTGTTAGTAGTTCTTGAGACACCTTAAAACTCGCAAACAATTTTAACCTTTCAAAAAGAGTCGATTTAAAATAGGAACATGTCTAAGATTACTAATGTGAGCCCAATAAATCCAGCTCTTAAATGCAGCTGAGAGCATTACAACAGCCTATAATATAGGCGGAAATGCATGTTTCTAACACCCTCATTTGGAGCGACTAGCTTAAGGAAACGAATGTTTTGTTCTTAGACAAGAACCTAATGCTTCGTGAAATCCAACGGCTACGGAAGAATGACATTCATGCGGTAAGTTGAAACTGTCAATATGACTTTCCCCATCGACTCACGCATACAAATGCTAGTTAGACCATCACAGTGAGCACTTTAAGCGAGCTGCTACACTTTGAGTCTTCATTGAGATGCTTCTAATTAATTGCGTTAGGGTAATTAGGTGCTTCCTGATTCCGCTTGCCGGGGTTTATGACATTCGAGATTAATGGAGGGCGACTATTTATTCATTTCCATATCTCATCACATCATCACACCTGAAAACGAAGCCGCATGTGGGCAAAGGAATTCCCCTAATAAGTTTATATTAGTAGATTTTTCTAACCAATTCAATTCGCCATTATCTTAAAGTATGTAATGAGGCATTTCACGAGTTACTAACTTTACGCTACAAATATACTGGCCATGGGCTTATCGTTTTCCATGGAATGCGAGTTTACGCGTACTCTAGCACCCTCCAATGAACTATTTTGACATGAGTACGAATTTGTTTTACTTTTACCAAATTTTTACTGCTCCTCTAGGTCGTACTTTTACCAGTGAATGGCGACACGAAGAAACGGCTGTTGCGCATATTCGGAGATACCGGTCCACTGCGTCGAGTCAATGACCAAGGAGAGTTCCAATTCTACATTTGACGTGGCAGGACCTCTCAAATTCCGAACTGAGCAACCAATCAGTCGATGTATACACAAAATTACTCTGTCACAATTATAATCGACCCATTTCTCTCAACCATTTCCAATGGAGACCACACTCTTCAAATTAGTCAAACTTCAGTCGCTAATCATTCTAACAGGAAGGGGTAGTATGAAAATAATAGTGACTGAGAAAAAGGTCTCCACATTGAAAATAACCCAGTAGATCTGACTCCATTAAAAAACCAGTCAGCCAAATATCCCTTTGCCCTTGAAAACGCACTTATTCATATTAAGACGAAACACAAGTAGATTTCGTCGCAAATCGTCCTCTATCAATCAGTCATGTTGAGAAATAAGGAAGAGATTTTGCTACCCTACCTTTATAACTTCAACGACCACCAGTCAGGAACTTGAGACTACAAAAGTTAGAAGTCCTCCCTAGGAACTGTTTGTCCGAATTAGCCGATATCGAATAGCCTTCACTCAAGCATCCTCCCTTTACAATACATAGACAACACCTTTCAATTTGCTTTCTAGGGCAATGAAAAAGTAACCTAGGGGAAAATAAGAGCAGACCTAGGCAACACTGTCAAAGCCGACCCATGCCGGGAAGGTTAACGGCTCAAAAGCGATTGCTCAACCGCAAGGACAAGTACACTTGGATAGAACACGTAATTTCACAAAAGCCAAGCGCGCCAACTAACCAGCCGTACACAATGTGACCCACAAAAGATTTGCCGATTGGCAAGATGCATCCCGACACAGTAATATCAGCCGCGCAAAAACTTATGATAAAGCTTGCAAATACTGCTTAGTATTAGAGTCATCTAGTCCAGTCACACGTTTTCAGACTCCTCTACTAGATCCTTGGATTCTATAAAAATTACCCCATGGCCCAAAAAAACCATCGCACATTACAAACACTACACTTAACCATTACCAGAGGAAAATTTTCATCAAGAGAAAGGTCGCACAAAACAGTAGCACTTTACTAACTCTCAGAGACCTACGACGCGCTTTGTCAAAAAGGCACGCCACACTATTCATAATGAAAAAGGCAGTACAGCTATGGTTTGGTATATACAGGAGAATAATTATGTACACATAATTGGGGCCGCATCCAGGTAAGAATCCTTTCACCAATTCGGTGATTGATATCCAGGATGAAGAAAGTGGCAGCTACTTCCGTTGCGGCAATTACCCTGTTGGAAGAACTTGCACACCTGTTCGACTCGACCGCCTCGTCGGCCACCGCCACTACCAGGCCCATTCATGGGGGGTCTGCCCCCGCCGTACATGGAGGGTGGTGGACCGCGGAATGGTGGAGGAGGCATGGGGCCCCTAGCGAAGCGCGGCGGCGGAACATCTGGAGGCGCATATTGAGGATGGCGATAGGGCATAGGGCCTCCTGGACCCAATGGGGGACGCATTGGAGGTCCACGAGGTCGCATACCATTGTGTGGTGGAGGACAACGCTCTCCCGACATGAATGGGGGACCCAGCATCCTGGGAGGCCCCATGTCAGGGCGCATTGGACCTTCGCTGTGATCTTGGCTCCCATAACCTGCAGCCTGGTCAGGAGATGTGTTGATGCTAGAAGTCTGATTAAAAGGCGCCGTTGGGGAGACTGCTGTCGTTACTGCAGGCGTTGGAGCTTTACTATTATCCTGGTTGAAATTCAGTACGAGCGATTTAACGAGATTGGCAACTTCTGGATTAAGAGACATCTGAAAACAGATTTAGCACCGTTAAGAGAAAATCACGTAATCAATTGGTGCCACAAGGCCTCCGCATACCTGAGAATTCCCATCGCCCTTGTCGTTTACTACTAGAAGATCCTTTGCGTGCAACTAAAATCAAACAAAACCAATTTAGTACTCCTACGCCTTTATGGACAACCAGAAACAGCTACAAATCAAAGCCCTAATGCGCTCTACAAGGGGACGCGCACCAGACGTCTGCCACTCCGGACAGCACAACATCAGGGCCAAGCCCCGGAACGAATTTGCAGTCCGAGTAATACGAACCTTCTAACAGTTACCATGATGACATTTCGACCCCAATCTATTGGGGCATATTCGCCAACGCTCTGGCGACGCAGGCGCCTGACCAAAAGAAAACGCTCTGAGGGCCGCACCAGCCTCACCACATGAATACCGGCTGCCACGGAAGCTACGGTGCGACTGAAATAGATAAAAGATCCGATTCTGGGAACGCGTCCTCTGATTACCTCTTCCCTAATTCCAATCGGCCTTCAGCGCAAAAACGCAATGAGAAGCAGTACAAAACGTGGCCCAGTCGAATTGATAACCAACGGAGGCGCAGCGACCGAAACCAATCGGGGCCACAAGCAGAAGAACGATTCAACGAAAGTTGCGACTCCAGACACGGGAAACCGCCCGTACCACCCAAGATCGCAACACAGATCGTTTGTAACATCGACTACTGCCAAACCCTCCTTCTTGGAGCCACAGTCCAAACAGAAGCACACAACCCAAACACTCAATAGGAACGACAAACACCTACAATCATGGCACGAATGCAACAAAACTACTCGGAACGTTTCCTTGTCATAACTGACAAAAAGGATGTCCACATAAATGTGATACGCCACTTCCGTCAGCATAACAGTGCATCACGGAAACGATTGAGAGAAGTGGAATTTTATTGAGTAAAAAAGTTAATATGATGGAAAGCACCAAAACACTCAGTGGAAAAAACCCTCCCAGAAAACATACATCTTCTAATGGAATCTCAACAGCCATTTTGGCCTCAAATTCCTCTTTTTCAGGTTCTTCTGGAGAAAACGGTATACTCTCACGAGTAAAATAAATAGCTTGAAGAACAAAGCGCTCCCGATCCAGCTGAACTTGACGTTCGACAGATTTGCAGCCCGGTTCGATCGATAGAGTTAATTCCAAAGGAATCGGAGGATACCACTGAAAACCCAAAGGAGACTTGTTAGCGGACCAGATAAAAAAACCCATTATGGCGCCTAAAAGACAATAAAGGACCATACTTTAGCATCCTTAATTTCGACTTCTTCGTGCCGTTTAAAAAGTTGACGTTCAAGAGAATGCTCCTTCTGACGAATTTCCGCCAAAGAGAAACGTGTAACATTAACTGAAAACAGGAAATGGAAATGACAACAATTGCAAGGATATTTCATCACTACTCTTCAAACAAACCTCTTTCGGAGTCATCCACTTCAAAATAGCTTATCTGCTGCAGAGATTCCTCAGGAGCCCAAGTAACACGCTTCCTGGGCCTTTTGTCAACAGCGAAAGTAGTAAAGCTGGTGATGGATGACCTCTTTTGAGACTCCAGATCGGAAGACAACTTAAAGTCTTGGGCTTCAGAATTAGCCGATTCAAAAGAGGACGCTTTCAGACCTTCGGATTCCTTAGTTTAGTTGGTCAAATTCACAAACCACTTACCGGTCCCGATTCAGGAGGATTACTTAGTGATTCCATTTTACAAACCTTGCGCTTTTTCCGGACCACCGGCTGCGAGTTCGCAAGAGCATTTATAAAGCTAAAACTCTCGTGAATTTCATGAGGTGCTATGAAGGAACAATGTCAAGTAAGATTATCATACATTTCTTGGGCTCTGCGGGAGTTACTGTTATCTTCTGGTGAAAAGATTCGATAGGCCCAACCGGTTCCACCTTTTCAATTTCGGTTTTGCTATACAAGTTGTAATGAGGGCAATCAATATACCTCTTCTTTGCAAGGACTTCTGACCTAGACTTAAGTACGACTTGATCATTGGCTTCTTCAATGCCAGCAGTCCTCATCACGGTAGGCGGCACTTTGACAGTAGACCTCCTCCTCTTCACCTCTTTGGTTGCAGATGGCGGGTCACCAGCGGAGGCATTCTCCTTGACAGACTCTAGCTTTCGCTTTCTCGTCTGCGCCTCTGTGCTATCCTTGCGTGAGTTCCTATTGATAACACCCTTCCACTTCTTTACTATTTCTGTTGCAAGTGAACGGACATCTACGAAGAACCAAATATGGATCTAGAAGATGAGTACCTTCATTGTCAGACTTCTTTGACAGAGAGTTTATCAATTTCGGACAAACGTTGCGCGTGAGTTGCTCCAGGGTGACAGGCAGATCATGGTAGACTTGCATCAGCTCAACCAAAAAGGAGAAATTCTCCTCCTTCAGGGACTCTTGCAGCCATTTGAGAAGGATATCCCACGCGTCAGTATCACACAAAAGCGACTGCACGGACGGCTCGGAGGCTGATATTATGCAAAGAGAAATGCATTTTGGAACGAGTTTCCCGTTGGTATTAGACATTAGAGAGACCAACTCAGATATGGATTTCTCTCGGATCCCTCCAGCCTCAGTTAGGTGGTCCCGCAGGGACTCAAGAAGTTTATCCGGGTCGCCAATTATCTAAAAGATCGCGGCAATTACCGCATTAACGGTTACTAATGAAGTACCCAACAAGGACCCTAGAACACCCACCCTTACCAAAATCCCACCAAATCGCTAAAAACGGATTCACCTATCCACCTCAACCCACCCCTAGCAATATATGGGGCGAAAACCCGAATATACCTACTTCCGTTTGGTAAAAAGACTAGCAACCGGGCTCGACAACGCAGCCAAATAGCAAAGTAAAGCCAAGGGATTCTTCAGAAACGCATGATCACCTAGTAAGACGATTGCCGTACAGACTGATGCACACATTCCACTTAAGAGCACGCTGTAAATAATCAAATAGTCTTCGAATAACAATATGGCCGTCGTTATGTAACTAAACAGCCATTAATTGCAAGACTTTTACGAACGGACATTCCAAGCAATGAAAGTGTTGTGATTTAAATAGATATGAGATGATATAAAACCATTTGGTCATACAACACGCAAATCCAAACCACAAAAAAAGCAGCAAGTTAACTGACGCATTAACTAGGGGACATATAACCATAAATTAACTTTCCAAAGGATAGTACGAGAAAAACACTTAAACCAACAGATATGCGAAAACATCAAGTCAGTAAACAGAATCCGCCTGTGTCCGTACACTCCGACGATCCATCAACGCAGACTAGAGCTTGGACGCAGACACCAGCGAAACAGAACAACGAAAACCGAAAGTGCAACCGCTGCAGCACTTAATGCCGGTATAAACAAAATGGATAAAGAATGTCTATTTGTCTCGTGCGCAAGTCATATATTTGCCATACAAATCGTTGCTCTATTTTTCTATGCATCTGAGGCTTGAGCGTTACGTTTGTTAATTTCTTTAAGTGCACCATAGCTGAGTAACGAGAAAATGTTACGATTGTTTTGCATTTACTTTGACATGAACCCTTTTTTTAAATGTTCGCCTTAAAATACGGGGCATTACTTTTCGAGCACCTGACGTTCTGAAGGGGTATCCCTTATTTTGAATGCAGATGCACTTATTTTTACCTTACTTCCCATGATTTTGATGTATTTGTGGCAGCAACCTATCGATTTGATACATATCCTAATGTGTATTTAGTTTTTGTGGCTTGCAACATTACTTGGGTGGGGACTTCGAGCATGCAATTGCCATCGCTACTCTTCCAAGGTACTTTTTATCGCAGGATTCGGGGGGGGGGGGGGACGCAGTGTACCATAATGATGTCATGTCCCAACAACACAACATTATAACCTACCAGGTGTACAGTAAAAAATTATTAAACTATATATGCGCTTCCTTTATTAAATTGTAGCAATGCATAAGAAAAGGCTAATTGTAACGCTCTGTTTCTTCTCCGAAGGCAAAACAAACAAAGTAACATAACGAAACACATTACCAAATTCCGGAAGCTTTGGGAGACTATTGTTAAGCTGCAGGTGCCATTTCGCAGGGCATAGATTCTTTTGTCTTTATTGTCATCTCCGGGACGCCCTTGGCCAACCTTCCGCATCAGTCATCGCAAAGTAATCGGTGGTTTAAGAAAAAACCCGTGGACCAGAAACACGAATAAAAGATTTTTTCTGAGAAGTCATTTGATGCTCCTTGGCAATCCCACCTTATCAGGAGTTCCACCCATTTGTAAACTGTATTGAGGTAGAGGACATGGTTTAACCTCATGCTGCTCAAAACCTAATGACGTCCCTTATACCAAGGAATCCGACTTAAAAGAAGAGCTCTTGACTATAAGACAAAGTATTTTTCACTCATTCCTCCTTGTCACTTTTTTCTCATTTTAATCCTGGTCAAACATTTATTTAACGGCCTGACATGGCCCGGAGGCCAGTCCACCTGTCGAAGGTACAATGTGGGAGGCTTAAAGTGGCCCCTTTACCAACCAACGTGTTACACAACCCATCACTTCTTTTAGGCATCTTCCCCGACGCTTTCCCTGGCAGACCTTCCGCGTTAGCCATCACAACGTAATCGGTGCTGAAAGAAAACACCCACCAGCCACCCGAACCAGTCATCGATTTCACATGCATCTGAGACGATACTTAATCGCAACGTCACTGATCCCCCTTGGCAATTCAACTGGATCTGGAGTTGCGTTCTGCATAGGAATTGGATTTGGAGACGAGGAAATGCGCTGGATTTCACGCGTATCCGTAGTTGGTTGTTGAAACACCGGCTTAGAAGCAGAGTCATCCAGCAAAAGACGGATTGAACATAGTTCCTTAGGGTTAGGGTTCTGCTTCTCTTCCTCCTTACCAGCCTCTATGCCTGCAGTGCAACTGCAACGAGCAAGCACCTCATCTGTCCACATCCACTGCATTATTTTGATTTTAAAACGTCGCGTCTAAAGCCTTCGATAACAACACGGAAACTCCAAATCTTCCAGATGCAACTCGATGAAAAGGATACAAATTATTCGAAAAGGTAGCGATAACGGAGTATAATGCTCGAGCTCGCCCACAAAGGGACTGCAATCCAAGTTCTCGATCAGAAATATTCCAAGCCAATTGTGAACACAGACCATAAACGGTTCACTCACAGAACAGCACAAATGTGATCACTTTTACATGGACGCAATTAAGGCCATTAACATAAATATACAAGTTTACTTAGAATGTAAGTGGTGTAGCATGTCATCGCTTGAGTGAAAGAACAGGTTGCCCATTAATTATGTGTTTGAGGGGTCGTAGTTGGCGCAGAGCATTAGCGAGCATCGTCTCAGCTACATCGTCGGTGCCTAAGGCCCCAGTGCTGCGACCCGTCTGTGAGGAGTGCGGCACGAGGCGCTTAGAGCGAATTTTCTTCAGAAGTTCCGCTACGCTGATCGGTTTGCGTGTCAGGTACTTTCGTACAGCCGCTATAAACGCGTCATCAGTAGCTGGCTCAGTTAGTTTGGGTCTCTTCGAAGGGTTGTCAGAGGCTGCAGTCATTGTGACACCGGAGTCCTCCAGGGGCCTTTTGATTGTTCCTCCAGAGTTAGGCTGATCGTTAACCTGTGGAAGGGAGGCAGAGGATGAAACTTTGTCCGAAATACGCTGAAGCAGTTCCGCCTTCTTCTGGGCCTTTCTGGCGAGACGGGTAGGGTCGTCAGGCGCAACATCCGAATCAGAGGCGGACGAAGAGGAAGAGTCACTGGAAGAATCATCACTCGAGTCGTCGCTGTCATCCTCATTGGAAGAGGAGTCCGAGGAGATTGCCTTGCTACGGCGACTCTTGGGATCGCTAGCCCTCAATTTGTGCTCATGCTCACCTTTGCCATCTACTTCCTCACCACCATCATCTCCATCCTCGTCAAAATCGTCAGGATTCAAATTGTCTGGCTTGTTTTGCTGCCCTTCTTCGGAATCGCCTTGAGAAATTATCACGATTTATGAAAAGATGTGAAGTAAATCAACCGTAAAATCATAAAAGCGACGGAAATACAAAGTAAAGCTAAAGGAGTTATATTGTCGGCTTCAACCCACCCTCGTGTTAGGTTACACACTTGAGAACCTTAACATTTTTAAGCAGGCTAACAAGATCAGGATAAAAACACTTAATAAATGGTGAGTATAGGTGGCGGAGATTTGCAAACAAACGAACTTACTCATATCAGTAAGGAGAGCTTTGAGGCCTGCCTCCTCATCAACGCCTTGCTCCTGGTAAATCTGCTCTCGATCGTCCTCTGAGAGTTTCTCCTCATCAGATGAAGAGTCTGTCATGTAGTCAACCTGGAATGACAATCCCAAACAAATAAATATCCAGCAGGGAATAGTAAAGGTAATTTAGTCTTTTCAAAGCCCCATTATCGTAATGGGAGGAAAGAGGGACAGCCAAGGCTCAATTATATACGCGATACTGGGTGCAGATAGACACCAACCTGCACCACAACGGCAACAGCATTACAAGGTTTTACCTCATCACCCTCGTGATCATCAGGATCGCTCTCATCCCAGGCCTCCTCATTAACGTCATCTTCCTCACCCGAAGAGTTTCCGATTGCCCCTTTTCGCCGTCGGCGGGCACGCTGTTTCGTAGCCCTACGTTTACGAGCCACGATCGCTGCCGCTCGCCTCTTTTTACTGCTCGCCTTCTTTACCAACTCGTCAAGCTTTTTCGGAAATCCAGCCTCGCCACCCTCGCCAAGTTCTCCTCCCCTTTCACCCTCGAGGTCACCTACCCCGATGCTTTCGGCTACATCCTCCTCCTCCTCCTCCTCCTCCTCCTCCTCATCGTCTGCACCGAAGTCCTTCCACTCATCCAGCTCCGTCAAGAGGAGAGCGGAGGAGCGATCCCGCTTTGCTAGCTTATCGTTCTTAGTTCCAATACGAGATCTGCACATTCAAAATAACACATGAAGGGTTTAGTTTAAACAGGGTTGTTGGGAGAAATGGCCATGCTTACTTAGTACGGGTTTCGTTACCCTCTCCTACAGCTTCCTCAGTGGCCTTGTCAGCCATTTTCCTCTTAACCATGACATTGAAAAGATTCATCGTTTTATGCCGGCGGCTGAATTCCGCTTCAGCCTCATCGTCACGAAGGTAGCGATATGTGACTTCGGGGCTGAACTTATACCTAAATAGAGTTCAGTAATAACAACTTTCAAGGTATTTCTAGTAAGCTAAATCGCACTTCCATTGGCAAATAAGACGCTGAAGGATAAGCTAACAACCACAATCATTGAGGAGAAAAACATACCACTCGTGCACAGGGTATGCATCAAAGTTCCCATCTTTCGTCTGACAAAATACGAAGTGTCTCACGTTGGTCGATACGCTGCCCTCTTTGACACCCCTGTAGCGCTTCGCCGTACGCCCCTTGCCGACGGTAAGAAGCCAGGGTTGATCTTCTGCACGATAGCCCTGCCTCACGATACCCAGCTTGCGTAAACGGGCCTCTTCCCTTGCCTCCTGGCCAAACTCACTGCCTGCTCCACGAGTTGGCACATCAATGATGCTGTGAGAAGCCTTGTACTGTCGAAGGTTGTTCTCACGCTGTATAAATACCTCCGGGAGAGCGGAAGACCCGCCTTTACTGTCTCCACCCGTCAGGTCGATTCGATCGTAGGTATTATAGTGAAACACGCTTAGCTTCCTGTCCGCACGTGTGCAAACTCGAACCTTAAAAAAAGTACGACTCGACCTGACCTTAGCAATAAACTGCGCATATTAGGCTGAAGTCCAAATAAGTGGGACTGAATTGATCACTCCACACTATGCAGGTGATAGCTTCAAATATTGGATTCTTGAATAATGCTCTATTACCGAACTAAGCATAACAAACCTGCATCTCTCGGATAATTTTGTGATTGAGTGGCTGAGGTAGAGTTCCCGCCGTCTCGGCTACCGCTCCCAATCGCGCCCCGGTGGCTGCGATATTTCCTGATCCAGCAGGATGCCTCTTCATCAAGGATAGCCGACTGGCAACAGGAACCGTACTGATAGGCTGTGTGTGTCCGTCAAAGCGCATGGAGATAGGTGCGTTGCGAAGGAGAGTTGCAACCGGTGCGTTGCTAGCATCGGGCTGATTGTCCACATCCAATGATGAAGAGATGTCGATTTGGGGCAATATAGGACGCGATGAACCTGGATGGACAAAAAACCGAGGGGCGGAGGGAGTAGTTGACGCCGTGACGGTAGAGGGACGAATAACAACGAGGTTCCTCGTTAAGGTGGGAGGGTTGGTTGTTGTTCGCACAATAACCGATGTTCCCGGGCGAGTTACGGGAAGACCATTAGTTGCAAAGTTGCCAACGGCTGAACTGACTGTTATCACCTGGGGTGCCAGTAACGGTTGCTGAGGTTGCTGCTGATCTGGCCTACATAATATTCACGCAAGCCAAGAGAAATGCGTAAATAAAATCAGTATTATCTGAAAATATACTATATTTCAATATAATCCCCGAAACACGGGGCAAAAGTAATACGTCAATCACCTTGCTTTATTTGAGGAGTTGGCCATTTCAATATCTGAAAAACGTAGTAAATAAACGAATCAAGCACCGTGGCACCTAAGAAAAACATATACCATTATAGTAAACAAAAGACCCAAAACGTTATTTTCACATTCCAACCATCTATTTCAACACCAAAATAGCAGACAAGTTTGCTTAATTACCTCCCATAGACCAGCCGCGGCTTCCCCAAAATTACAACTGATGCCAATGACTTAAGGTCCGTTAAGCGTGAAGTAACTTCATGCGCATGCTGATGATGGAGTTCAAACACACTACGTGCGTAAATACATACACACAGTGGCTGCGTTACTTATGGTAATGACGAAAAAAACTAAGGGTGATTACAACCACTTAGCAGATAGGGGATGCACACAAATTGGTTAAGGATGAGCATAAGTAAAGACCGGCAAATAATTAAACGGGACGCTAAAAGCCTTGACAAAAATTTCACTGCCAATATGCCTACCAACAAAAAGGCTGCACTATCAGCTCAGCCTAGAAAGCAAATTCATATAATCAAAGGCGGACAAACCCTCCACCTGAGCACAGATAATCCCCAGACAGCTTCAATATCATCATTACAATTATTGAATTCTAATTGAATGTTAGCAGCCGCTAAAGGTCTGAATTGTTTGTTCGAAAAATATGCGCTTTACACAAAATTTTATTGGTATTAAATACGTTAATCAAACGCTTGTATGACTTCCTACAGAACTTACTCAAGCTTAAAACTTTGCTAATGGGTTTATTAAATTGACATTTCCAAAAGGGTGGTTTGTGGATACAAAAAATTTATTTTTAAGGGTAGAAATATATAAGATTCAACTTTGAAAAGGCGAATTGTTGGCTTGCGAAGAGAACCTCTCCCTAATATTTATGGGACCGTACTTTAATATTTTATCCGAAGTTTGACCACTGCATGCACCTTTGTTTGCAAAGATGCTAGGCTAAATAGCGGTAAGCTTGTGGTACTGCGTCCCAAGTCTTCGTCGAAGGCGTAACAAACGCCAGCACTCGAATAGGACGAGGCTCATTTATCTTCTCTTTCCTGGCCTTCATACCCTTAAAACACCGGGGCTGGTTAAATTTTGATGTGTTCACTCCTTAAAGTAATTGGGGATGAAACAAATTTGGGAAGATTTGGACACGGGACCTTTTCCTACCTTGTGAGATGTTGACTGCTCCACTGTCAAGCGGTTAGATTTGACTGCTCGCTTCCTCTCTAAAAGGAACACTTTGAACAGCATAAGTATTACAGTCGTACTAGAAGACTATTAACATGGGCCGCAAGCCATGCCACCTGACGGACACACAATCTGGGCGGCCTCAAGGACAAGAGGAAGCAGCTGCAGAGCTTACAAAGTTATCTCCGCACAGGGCAATCCCTAATAGCCATTCTGGAGGCCACTTCTCTGACATTTGTCCCACAAATTACACAACTACTTGAAACAATTACTAAGGCCTTCGCCCCGCCATACTAATGCACTCGAACACAATAATTGTTAAATAACTGGGTCACAGTGGCCCAGTTGTCAAACAGCACAATTTATTTGTTTAATACAAACACAGCCACAGTATGGACGATGACTCCAAAACTTAAAAAAAAAACATTTTAAAAGTTCTGTTAAAGTTCCAAAAAATTGGAGGGGACTGAGGCACCTTTGGGCGGGTCAAATGGAGGGGAATGGGTACGCAGATAGGACCTAAAAACGCACTAAGCCAGCAAAGCGGCCCTACAGAAGCCAAATTACACTAGTCATGACGAATCTAAATATGAATGTCAAACATAATTGAAGCATTTCTGCATGCCCAATGGAAGACGAGTTTTAAAAAGTACTGAATCTGCGCGATACTGGGTGTAGATCAGTGGATTGTAGCCGTAAATCCTCTCAAATCGGTTGATGCAATTTGAACGAACAGCTGTGTGCCCCACTCGACCATAAAGCGTAGATGTGCAGTTAGTACAAATGAAAGACCAATGTGTCGTCACCTAGGATTAAAAAACTACATCATTGACAGCTTAAAGACAGTCTCGTATACACAATAAATATGTATTAGACTGCCAGTAATGACGGGAATAAGTTTGACAAAAAACTGCTGACAAATTCCAATAATCACCTTTAATGGTGGCTTTCGAGTGATATGCGATACCAGGAAATTCATCGCGATGTCCTCACAATTGAATTCTATATCAACAATTTCTCGAATTTGCGCGGGCATTTCATTCGAGTAGGCGTGCAGGTAGTACTGGAAAAGAAGTTAGGAAGGGAATAAATCAACTAATGTGATAGAGACCTATACCAAGTGATATGTGAACTTGGACTGGACTGACAAGCACGAAAATAATAGATGCAGGTGGCCAGGGATAACCCCTTACTCGATGTATAAATGCAGCTCCAGTCAAGATCATGGAGTATTCGCAAGAGTGGGCGCTGTTGTAGTACCAGTTTTGGCTGGATTGAGACCAAAAGTGACCTCTAGCTGGGAAACCAACTATACGGTCACGGTTCTCACGCCAAATCCTAGAAATTGAAACCTATATCAGTAATCGACGAAACTATCAGCAAATTAATCAACAAAACTGGTACCTGGTAAGATCTAAACCGGACAATCCCAACTGGGCAGAGAAAAGGCCTCCCATAGACTCTCATTCCATTATAAGCAATACCATGCTTAAAGATTGATTATCCAACACAAATAGACAAAGCTACTAAGCAGAAATTATTCATATGATTCTAATTTCATGAGCAATCATTAAACCTTTCGTTTCCAACCGTAACTTCCACTACGCGCGTTTACACTTAGTGCTGCAGCACGTTGCTAGATTGTCCAAAGAGAATTTCTGCTTTTGAAGGCAACGTTATAAATCAGACTGGAAATATCACTTTTTAAATAATAAAGTCGAACAGAACTGTAATTTCGTCTGAAAAGAACGAAGAAACTAACCTGAACGCAAGAACAATCTCATCGTGCCGAAGAGTGATATCGTCATCAAGCATAAGGAGTGCTTCGGTCTTGAGGACATCGAAAGGAAGAAAACGGTTATTTAAACTGTTCTTGCCGCCTCGAATAACCTAAGAACGAAAGTACGCATAATGATGCGTCGTTGAAAGTTAGTCATTTGTTTTAGGTAAAGAGATGACTGTTAGTGACTTCAAAGACCCGCTAAGCTTTCCACTCCAGCTTTACGACTAGGATATTATTCTTATGCGACCATTTCTCGAGAAGACACAAAATAGTGAAAAAGTTCGAAAATCCAAGAGTTCCCAAAAGAGGGCTCACATAAATGGGTACATGGAGCCTAGGCCATATGAGGTTCTCAGAGGGAGGTTTTGGATTGTTCCAGATTACCACAACGGAGTGCAGGTAGGCCAGATTCATTAGACCCTCTAACATCACAGATAGAACAGCCTCACGATCGTAAGTTAGCACCACAACTGAAGGGGAAAGACAACAACAAGTTTAAGTGCGTTTAACAACTGGTAATATGAAGCCTGTTTATAGCCAATTTAGGAGATTACAAAGATGAAGAGTGTTGCAAAAGTTATCCTGGAATTCCTCTGGAATAAACATTCCAACAATCATTTGTTAAACTTACTGGTGAACTGTTCGTAGGGAAACATTCCACCGAGGTCGGCAGCAAATTCTTTCCCGGCCGTGCCCCAAGTGTGGTTGATCGGTCTATACATGGTATTCACGGCTACAGATGACAAAGTGCCACTGAAAGTCCCATTAAAAGTTCAATACGTTAAAAGACTGATAAAAAGCTCTTACCAGTTAAAGGTGGCAATGGTTAGCCAAAAAGCGGTAAAATTAAAAATGAACAGTAAGAGTAAATGGGCGAGAAAGCACCGATGCTGTGCAACTCACTAGTCGAATAACATTAATTTCTGTAAATAAAAGTACATTCCATAGAAAACAGTCAGTCTTGGTCTGCATATAGGATCTATGAGATTTATTACTGATGCTGGTTGAAAGTGCATCAATTAGAGCAGATCACGATGAGACCATGGGCAGCTAATGGTATGAGCATTTCTCAAAAATAGCTAAAGCACGACGTGGATACTTATTTCAACAGCAAATAAGACTTAACCAACTTTGTTAATTGGACGAAATGGCAACATAATAAAGCCGCTCACTATTGACGAATTGAAATTCGATGGGCAGCGGTGGGGGACTCCAAGGGGAGTGCGAGTGCGTCCACAAGATATCTATGTGAGGAAAGCTAGGGGTGGGAAGAGCCTGGGGCATGGGAGGAGAGTCCCATTGGGGACCCAGGGGACCCAAGAGACCATCCAAATCGACCTGAGCTAGCACCTCAGGCCTTGGAAGGTAGACGCGCTCAGGATGAAAGTGTCCAGAGGTGAGAGCAGGCACTGACCTGGTCAGCGGGGCTGGCGGCTGAGGTAGACTGAGGCGCCGGCTAATTGCGAGGAAAAGAGTGGCTATCTGGGCATCAGCAGTGCTCAGATACTTACGCCATATTTCCTGACCCTAAAGGAATGATGAAATAACATATCTGATGCCAAGAAGGGTGATAGATAAAGAGCCGAGAAAAAAGTTGGAACAAATACCTGTCGCTGCATTTCAACGAGAGTTTTTCTATCAAACGCCCGTAAAATTGGTACTAAGTGGGCGATTCTGGGACGAGGAATAAAAACCACGCTTTGTCGCCACTGCTGCTCCAACACCTCCCAGAAGGGAAAGAGTCGCGACTCACCACCACTGGAGGCAAAGACGGGAATCGCACCGCTCGTCAAACACGCTGTCAATTGCTCGCCCAATCCGATCTCACTCTCATTGACGCGGTTGTCGAGAAGACTATCGACAAGCAGACAGAATATGGAGTTTTCCAGGATCTGGATAAAAATAAATGGGCAATCAGCCTGTGGTGATGTGTAAGATTTCAGAGAGGAAAATAGAGTATAGCAAGGAAGAATGGACAGTTTAACAAAACCATGAGCCCAAGGCAGTACTATAACCCAGATTTATAAAATCAACTTTAAAAACTGGATGGATTGTAATCAAACAGACATTAAAAAAAACACCACTTTGAAAATTTTTGAGTTTTCAAAAGTGAACTGGTAACCAGATCACAGTTTCTTTATAGCCGGGTAAAATATACAAACTAGAAATCGAGATTCCTAACTTTTGTTGAGGCATAATTTTTTTATAAAAGCATGTTTATCGAAAAATACCTTAATGTGTTGAGGATTAGTGTAGCGTTAAAAAATACAACTCACCTCATTTGAAGCGTAACAGGGTCGCCAAAGAACGCGGTTCTGCTCCTCTTCGGTAGGCCAACAACCTTCTATGGAATGTTTGAGAACCAAATTAACTGAGTCGCCATCTGTAACACCGGATAACAAGGATTCAATGAAGGTCCGCTTCTCCTCTGTGGGGTCAGAAGTGGCTAGCGATGCGCCCAACAGCCACTTGGGTTGACGCCCAACTAGCAGTGGAAGTTGTACTGCAGTCGCATTAACAAGAGGAGTCAAAACAAGGTCATAACCTGGACGAATAGCACCTTGGGTGAATGAGGTGCGTATCACTGTGGGAGACAGCTTATCGGTAGCAGCGCCAATGTAAAGGCAGGAGATGCCAGTGCAGTCCTCCGGAGCAAAGATAACTCTTAGACAGGCGCGGTCGCATGAGGTGGAGAAGTGGGGCGATGTGAGAAGGGCATGGTGCCAGCGTGGATCTAGAACCGCGCTTTCATGGTGGAAACAGACACGCAGGTAGGAGGGCGAATGCAGGGGGCAGGTGGTCCAGTTGAAACAGGTATACATATTACAATCATTGAAGGAAAGCGGCTGTGAGGTCGAGGTAGAGGAGGAAATGGGCGTGAAATGGTGAAAAGTGGATACGTTGGTCGAAAGGAGATCGGCAACCTTGCGATAGGATGTCAATGTTGCCTAAAAACCAAAACGACTAAATGGAATGAAGACCACTTTGCATTGCATCCCCACGTAATCTAACTTCGAAAATTTAGGAATGGCCAAGAAGTACCAACAATGAAAATCATGTAACACAGAACCTACCTGTAGGCGGAGCAAGTCTCTCTCAGCTGTAGCAACAATTCCACGCAAGTTCATCACTTGATTCTCAAGCTCCGACTTCTCCAGTATAAGGGAACGGCGTGACTGCTCTATGAGGAGCATCTCATTATTGATAGATGCATGAATGCCAACCATTTCGCGGATCTCTGCTTCCAATCTTCTGCTGGATTGTAAAACCTTGAGGGATTGGGGGCCGGAATCGACATCGACTCGAGTGCCACTATGATCTGCTTCAATAGAAAGGTAATTATTACAAAAACGCCTTATTATTGCAGTCGTAAAGTCACCAAGATGCTAACCTTTTTTTGGAAATACCCACTGATGTAGGTAAACAAATGTAAAGCATACATATGAAAGCGTTGAAACAGAAAGCAGAATTAGGACATATTTTCGGGCTGACACGAGACGCCGGTAATTCATAATGCACCTGTAATAAAAGAAGCAAAAATAACAGTCGAATTTATCAAAGACCTTCCCAAAAGTGAACTAAAAATCAACGAGGAAAGCAGATTAGAATGAGAAAACGCATGAAACCACCTAGTACCAGAAGGACGACCTAGATTTAAACCAATCAAAATTATAGCAACCTGATCATATAAAGTGCCGTTGTTATCAAATGAAGCATTAGCATCCAAAGTACTATCTTTTGGTTTAGCCCTAAATTTAACAATAGCGTCTTATTTTTACCTCTCGCTGCCGATTTCTAGATTGTTACAGTGGTAATGGATTCTCACATTCCAATGCAGTATTCAAAAATCTCAAAAGATCGAATGGCATTAATGTTACCAAGATTTTCCCTTTGTCTTAGCCTATCTAAACTTAATACTGTGCTCTTAAGCGATTGCAAACCATCCTAAATGGCAATTTTCCAGGTAGGACAAGAATCCTTTACTAGTTAAGTAAACGTAAATCAGTATGATCTTGAAAAATCGCTTTTATCATCATCAAAACCAGGCCATGAAAGTTGTTAAGTTTACTTGTTAAATGTGATCAAATATTAGCCGTAAACGATTGGAGTAAATCTACGCCGCAGCGTGAACCACCTCACATTTCGTACACATGACCAGCCACGCAGCTGCACCAATAGCCCAACAAGTTCACCCACCACTAACTGATCCTGCCAAATCCTAGCACCCGAGTACTGCGACTCAATCAGCCTCTGCCCCGATTACCCAACATCACAGAAGAACATGGGTACACTTGGCTTGACAGTCCCCACGCACCCCAGAACTGGGATCGCCACATCAGAAGTGTCCAACCGGCGGCCAGGGAAAAACCTTATCCACAATTATCAGATCCATCAGTCCGGATGGGTGAGCTACTAACCGAATCGAAGAGAATTCGACACCATAATGGAACAGAAAAGGAAGAAATTGATGTGGCTTCAATTACGGTAAACAGTTCTTAGTAGCGTTGGTAATAATGTAAGCGGTTAAAATTAATTGCAACTGGCGCATGTTTATGAGACCACAAGATATAAGAGAGACGATATGAAATGGGGTGGAAGGGGGGAGGTTTAAAAGCGACAACAAAGCAGTAGGGGCAGGGAAAAGAGGAAAGGCCGATTGGTTCGCTGACTCAGACGATGGTTCCAGGCCAGGAGACCACTCGAATGTGCACATCGCCAACGCAGTGCTTCAGAAGTGCCACTGCGTGGGCGTGGGAGACGTCAGTGAGGGGATAGTGATTCACCGCCAAAATCAAATCACCGCACCTAGAGTTTGCAGTGGCAAAAGGATTAATTCTCTATTATTAACTCAGAGGCAAGGGGCCGCGAGTCTTTAGGTGGACAAAATTACTTTAATCGCCCGTCACGATGAGCAGGTGAGCCAGGGACGATTGACTTGACGACAATTGGCTGTGGAGATGAGGTGACGGAAGAAGGGCCCAGTGTGGATGGAAGCTGCCGCGGTTCTGAGTCACCAGATTGGCGCTAGAAAGCAGTTTTCATGGACAACTAATGAAACATGAATAGGGATTTTTCTTCCATACTTTAAATATGGTGACAGTTGATTAAAGATAAGCCAATGATTACCCAAAGAAAGAGGTCTGCTAATTATGGTAAGTGAAACTTTTAGGTGACATTTCCGAAGTGGGATAACTACTGTAGCTTATGGCACAATGACAGGCGACAAACACGACGAGGTGCAGTACTCTTTGTTTCGATATTTCCACCGAAGAAGGTAAACAAGAAAGTGTTTGAAGTCGTAGAAAATAAGTTACATGAGGATCTTAGAAAAAACGACATAAAATATAAAAATTGACCAAAAAGTGCATATAGAAACCGTTAACTTGTTGGAAACAAGTAAACTTAGATTGAAATATCACGAAGGAATAACTGTGTAAAAGCTGGATAATTATAGATGGGGTCCTTGAGGTGGAAACGAAACGGTACAATAACATGAGCTGGCTGAAAAAATGGACTAGATGATTATAAGGATTACAGAAGTTTTTGATTTCGTTCAGAAGTGAAACTTCCGAAACCGATTAAATATATCGGTGTATGAGATGGTGGCAGGTGGAACTCAGAGTTTCAAAGACTCATGACGAAGCTCAACATCAAATCCGTCGTAGAAATCAAGACTGCATAAAGTTTGAGGTAGGTAACGGCCATGCGAGGCAAACAGCACTGAGCTTGAATCGAAATATCAAATTTCATAAGTATACGAAATACCCGAGAGAAGGCGGTAAGAGGGGAAGCGGAGGTGTCCCCAGCGCCGCTCGTGGTGTTGCCGCCGACGATGCTGAAGCCGAGGCTGCCATTGGCAGTGCGGAGCAGGACAATGGTGCGGGGAATCTGACAATAGCGTGGCAGCTGCAACCAGTACAGCCAACTGGGGAGGAAGTTTTCCCGACCCGATCCCGTCTCCGGACCCTCTAGAACTCGGATCGTCACCTGGAGCGAAAAAACCGAAGCGTCACTTGAAACACGGAGCTAATGGTTCTTGAATAGTGACAGATCTCCGCGGAATTACGCTAAGTCCTAAAATTCCCGCCATCAACGCATAAACGAAAAAGCATAGAATGGTACCAAAAGATCAAAAGTGTCAAGATGGAAGCATACCTTAGTGCACGATTTGCGAGTGGCCTTGAGAGCCTCGACAGCCTTTTCGTGGGAAAGACCAAGAAGTTCGACCTCGTTGACGGCGAGGAGGACGTCACCCTTAGCGAGTTGGCCGGTACGGCCAAGTACGCCGGTGGGCACAAGGTTAGTGATGTAAACGGGCGTGTCTCCGCGTTGACTCGCCACGCCTCCCGCTACCGTCATACCCAGAGACTCACCCGGCATCTTCTCCACTGTAATCTCCTGCACACCCAAAAAGCGCAACAATTTTATCACACTTCAATAAAAGTCTCGGTTTCAGAAATGTGGATGACTCGATGACACATGTTTACCGTCTGTACTTAAAGACGTTCCCTGACATACCCTCGCATGGCTTCGTCAGCTGGTAATTACCCTACAGCTATGAAGCATCAGTAAAAGTACACTTACTGGAAAAAGTACAGTGTTTTTGGAAATTTACTTTTTCATTACCCACCCCTGGTTATAAAAACATGGGTTTTGTATAAAACAATTCTAGAAGTGTCAAAGCATTCCGTGGTATAAATCTACCCAAACTGTTTAGTAACATTATTAAGTAACATGATTTTTGGGAAAGTAACAACATCTAGATCTCATAGAAAATGTTTGTGTTCCCAATATCCTTGCTGGATTTCATATGAATTCGTTAAGGAACTCCTTTAAAGACTATCGTCTTGGTATAAAGCGACATTTATTCCTCCTTAGGCCAAAACATTTCTAATTTAAAGTAAACTAGAGCAGGTTGGGAAAATGTTTGCAGAAGTGAAAACCCCTGGGACAACATATAAAATCAGATTTTTGTGAATAAACTTAAATCCTGGGTTTTGCTTAACTATCTCAAAAGCATTTTTAGATGAAATGATTTAAATGAAGCTACGATCGAAATAAGCTATTCATCACAAAAAGTGGTAAAATCTTTACCGATTATATTCCAATAATAACACTATTACAGGTCAGCTTCAGAGTAACAGTTTTAATGTTAAGTCAAATGTATAAAAAAAATCTAGCGAACATGCGAAATCCGCACTGGAGTAAGAATGGATACCTGTTCCCGGCAGAGGCGAGTGGAGGGTGACTTGAGACTGGGTGGGAGAGCAGTAGAACAGGTGACCGACGGAGGGACTGAGGTGCCAGGGGAGCGAGCGGCCGCATTGGCGACACCACTGGTGCCACCGCCGCTGCCCCCAAAGTCCATAAATATCTCGCCACTTGTGGTGCGGACCATGTCAAGTGTCTGTGGCCGAACAACACGCGCCACCACCAGAGCCACGTGCTCCTCCGCTGTCTGCAAGAGCGGAGGGGGCATGGAACTCAAAAAAGGTACACGGACAAGATACTGATGTTCAGCTATATCGTTTTGTCGAACATTAATATAAACGAATAAAGCCAGAACAAAGGCAACAAAAGCATTTTTTACGCAAAAGCAATCAAACAAGATTCTAGAGTGCTTTCTTAACAAAAATAAAAACTGGGAAACGACTTCCACAAGATTGCCAAATCAATTGGACACCAAACTGGTATATAGGGAGGCTAACCAAGAGATTTGCCCAATAAAGAGTAGCATTATTTAGGTGATTAGAGAGCAGAATAATCTGATTTACTCGGGCATGAATAGTAGACAACGACCTCTGTTAATGTATAGAAAGAAGGGGAGGTACACACATTATAGACAGTTTTCACGGTATGAAAAATGGTAGCGCAATTGCAACGTACAACTTTGTACTTTTTTGCCTAAAAGATGAGGATTAGAGATTTTAGAATGTGTAAAAAAACTTTATTTTCTAATAAATTTTAAGAGGAACTATCGCAATTAACAGAACCGGCTACCTAGGAGTACCCGTAAGAGAATAGCAAAGCGCCTGCCCAAAAATTACAAAAGAAGCAGTAGATACAATGGATAGTGTTCGGTGCGCAATCCAGAGAAAAAAGTAGTCAGGCTGGAAAATAGCTGTTTCACCCACTCGAATGATATTTGCTGCCTCCTCCTGAGTGCCCTCCCTCAAGTCGACTCCGTTGATCTCGAGGATGCGATCGTCCTTGTATAGCCGACCGTCCAAGTCGGCCTCGCTGTCCGGCACCAAGCCCAGAATGTACACTCCAGGCAGATTTCTGTGAGGGAAGGCAAAGCACGGTTGGTAAAACTTGTTTACGTATCGACAACGGTACAGCTAATTTGCCAACAAGGTTATTGATGCAAGAACGTGATTTTGTCCAATAGCCATCAGAAAATAGAAGTGGCCTAATCTATAACCGGAACGATAATACATTCTGAAAATAAATCTGATTGGTATATGTCAAGTGAAGAGGAATATTTACTCTAGGAATTACACTTAAGTGTGATACATGATCTAGAAATCTAAGAGTTTTAAAAAAAGAAGCGATAATTACTTCTTTCCAACCAATTTAATTCCCAAACGTTTGTCCAAACGCTTCATCAGGTTAATATGCAGGATCTCTATAAGGCAAACAAGCAATGGAAGTCAAGCAAAGTGGGAAAATAAAGGATTAGGTGAACAGCAAAAAAACAAATGCAGTAAGGTGGGCATTACCTGTTAAGGTGTGTTAATTAAGTGAAGGAACTTACAGACAGATTGCCATTCAAGGTGAGGTGGAGGGCGTAAAGAAGTTGACACTTGAGACGTTTGAAAAAAGGCAAGTGAATAAAGTGGCTGCGTTACCTAAACCTACATATTTCAAGCCCTTAACTGGTCTTAACACAGAACTACCATAAAAAGGGAAGATTTTTTAGGGGGGTAAAATATGGAAATATCAAAACACAGAGGAAAAGTTTCCCAGTTTAAATTGCAAATACACAAGCAAAGTAGTGTTGTTTACCTTTCCCAATGACCTTGTTGTAATGGCAGCTGCAAGAGGATGAATCTGAAATAACTATACTCTGACTACTTGGGGAATTAGACATTCCAGAAAATTAATTTTCACAGACTAGTCTGAAAAAATGAGCAGTGAGGATATCACCCATCATTGGTGGATCATATCTTAGCCTCTTAAAGTCCCATTCCTACAAAGATGCACATTATGATCACATGCCAAAATTTCATTTGATCTCTGGCAGTCGATTCGAAATGATGATTGCTGGGAATGCCTGCAGCCTCAGAGAAACATTCCTGTTCAATTTTCTAGGAGTTCTAGTTGATGGCTGCCCTCCAAACATTTTAGAAAGTTATGCCCCTGCTCAACCTCCCCCCCCGCCCCTCCTTTCCTAATTCTAGCAATTTCACACTTACCAGAACAAAGTTGCTTGAATAGGTAACTTACGCTCAGGAGGTAATATGCAAATAATGAATTTGATATTAATCATAACGACATGAAATGTGGATCCAGATGGCATCTTAGTTATAAACCCAACTTGGTTTGTTAGATTAGTAGGTGCAAAATATCCATTAACAGTTCATGCGACCTTAGTCAATACCAAAAAGGTTGAATGACAGTTTTAGACATCAGCCTTGTTAGCAAACGACGTGCATGATGTGTAGTAGATGAGCGATTCAACTTTATCAGCACATTTGTCCACATTTGGCTGCATGCACATCGATACAAAGGACACGCTACAGCGGCCTTCCCCTCGAACCATTTAGAATGATACCTTGAAACTCAAGGTGAATGATACAATGCAGAAGAAAGCAAAAGCAGTAAGTTGAGGTAGGGAGCCCTACCCTCTCGCTCGAAGGGATTTTCGGGAATGGAGCCGAAATGACGTTTGCTGGAGCCGCCCGAACCAGCGCACTCCGAGGCGGCGCGCTCGCGATATACGGTAAGCTCAAAAGAACGCGCCACCGCACCCCCGATTGACGTGAGTGCCGTGCGAGCCTGGTGATGGGTGGCCTGCGTGAGGTCTATCCCATTGACCTATAGAGTGAACAGGAGAGGCGTGCGTATGACCACATCTAAATGGATACCCTCTATTCGATAAAAGGGAATATATGGTTTAAAAGAATCACCACAAAGAAATCGTTACTCATTTAGGCTGGATATAAGTCAAAGAGAGATGCCGATGCCCCACCATGCAAAGAACCAATTTATGGAGACACCATTTTGGGCGAAACAATGGTAGGTAAAACCAAACACTAATCTCGGTAAAATTGATAAGAAAACATTTTTGAAGTCAAATAAAAACCCACGAAACTGCAAACATCACTAGTCTACTGTTTTTACTCTGCATTGCCCTTAATTAAAAACAATCAGTTTAAGGATGATGTTTCAAAATCACACCAAAAACGTGGCGGAAAAATTGACAAACTGGGTAGTGCCAACACGATTTGAAGACAGTTAAAAATCCAAAAAAGATTAGTCTGAAACATTGCAGGCCAAAATCGAACTGACGGAAGTTCACTCAACTCCATCAAGTTTCATGTGGTCGAGAAATAAAAAGACGTAGAAGAATTGTGTAACTGCATTTACCCTGTGGTATTCAAGCCCTAATTGGCACAGGCATGCAGTCCCAATTCACTATTTACTAAAATAATAGGTCAGCAAGGTGGACTACTGGGAGACTTTGATAAAAAAGAATCGGCAATGAAAAGGTAAAGTTTGATTGGTTTGCATTACCGTCAAGCAACCAAATTCAATGAAGAAAAACGGAAGAAACAGTGAGATGAAACCGAATGTGTTAGGGTTTTTTTGAGGATGTCGTTTCATTAAACAACCTAGCAGGAAGCAGAATGGGGTCGATGCAGCTGATGGGGTATAAACAATTTTGCCCAGGGGATAGTTGTAAAATAAGATTATTTGTGGATGCGACATTAGGGAGGTAATAAGAATACAGAATGTCACAAATTAAAAATTAGCTCAACACAATATTGCTACAATAAGATAGTTTACTTTGAACTTTCACTCTATGTGCACATGCGATACTTAGCAAGTAATGGAAAAAAAACTCGCACGAGATTTCACACGTCAGTTTAGACCGCTCGACTCAGTCATTCCATCAATGAGAATAGTGGGTTGCGTGAGTCGCACCGGTATCCGTTAACGAAAAATTAAGTTTCGAGCTCAAACACGGAAATGGTGTCAAGTTAGTTCAAGGCGGATCGGTCCCTTACTAGCCCGTTAATGGGCTTCAAAATACCGACCTACACAGAACCGACTCAGCAATCTACGCAATTGCTTTCATCTCCCAACCAAATCTGCCTTGTCTCCCTACACATATCTCAGCCAAAGCTAAGACCCTATAAAGAAAAGATTTGCGCACATTTCTAATGCATACTTGAATGGTCCACGCTAGGCAGCGTGGCGTTTCCTGTCAACCGTAAAGACTATTCGAATGAAAAAAGACGTCAGAGAGCATAGATTCGCCTCAACTCCCAAAAGGCTTGATATGGGAATGGAGAAAAGATGAATTTTTAAGCCTTCAAACTGTTATCACGCATGCATAAAAAGCGAGACTTTATTACTGCTTTGGAACTGCCAACGTAGCATATACTGTGCCGAGAGAAAAGTAAACGGCGATTAAGGGTGACAACTGTTGACGCGTACCGACACAGTGGAATTTGTAGATTAGAGAGAAGCATCTAAAACATCTGCACGGACTAGTAGACCATGTAACACCAGCAATTTCGTGACAAACAGCACGAAAGGGACGTGGAATTGGCGTGAAAGAAGTAGTTAAGCCCTTTAGTATTCCATGAAAACATATCTTCGCCAAATGGCTTAAGAGGAAGTATCAGAAAAAAGGAAGTGCACAAATACATACTTTGGTTAGAAGAAAAATAAGGAATTTTGGTGTTATTGGCCATTCCAAGTACATGGAAAGGAGAATGTAAAAAAGCTGCCTCAAGCACTATTCATGTAGAATGAATTTGGGAGACCCTTAACAAAATGCAAATCATATAATATCGCTGTCATGATGAAAAAGTAAACCAAATGGTAGGCATTAGGGGAGCAATATGCAGAAATGGGGATTTGGGTTGATAAAGCGCTTTGTCTCGTTTTTCGAGAAATTTCTGAGACAGGACCCCATTGGATGTTAAGAGGTTAAAAAGCGTTGCACATCGAACCGTGCGTAGAATTGCCAAAAGCTTTGCAAACATGAACTAAATTATGAAATCAAATGAGTTCAACAAAGAAGAGTGATTAATTGTAAAACTGCAGGAGAGAACTAGCCTCAAGGATTTGATCGCCAGGTCGAAGACGACCGTCCATTGCAACGATGCCATCCAGGTAGATCTCTTGGATCACAATGCACAACTAGACGCAAAAAATATAATCAAAAGAAAAGTAATAATTAGACAGCGCTTATACAAATATAAAATTATGAAAACTCCAAAAAAATAGGTGGAATCATCCTAGCGATATTCGTTAAGGTAATTACCCTTCCTTTACTGAGAAAACATAACTGCATACGAAAACAGCATGGAGGATAACCAAATTAAGAAGCGCCGACATAGAGTGTAATTCACAGAGAACAAATGACAACGACTGCCAAAACGCAAAATAGCTTCCAGGGGCTTTTAAAAAGAATCAACTAAAAAGCACTCCCAGGTTCTGAAAACATCCATTTTCATTGCACACACCATGAACTCAGTTGAAACAAAGAAATTCCATCTAGTTGGCTTTTTAAGGGATGCAAGACGCTGGAGAGCGTGACTTACCAACTAATTTTCTCGCTCTTTAACAGTTACAGACACAAGTTTTCCTTAGGATAAAAATCAACCCTAAGTTTGTCAGTATATTAAGGGTTACAATTACGCCTGACAAAGCAAAATTAGATGAAACATTTCACGAATTAGTCGTATAATACTCCAATAACTACAAAAATAGATCATCTAAAGTATAATTGGTAAGTTAATAGAAAATGGAATACCTAAGTAAGCGAGTTGTTACAAGTTACTTAATACCATGCTGCAAGATATTTCACATATTATAGACTCTCAGCTGAGTAAATGATGTTTTTATTTAAAGGCAATGAAAACTGATAACCAACTTTAACGCGAGTAGATCAATTACAACATTAATGCATTTGGGGAAAAGACTGCAATTCGACTTATAGGCACTGGGTGGGAAAAGTGCGAGTGCAAAAAGGAAATTATCACCAACTCACCAGAGGCGTATCCGATCCACCAACGAAACTGATTCCGAGACTGGCATTCGGTTGCCACGGCAACTCGATAGTTGTAACCTCACAGTCACGAATGGGGGACGCCGAGCGGCCAGACATCATCGCGGCACCGCCACCTGCCCTGGAAGCGCTAAATGCCGTGGGTGGAGTAGAGGCCGACGAGCCCTCCTCAAAAGCACCACTGACGACACCCGCTGACATCAATGGCGCCTCTACTGCCACCCTTCGAACTGCCAGTAGGAAGACCAACAGACTAGTGATTTCACCAGCAGATTTTGCTCAAGGTTTAGCAACTTACCATAAACCACTGTCAAATATTTCAAGTTAGTTTTACTCATCAGTCCATTAAATTTTGTTGTTTAGGTAACTACTACAGAGCGTCTTTCGCGTCTTTCGAAACTGGAATGCACGTAGTTAAGTTATCCTACTTAGCAGGTATGTGGTAAAAATCAGAGACTAGGGAACTCGCCTTTTATAATACTTAAATGTTTCAACAAAACCCGTTTTCCAAATTAACTAAATAACCTCAAATTTTGATAACTTTTGGATGGTATTCAAATAACATTGGGTAGTTAACACAAAATTCTCCAGAGACTACAAACAATGCATCTAGGTGAATTCAATGAAAACCGTAAGCATAAGCAGGATTCATCCATAGCAAGATTCAACAAACACGCGTTTTCAATGAGGTAACGACAAGTCACATACATTAACTTTCCGGGAATAGCGGCAGAATAAAGTTTACAAGAGCTTCACATTTAATAAAAGGAAGGAAGCAGTTACGACGAAAAATTTTTGTAGGAGACCGTGAACTGTGTAAAATTAGCCAAAAGTCTTATCATCGAGATGTATTTATCGCGAAGATTTTCGTCAGTTTGCATACCGAATAAAAGGTAATTTTCTAAGGAGTGGTAGGAGAGGCTGATAGACGATTTATCAAATTTGCAAATCTCAAAATGCGGTGAACGTGAGAACAAAAAGGACGGGAAAAAAGAAAACTCACTTCTGGCGGGAAAATCTAAGAAACAGTGGAATCGTTTCAATAGAAACTATTATGTCTTGAAGCAAACTAATTGCTATTGTCGTTAAAGCAGATGCGCTGCATGAAAACATTACACGCATTAAAGATCGGTGTCAATTGGCATCATGGTAAATTTCAGTTCAAGTATCAGTCAAATAAAAAGCAAATTCGTTGAATTTCTGTGGGCACCAATGAGATATAAAACGTTTTAAAACCATAACAAAACGCCTGCCATGTAAGGCATAGGAATACTTTTATATATGATCCACCGGATTTTTGGTCCACTGCAGTATCAAAAACAAAGTATGTGTAAAATAATGAGAAAATACCTTCACTTCTGACACACTGCTTGGTAGAATGGCGCAATACATTAAAAATACAGAAGTAAAGCGTCACAACCATGATCATGAATAACAACTAGAAATTTAAAGATAGCGCTAAGGGTAAAGAGCATGAATGAAAATCCCGATTAAATACAGTAGTTGGATGACAAAACGGCACAAGAGCTTTTAAAAAGGACAAGATCAACTTTAAGTGCAAGAAAGCAAAGTCGTTAAATCCAAAATAAAATGAGTCAAATACAAAGAAGTGGACTCGGCTGATGGCAGCTTACGGTATTTTAAAGAAATAGACCTTTGCACCAAGGAAAGACCAAACACCCGACTTGTTATAAAGCGCCACCTGATATACTCCCCTTATACGCATAAGCATCAACCATATGCGCTCCAGATGATGTACTCTTACGTACACCGAAGCGAGCTAAAAAGCATTTGAAAATGTATAGGGACCATCCAGCAAGACTGTAAAAACTAGAAATACGAGGCAAGAAATTCAACTTCACGATATCCAACATCAGAATGAGGAATGTTTATATGTAGGAAACGGTTCTTCACTTCTTAACGCTTCAAGATGGAAGTCAAATTACATTTGCAGGCGTAAAATTAACTAGGCCGGAAATCGTATGGTACTTAAGAAAAAAGAAATACAAATGACTATCGTAGCGGAAATTAACGGCATGCAAACCTGGAATGAAGGCGAAACCACTCGTGCGGACATCAAGAAGAAATAGTTAAATTGGAAGGAAATAACCACGTAGGCTTCCGGGTACAATGAATATGCTAGTCCTGCTTACCGTGAATTGTTTTGCAGAGTGGATGTTGAAGATAAAGGAAAGGATGACAAACCACCAGATCGTAGTTGAAACGGTTCACCGAAAGAGCATCAGGTTAAAGGTGCGAAAAAGGTGAATGCTCAAGTTGCGATGAGTTATTTAGTAAAAGGTACCTAGATTTGTGTAAATCCAGAAAATAATGCAAGGAAGATAAGTTTTCCTGAGAGACCACAAAGGAGGCAATAAAGTGAAAACATAATCGCAAAAAGATATTGGAATTGGGGGTTACCACTGGCTCCAAAAAACTTTGGCGAACAAAAACCGTATATATGTAAGGTTCAACAGCGCATCTGTGGGAATATAATGAGGCAGTGTAGAAAGCCTAACATACTCGACCTCCGAAACGGAAGTTCAAACAAGTAGGAGCAATAGCGAGAGCTACACTTAACTTTGCAAGGGAGTATTGAAACCTGGAACAGAATTTAATGAATTGAATTTACCACTTGGAAGTTGGGCAATATTATTTCCTAAAAAGTTCTAGTCACCGGAGAAACAACAAATCCCTTTCACAGAAAATTTTTAGATCGACATTATTGGACAAACTGGCGAAAAAAAAATACACAATTAGAAAGACCAAGAAAGCATGTGGCGAGGAATATGTAAGAATATATAAAAGTGAATCCGCAAAGTCGCGAAAATATTTACAGCTACAATACGCTTCTCTGCACCCTTAAAGAGACTTTAAGGCTCTCAAGCCAATGTCTTTATTTTGAGACGTTCATTCAATTTAGAATACAAATTGAAAATTAAACACAATTCTTTATCTTGGCCATGTAAGCTCCCCAACGCGATAAATGTGAGCGAACCAGAAGAAAAAACCAACTTGTAAGTGGGAGTTGTTTTAAAAGCACTTGCTGCTTGGCTGCTTGAAACTAGGCAAAACTATACTACACTTTACAGAAGGCATGAAAGACGCAACGATGTAATTTTTATAGCATCTCAAAAGCCGACTTACTAATATTGAAGCCCAAATGTGCTTCGTAATTATATTTCACGCCTTAGTAAGCATGAAGATTCATTGAAAAAGCAGTATGAGTAGAGGTTCGATACTAGTCATTCAGGAAGAGCCTCGTTAAATGATACATGTACCTGACTCAAATGGATGAGATATGAAAGTCAACTTTAAATCTAGGGGAACAGACAGACTTACCGGGCATAGGGCCAAAGCGGACCACGGATTTCGTGGCGATGGGTCGAACGATGGGGCTCCCACCACTGGAGGTGGTGGTTCCAGGGGTTCGGGGCTGGAAGCGGCACTCCCGCCGATGCTCAGTCTGGAGGGCTCTGGCAGCGCGGAATTGGCAGCCTGTCTTGGCGTTGGAGCAGGGCACCACAGTGCCACGACACCAGTAGGCCAGGTGCGACTCGAGATCGCAGCGCGAGAGCACCTCATCGCAGTGCTCGGAATTTGGACAGATCACAAGCAACTTGTCCAAAAGTCTTTTTTCGAAATGGAATAGAAAGGCTCAAGTTGATTTCACATACATGGGCTAACTGTTATGTGATCTTTGCATCAAGAGCATGGAAATCAATGAAATCATTTCACATAATTGTTATGAGTGTGCCTTATCAATGTAGTCATCGACACCCCAAACACTACACTTTTATATGTGATAGTGAAGCGAAACGCATAAGGGCGATTATTTAGATCGGTTCGAAACCCTGATTCACCAAACATGAGTAATTCAATGAGATTAGTAGAACAACCCTTCAAAGAGTGACACTGCGAATTTACTATATCTCGAACAGCAAAGCATTTGACTCTGCAACATACGAAACTGCATCAATCGAGAAGAACGATGAGAGCAGAGTATTTTTTGTTCAAGGAGTGCACACAGAAAGAACAACCAAACACTCAAACGTTTTTTGACGCGCCGTCGTTATCACAACTAATCATGAGGCTAAGCCATTGAAGACAGAATTCAATGCACCAAATTTGTAACGCTAAACGCTTTAAAAATTTTTGGAAACAGCTTAAATGCATACTTTCACCGTGACACACAAGCATGAGGCAGGAATTGACATAAAGTGCCGCGCACGCCTAACAAAGTTGGAGATCACGGTATATTAGGTGCGATAAATCTAAAGATGGAAATACGACCATTAAATGAAACTAAACTAAAGGGCTTAATGCAAAACACATCCAATAACAACCAACTTGTGCTCTCTATCGTGGTAAAAACGTAGAACGTCCGTTCTTCTCACTAAAATTGGCCACAGCAGAAAACCTCATTGTTAGATGACCAAAAGTTTGTGCAAAATCGTAGGATACTTTGCAAGTATGGCCAGATAAAGAGATCTCTCACGTTTTCAGCGGTAAAAATTCATGAAACAGCAAGTGAGCCAAGCAATAGTACATTATAGAAGAGAGTTTGAAAACAGAGGTCCAAATAAGCGGATAATAAGCTTTCAGTCTGATTGAATACCAGAAAACATAAGTGGGGCAATCGGTCTAACCATTGCTTAATCTTAGACGGAGAAATTGCCTCCATTACTGTGAAATGCTCATTAATGCGCCTCTTCTATTGGTTTGGTCATTTTCTAATAATAAGCATGAAGCTTTTTAAATGAGTATGAAATGCATTTAAAAGAGGCAGTCAAAATGACACACAACGCTGACAAATGTACCATAATAAAAATAAAATGAGAGTCCTATGTGCGGAGTCCACAAACTGCAATATCCTAAAATCCATAAATCTCACTGGAAAAAGAAAAAACTAAGCATACGAAAACTAAATTAAGAATAATGCAAGGATAAGGAGCCACTGCCTGGCTAAATCACGACCCTTCAGCTGTGGATAAGCGTGGAATCCAATGCTGCGAGAAGACTGACCCCAAGGTCATCAAATGCTTCAAAACAAATAACGGGCCTTCCATAGTCAGAGTAACTCAGAGCAATCTCATTGGAACAAAGGAGTACGCTAATGGTGACTAAATGCGTTATAAAGGACCAACAGCACCTGCAGACCGGAGCCTTAATTTTAAAAAACTTTAACAAGAGATCTCAAGAGAATGAGTTAAATCCATTCGTGATAAAGCAGATAAAAATCCTAAAGGCAAAAAAGAGATTTGTCTGATGTTGGGCGACTACTTAGTCAGGCGCAGCACCTAGCATTGTTGAAAGCGAAATCAGGCAGTAACACAAATTTGAGCTAGGCCAGCGTAGCGCAATGTGTAGGAGTATTTTGTAAAAAATGACAAGTACGAATAAAGCTGACTACATGGACCGTGTTTGTGGCAGTAAAAGCCGCAAACTCATCGGTCACCTAATCCCACGCTACCCATCACAAGTTATCACCGACAGAAAAGACAGTTTTACCTTCTACAAGTGTGCCGTCCCAAAGAGAACTGAAGTGATGAGTACAATGAAGGAGATACAAGGTACAAGACCGGTGAGGCTTGTAGGAGAGACGTGGATCTCAACTTTCCAAATAGTTGCACGCTTGACATCAAATGTGGAGACGAAAAACGAGAAGCAGATTTACTTTTGGGAGTATATCAAAAGTAAAACACAGGTGGAGGAAGGATTATGATAAAAGGTCCTCTTTAAATTCAAAATGAGTTATTTTCTTGACCTTTAAAAGAGGAAAAACTAAACAGGACGTGTACGACCCAAATGACCAAGCCACTCAATGCCTGGATGTCGATGCATTAGGATAATTAAATAGAATAAAACCGATGCCTTAAGCAGGAACGTAAACCTCGTAAATTGAGTTGAATCTAATCCAGAGGAAATTAAGGAGAAATGGACCTATGGATCACAAGTGGAATCATAACAGAAAAATTTCCATTCACTGCCCTCACCTTTTGATAAATTCAACGCAAGGGATTTTACCGGATACTCACAAAGGTACAACGTGATAACAGCTGAGAAGGGGGTGAAACGTATCGGTAAACCAGCATTATTAAATTCGCAGCCTACCCAAACGAACTAAGGATAAGTGGACGATGTGAATCGGAGGAGTTTTCGCTGTTATTCCCTTCTTCTAACAGACCTTCAAACTCATCCACGTAGGTGGATGCCGGTTTATGCTTCATGATTCAAGTGTGCCACTGGTGCTGTCGACTGCAGGCAATCCCACTCAGGCGTACTTTGAAATTAGTTTTTCCACTAGACATTGGTTTTGAAAAGAACACAATGTGGCACAAGGCTGTCGAAAGGAATATTACCAAAATAGCGAGCTGAAAGTTCATTGGCCAGTCGATCTACCAGTCACCAAGAAAGTATGTTAGGTTGCAGATCATCAGTGGTCAAGTGACTCAGATTTCAAACGGAGCAATTGGCTTGGAAAAGTAGAATCATGCAGTAGGGCCGAATGACAAATAATGGGAAATCAGGGCTTCAAAACATTCCATGCGCATACTTATGCTAAACCGCCCAAATTGCTCAATTTCAGAACTTTTATTGTCAGTTTCCCACAAGTATGTGTCGTATTTCGACCACCTAATGACTTTGGAAATGACAATACCGTAAAGAACTAAAAACTGCGAATTGCACAAAGTAATCCAGACAGCATATTAAAAAGTAGCAAGTCCAATATGACTTTTTCGAACAGGTTTCGCTCCAATGAGTAACCAAGATTTAAAAACAAGGCTGTTAATAAGGTGAGGTTGTCTAGGGAAATACACATACTTAAAGCGTAACAGTAGCAATGTGTTTCGCACAATAAAACAGAGGATTCTCAGCAAGCGAGAGGAAACGACGGCTTACCGCTTGACAAGATTGGAGGATTGCTGACATTCAAGGTAGTTTATGATTTGCTTGTCCTCAGGACACAAAGCCTGGACCACGAGGTGACTCTTCAGACAGGGCGTGCAGAAGGTATGACCACACTTCGTGTCGATCGGGTCCACCAAGGGTTGTCGACAAATCTGTACAGAGGATAAGCTCATTTGTTAAATTTTTAGCGAAAAGCACCCATGCTGTGACTGTCTGAGAAGCGAAATTAGAATTTTACGATGTAATGAGCCACAGGGGAGCATGAGAAATGTTATAGCCGTTCAAATGGAACTCGAAATAAGAAAACAAATTTCAGGAAGGGTTCAAGATCAGTGAAGACATTAAGTGGTTTACAGTAAAAAATTTGCTATAATATTTTGGAAATAAACCAGATTTCAGGTCAATCAATCAGCGAATGCCAGTTCCAATTAGAAAGACTACTTGATGAATGCCCGACGATCAGAAAGTGTTTCAAAAAATTATCAATCAGCAAGTTCATTTTAGAGGAACTAATTAATAATGAAAACTACCACCTCCTGGCTCGTAATAAGTCCACAGTTCTCCACTTTTATCCATGGAGATACGTGCTCTAAACCACTGGTACCAACTCAAACGAAGGAAAATGAGGTCCTCCGATTCACATAGTTACCTGAATCCACCTGCAGGGCATACTATAGGGAATACGCAAAGATAAACGGTAGAAAACTAAGCGTCGAAAGTCTTTTCAGTAGAGATGGGCAGTAGTACAAATCCCATTTCATAAGCATGCAGTAGGGTTGTGTTTGCGCTGGCATTTTCCGAATCTATCCAAAAGATTGACCACGGTAGGTGAAATGCCAGACATGCAGAACAAGTCACAGATCCTGGCTAAAAGAATAGGCTAATTAGCAAAATCTTGCCTAGTTAACAACCGTTTGCAGGGAAAACTATGTATTCACATATTTTGACGGGCAAACGAAATATTCTCAGGAATCCGATGGTAAAAACTACCACAGGTAGTTAATACACCAGTTACATTTGGGGAAGCAGAATTATAAAGGCAGCTATTATTTAATGACTTCGTAAATGGAAAACAAGGAGCCTTTCGCAAAATCGTTGCTTGACTATGAACAGATCGACCCATTTTGAGCGTTACTAAAAATTGGAAATTTTCTTCTTAATCTAGTTTCATTCCACTTCAAACCGAGTGATTTAACAGGGACATCAAAGTCCTAAAATAGAGTGCCAAATTTAAAGATATGGAGGTCAGAAAATTACAACGAAAATTATTTGAATAAACAAATAGATATCGGAAATATCCCAAATGCTAATGCTGTACCCGCCAAAGGTCTGATGAATCATCTACTAAGGGTCAGTTAACACAACCCAAAATCGCAAATCTAGCGATTCCTTTCTTTTTAAAAGACGTGTAAACAATCATTACGAATAAAAAGCACATTATCAAAAGGCACCTCACACCCATGGAAGGGCACACCTAAATACAACTATATCACTCACAGCTGATATGACTAAAAAAGAGAGTAGGCATGGAAAAAAAGTTTAAATAACATTCCCCGATATAGCACGTTACCAGTGAAAAAGATAATCAACCAACAACCGAAGTGCATCAAGCACTCACTCTGCAAAGCAAGTCCGCATCCACAGTTTCACTGTAATCGTACACATGAGCAGCATGCGGATCGTGAAGTTGGCCACAGGAGTTACACAAAACTGCCTCCCGAACACTTCCACTTCCACCACTACCGCTACTCAATCGACTTATACCGCTAGGCGAAACTCCGGCCTGCGGATGGTGGGAGATGGTAGCTACTGAAGAGGGAGCTATTGGTGCGATAGACGGGGAGGGGAACACCTCCTTGGTGTTATTTATGGCAGCAGCAGCAGTGGTGACACTAGCCATCACCGCCTCACTATCCGCATTGGAGACTGTGGTGGACTGTGTTGATGCACTCGGTGTTGATACATCGGTCAGATAGGCCAACGGAGGTGGTGGCAGAACGCAAGGCAGTTGTGGACTGGGAAAGGGTGGAGGCCGTACGACAGGCTTGACCACGGGTGACGGAGTATGAAAAGCTGAACTGGGTGACGAGGGTACTGGACGGAAGAGGGAGGGTGACCAGGGTCCTCCTCCGATGGCAGGTGGGGGAGGGGGAGGCGGGGGCGAAGAAGAGTCATTGCTATTTTCCTCGGTGGTTGGTGACATGGGCGGGGGTGGCTCTTGACTACTGCTACCAACACCAAGGCTACCATCGCCGCCGCCATCACCACTGCAGTTGTTACTACTTCCACCGCTGGGAGGAACTGGGGGTATAGTCCAGATGGAGTTGTCATCGGAAAATGGAGAGGACTTTTTCTTGTTACTTGCAGTGGTAGTGGGCGCAGCAGAACATGGAATCGAGATAGGAGGAGTAGGGCGGACAGTCGCGGTGATGGGCGGAGCTCGGATTGAGGGAACTGCCGTGAGAGAGAATGACGTTGTGATCGGAGTGGGAAGGGCTATGGTGGTCGCCTTTGTCGATGAGTTCATGGCCCACCTGGAGGGAAACCAATCATGTGTTGCACTGGAAGAAATCTATTAATAATTCTAGTACTCAAAATACCAGACCCTAAATGATATTGCTGGGGTGTATAATGATTAAAATGATAGAACCGACATAGGCGTTAGTGCAAATGTGTTCAGCAGGAGAGTAGTGATTACACAACACAGCACTAGATGTGCAAAACTGGCATAGGCTCACAGGTCATCGCATTGAAAATGATGCTTCCGTGTGGATTTGTAACCGTACACAAAAAACTGCAGTCGAGGAACTCACTGTGGTGATTAGCCCAATGATTAGGAAGACTACTCAGTTAACATAATCAAACAACACCCACAGACAACCTTATAACAATCAGTGGTTATGCCCAAACGAAATTACATAAATTGAACAAGGAATCTACGGGCGTCTATAATCTAGAGAGAGTCGAAATGAGAACGCCATATCAATGGATCGTAGAGAGTAGGCGTAAAATTGGAGCTTTGATTACTTAAAAAGGCTATAAGACATCTTGGTAGAACCATACCCGACAAACTAGAAGAATAGCCCAAGTTGGCGCCGTGCAATCAGCAACGCTAATTGCACGGGTCGTATCAGCGTTATTAATTAAAAAATTGAAAAAATTCTACTTCTTCGAACGGAAAGTCCAATGTAATGAGAACCAATTTCAAAGCCTTTAGGAAATGGGAATTTGAGTCAGAATGAAAATTTTAAGTAGCAGACGTAATTTTGCATCAAAATCTTGAATCATTTAGACCTATCTAGAAAAGTTTGCAGACAAAGTGAGCTAAAATAAATAAATGTAACGCCCTAGCCATTGTGTATTTTTCTTAATATGCACCACTGTTGCAGCTACTTGTGACTAGTGAGAGCACATAATCTAATAAGTAACTTTGCATTTACACTAAACTCTACGCCGTCTAGACCAAAGTATTGCGCTTCAACACACTTTTAATCACATTCCAAGAATTTGGTCTCTAGTGTAGTCGAAAGAACTCTGGCATTCAAAAGGTGGGTGGTTTTGAAGAAATTAATGGGCAAAATTGTGACTAGCATTTTAATCCAGTACTGTTTTTATCCCATGTATCAATATCTATTTGTTTTATAGCATGGAAAACACCTTTGAATTTTACGTTCGTTAATTAAGGCTCCTCCCACTATTAACGGGCTGCTGTTAAGTTGAGCTGCTTCATGTTGTTAAATTGGCAGCGATTGTCTGGGTTTTTGAAGGCTAATTCGAATATTGTACTCGGAATCAACTTTCCTTTACTTGTTATATGG